TTGGCAAGCAGCAGCAACATCTTCGGAAGGTAACTGCTACACCAACGTGAACTGCTTATTCAAAGGGTGTAGACCTGGAGATGGAAATAGGGGGGAAAATTCAAATATGTCACTTATAACCCAATGTAAATTTCCCAAGGACCGACAACGCGCCAAAACATAGCCAGTATAAATTACCGTCCATGTTCAAGGAGTACCTGGGATTGAAAAGCAGCTCGGTTCCTTTTATTCCCCGCTGCCGCCGCAAAGAGGGCCAAAGTCGGAGCTGAGGCTTTGACTGCGTGACGTCTGATTCCAGGTGGAAACCATCTTCCAACCTGCACCCGGTTGAATTGAATTGCAATGTTCGGGGCGGATGTAGTCTGGGCAATTGGTTGCTTCTTCCAATTAGGGATATGGGGAGATGGATATTTGGGGCAGGTGGTCTGCATGGGGAAGACCGGTTAGCTAGCGCCATCCTCAGATAAGCGTTCGCTGCCGACGGGGATCCGAGACTGTGGTCGCAATTCACTCGCCGGTGAAAGGCAATGGTAGCGCCAAGAATTGTTTGTTGTACTCTAGCCTCTAGGGTTGGAACTCGATTCCAATGCTGCTAGGAAGCCGCCCAAAAAAACCATATGGGCCGAAACCTCCTCCACTGTTGGTTTGCGAAACGACATTCACATATGAGATCTTGTTGTGGGCTATAGATGGACCGTCATGTGTAACAGGCCCATGTGAAATATCTTTTTCCCTTGGTTATTTAGATTGGGTCCATTTATATATCTATCTACCTTAGAAAAGTATAAAGACAAAAGCATATATCCTAAACTGAACTTTTCCCTTTACACTGGCAGCAATAAAAGTTGGGAGAGTGAAATGGGCTTTGCCACATTTCTGCCAATTCATTTACCATTTGATTTTTATTGATCAATTAAACTATAATCACAGACAATTCTCTTTCGTTAAGTTACATTTAACACACGGGAAGATTTAATTGGGATGGTGCAATACATCCATCCCAATGACGTTTTTCTCAGAGTAAAGGGTTTTTGAAAATCAAACGATCAATATGGTGCACTTGTGCTTGAATGGTGAGTATTCCTGCAAGTGAAATATTCAGATCAAATTATTATGATTTTGTAAGACCTTCAAAGTTGATTTAATGCACTACCAAATGCGTCGCGGGACTACGTTGCTTAAGACGATCCCTTTCAGCAGCGGTTTGTTGGTTGGAAGGAGGAGTTGAAATTAGGTGTGTCATTTTCTCATAAACATGAATCAATTGACAATGCATCGCTAGGGTTGGTACAGTGATAAAATAAATTAATACCATTTTGAATTATTGGATTTTTTAGCCAGTAAATCACTCGTATCATCACGTAAAAAAAAAAAATTTATGTACTTCTTTATTTATTATCATTTGACAAAAACATATCTGTATGGTCAGCACAAATTATTAATTGGCATGCGTGTCAAGAGAAACAAAAAAAAAAATTCTTGTTGATGAATAATTTTATTTTTAATGGTTTCTATTGGTTTTTCGGTTTTAACCAAACCAATACCATTAAGTTGCTTATTGGTATAAAACAAAAAACTGAAACCATTAGCTTTCGAATTGGTTTGGTTTTGGTTAAAACCAAAAAAACCAAACCAAATAGACAGCCCTAGGCACGTTTGGCTCAAACAAATACAAAACCAAAAAAAAAAGAAAAAAAAACAACAAAACCCCCCACCCACCCGAAGACGGTTTAACTCCCTTCTTCCCTTCCCTCCTCCATCGCTCTCACCTACCTCCAGTCCCTCCACAGAAACCTGACCATTCACATCCCCAACCCGCCATCTTCTGCTTCCCCTTCTTCCCGCTCCCTCCGCAAAACCCTACCCTCCCACCACGCTCGCTCCTTCTCCCTCTTCGAAAAACCCTGCCGTCAGTTCAGAACTCGCGCGGACTCCGACAGCGGCCCCGAGTCACGACGTCACTGTTCACTCGCCGGCGAAAAGACCAATTATCCAACCAAGCCATTGCATGCGCCCATGTTCCAACCCTCCCTGACTGACCACTATTAGTTCCATCTCTACATCTCCAGTAGGTAAGTTCTAAAGTCTTACCTCGTAAAGACCCATCCGAAGACGTTTCAACTCCCTTCCTCCCTTCCGCCTTCCTCTGCTCTGCTCACTCTGCGGCGAACAAAGCAACTGGAAAACCAATCCAGTGCATGCACTCATTTTCCAGTCCTTCTCCCTGCCTGATCGACGTTAGTCCTGTCTCAGCAGCTCTAAAAGGTAATTTCTAAAACCCTACCTCGGCAAAATCTGCCCTTTCCTCTCATCAAGAACTTCAACCAATTTTTCCAGCCCACTCATCAATTACATTCGCTTGCTAGCCTTTAAATTAGGGTTCTCTAGATCTACTACAATCTTAGCAATCAGGATTTTTTTTTTTATTTGAGTTCGATACTCCAAGGAAATACTTGCAACGCCCACAGGTGAGTTAGCATCCATCCTTTCTGAACTAATGCGGTTAGCCTATTTAAATCATGGACATGATTAATAGTTCTTTCTTAGATTCTAGCATAGCATTGATCCATAGTTTAGGACATATATGTGTCAAAATCATTTAGGTTCGTTCTGATTACATAGTGTGTCTTGCAGTCCAACTAAACTGTGTATGTTTGTATAATACGTCGTAGAGTTGAGTGATAAAATTCCAGTTATGAATCAAAGAAGAAAACGTCAAACGAAATCAAATATAGGTCCAATTGTAAAATACATCGAAGGATTGACACATTCATGTATTGGGTTGCTATTGTTTGTGTATATTCGGGTTTACATAATTAGTTGATTAGTTTTACAGCTCTAACATTTGTTGATATAGTTGCTAATATTGCTACTAATCTAAATTATAGTTTTTTTTCCATGGGAGACTTCGTTTCAAATCTGCACTATGAAGTTGCCGCAAGAATTTGGGACACTGTAGAAACTATAGATCTTATCCCTATGCAATTGGATGTTGCTAATCAGGTGAATCAGATAACATGTATTTTATCTATCCGGAATCTATATTTTATCTAAAGAATTTGCATCTAATTTGGTCTTATTTTGAACTCCTTATGTTTTGGCTTGTACCAGGGCAAGTCATACATTTTCAATGGCTGGGTCACAGAATTGAGGAGATCTTGGCATGCCGCATCCAGCATATACTTGCTTCACTTGACAATTGAAGATTTTATCACCGATCTTGAGGTCGTATTTCCATCAGCTTACTTACGGCGAGTCATGTCTGCTGTTGTTGGTCCTGATGAGATGGAAGATGTGGAGTACATTCCACTACTCAACATGATTGGTGAGTCGCCATATAGGGTCTTGGTCACATTCGGACCTTGGAACAACGTGGAGAATCGTCTTGATCTCTTCTTGGTTAAGTTGTTCCCGATTTTAGATGACTAAGTAGCGTAGGGTATTATTAATATAATCGGATTAATGTTAGTAATGGTCCACCTCGCTCTAATTTCGAATTATCTAACCGCGTAATGGATATGTGAACGCAAATATTTTTTGAAAGGTTATTATCCTTTTGAGGTGGTCCTTCATGTAACCATATTTTGAGCATCATATAATTTTGCTCTTTGTTTACTGTCACCTTCCTTGCTATTTGGTAATTCCTTTTAAATTATTGTACTCTAGAGTTTAGAGTTGGAACTCGCTGCCAATGCATTTAGGAAGCCGCCCAAACAAAATAAAAAACCCCCACAGGCCCAATTTAGATAGGTGAATTTGGAATGTATCAGCCCGGCTGTGTGTAGTCATTTGCCATGGGTTTTGCCAAAACTCTGGGCCCGATTAATTCATGAGCCACATAGGAAATAAGCCCATTTTTCCAGCTAAAATATAGCATTTAAAATTTAGTCTTTAAAAAAGGTTAAACTGTCATTGTATATATAATATTGGTAATAACAGAATTGTAAATTCGACAAATGTATTAATGTTTTCCTAAAATCGTCAGATCTCTTGAGTAATCTATGAGTACAAACTTTTCTTTTCATCAGTGGCTAGATACATAAGCTCTTTGAATTAAAACATATAGTCCATTGCTAGGGAAATTGCCTTAACAAAAATAAATAGCCAAACATGACGCCTAACAGTTGTCCATAAAAAATATAAACTGTAATCATAAGTTAAACCTGAATTGAAGTTCATATAAATCAATCAAATATTTCTGGGAATACTATGTTCACCATTGAAGTGCCTTCCTCTCCATTCTCATTGCCACTCAAAATCTTCAATCCTTGCCTTGTAGTAACTCTTGACAATGCAACATATAGCTGACCATGACTAAAAACTTGTCTTTGAAGACATAAACCAACATTGGCTAGTGTTTGACCCTGACTTTTGTTAATAGTCATGGCAAAACAAAGAGCCACAGGGTATTGCCTTCTAATGAGGGTGAAATTAAGACTCTTGTAATGGGTTGATAATGTCAATCTGGGAAGGAAGACGCGATCACCGATATTGGTACCTGTCAAAATCTCCACCTCAATGAACCATTTACCCAAAGTCTTCACAACCATTCTAGTACCATTACAAAGGCCAACAGTTTGATCCATATTCCGTAATAGAATGACTGGACACCCAACTTTTAGTTCCAACTGATGGTCTGGAAAGTTTCCAATCCTGAGGTTGTTCAAAAACTCGGTTGAATAATCAGCATCCACAACTCCCTCCTTCCCAGGGTCCATCTCAATAGAATCTGCAGTCTTTGGGCCGACTACGTCAACGGGGAAGAGTTTGGGCCGGATACTTCAGGGGGCAACAGCCCGGTCCGACTATATAATAAACTGACCCGGTCCACCGGCAGAATGTGTTGGAGGTGAAACGCACAGTTTTATTTAAATGTGAATTGCCTAAAGTGCCCTTCCGACAAACCCTCTGCGGGCTGGAAATTTGAATCCCTGCAAACTAAATACTTGTTTTGGCTTCATATATCTTATAGATTGGAGAACCTTAACGTAAAAGCCAAAAACTGAACCAAGGGAAAGAACGGATAAGCCAGTGTGAGCGAAAAAGAATCAAATTGAAGAAGACAAGCTCTCGTCTCGTCCCGTCCCGTCTCGTCTCCACCACAGAAACAGACAGTCATCATCATCACCAATCTCCCCATTTCCACAACCTCACTTCCCGAACAACTTTCTCTGCATTTTCTCCGCATTTACCCAGCCGCTCGGCCGGCCATGGCTTCCCTACAAACCTCACCTTCTCTCTATCGCACATTGTCTTTCTTCCCTCGCCAGGTCCTCTGTTTTTCCTCTACCCGACTCCCTCTCCCAACCCAATCGCCTAAATTTGATCTTTTCCATGTAATGGACTCACTTTCCCGTTTTGGGTTCTGCAGCAGGCTGGAGGATTGCAGAAGCAGCAGCAAGGAAGAGGCGTTTCGTTTCCTGTTCGAGCCGACCAATCTTCACTTAGCTCCCCTGCTTCCCAGTCTCAAGCTCCAAGTGAGTTTCATTTCATTTCGTAGCCTGCTTAGTCGGTATTTATTTGCCCAATGCGACAGAACTTGAGCATGGGGTTTCTGGCATTTTCCAATTGGACATTTCTAAAAAGAGACAACGAACTGACCATTTTGGAGGGACGAGTTTAGTTGAAATTTGGGTTCCAAATATCTGCGCTATGGTTGATCAGACTTGGTTGCTGTTGAAATTTGTTTATTGCAGCAACATCATCTTCATCATCAGGTAGACGCCAATTGGTTGCTGTTGGGGTGATTGCCCCTCTGGTTTCTCTGGTTGATCAGACTTCTTCTCCTTCATGTAAGTGCCCATTGACCGAAATGCAGACTTGGTTCGTATACATACTGAGATATAGCAATGGAAACTCTCTGTCAAGTTGTATGTGGTGGTGGGCATTGATTTGTGTTATAGTAATATCCTAAGAGGCCATCCTTGATATGGTTCAGTTGCTGCAGAAAATAAAAAGGGGTTTCTGCCAGTCACGGACAATAAGGATGGGTACTCATTCCTCTACCCATTCGGTTGGCAAGTATGCCCTTCATTCTAATGTTGCTTTCTTGCTGCTGTCCTTTTCTCTGTTTCTTATTCAGAACTTCCATAAAATGTATCGTGTTTTGTCCAGGAAGTGACGATAGAAGGTCAAGATAAAGTGTTCAAAGATGTCATTGAGCCACTTGAGAGTGTGAGTGTAACCGTGTTCCCAACTAACAAGCAAGATATTCGAGATTTCGGGCCTCCGGATCAGGTTGCAGGAACACTGATCAAGAAGGTTTTAGCCCCTCCTTCCCAGAAGACTAAACTCATTGAAGCCAAGGAGGTTGGTCTGGTTTCCCCTTATGTTGCTTGAAGATTTTTCTTGCAATTTCGTAAGAAGATTGTGTGTCAATGGTTGCAGCAAGATGTTGATGGAAAAGCTTATTACACATTCGAGTTCGTAGCTCAAGCGCCCAACTTCACCCGCCACGCTCTTAGTACAATTGTCATTGGCAACGGTAAAGATCGTATCACTTTTCCTTATCTCAGGCTCTCTCAAAAGTTATGAAGTGAAGTGAACTACTCGTCTCCTTTCGGTTGCAGGAAAGCTATATACGTTGACAACAGGAGCTAACGAGAGGAGATGGGGGAAGATGAAGGATAAGTTGCAGACAATCGTAGAATCATTCAAACTTGCCAATGTCTGAAGCGACATTCTCAACAAGGACCAACGGATTCTCTTCAATATTAATATTAGTGTGTGCAATTTGCAGAGTTGTATAAGGCTAATAATCACCAAAATTCATTTCCCTGTTTTCAGATAAATACATCTCTTTTTTACTTTTCTTGCTCTGTTGACAGCCACAGTACCAAATTGGAAAAACTCAATATCAAAGCGCATGGACTTGATAAACAATTTTCAGCAGAGAGTTTCTATGTGTATCAACAGGAAGTCGGAACTCTAATGAGAGCATAACGGATACTAATATTGAAAAGCATAATGGATACTGATATGGAACTTCAAAATGAAAATGTCGTAAACTGAAAACTTGAATACTCCAAACATCTATGGAAAGACAGGTACAGACATGGATGAACACTGCTAACACCATATAACTAACAAAACTGTCAAAATCTTGGAATAATGCTCAGAGTCTGAGAAGCAGTAGCTACAAAAAGAATGGAACTTAGATAATCCCAATCTTGTTTGCCACATCCAAGGCATCATAGTCTGGAGTCAACCTGACATAAGCCTTCTTGGTTCCATCTGGCCTGGAAAGAGACACCAACAAGGGCAATTCAGGTTAGATTAACAGAATCAATACTGATTCCAACAGTCATAATATTCAACCTGATCTGATTTCAAAAGAGCCATGTTTACCTGATCAAGGTGTTAACTTTCTTGGCCTGAATGTCGTACATCTTCTTGACAGCAGCTTTGATCTTCTTCTTATCGGCACGGAGGTCAACAATGAAGACAAGGGTGTTGTTGTCCTCGATCTTCTTCATTGCAGACTCGGTAGTTAATGGGAACTTCAAAATCTGGTAATGGTCAAGCTTGTTCCTTGGAGGTGCACTGATTCGCGGATACTTGGGGTTCCTCTCCTTCTTGAGAGTCCTGGGGCGGTGAAAGGTGACCTTAGTCCTGATTTTCTTGGCCTTCCTGTTGAAGGTTGGCCCTGATTTCACAGCCTTGGCTGCCTTAGCAGCCTGTGCCTTAGGATCAGCCTTCTTGGAAGCATCAGCTGTAAAAATCGGTGGAAATTCAAAACCTTAAAACCACACAAAGACCTTATTAAAGCGTCGCATACTAGCCCAAACAATTCATCTTTCCGACACTCCGTACGGAACATAACCCTACTCATAACACCATTAATGCAATTATGGAAACCCCAAGGGAAGGAAGATGAAGCTAAGGGACTTATTTCTAGCTTGTTCTAAGTTCAGACATTGTGAAAGCGGTAAATGTATGAGCAAGAAAGAAAGGCATACCTTTAGGCGCCATTGTTGGGAACTCCGAGCAAAACCCACAACTTCTTACCTGTTTCATACAAGCCAGAAACGTCAGAAATAGTGAAATACAGTCACCGAAAAGCAAAATCACACAATCACATCACAATACGAAAATAGAGTAGAACAAGGCAATGAGGGTGAAGACTATGGAATATTTGATTGCGAAATCAGGTTAACTCATACGAGATCTATAGTTCATTTCCACTCGTAATAGAAGATGCGTATCCGTTGAAAACGGACATAGACAAAGGTAAGAGTTTCTCTCTATGACCGAACCAAGAAAAAGAAGGTTAACACAGCTATGTTCAGAACTCCATAAGAACGGCGAAGAGAAATTCGAGCTTTGCCGGCGGACATACCTGGTTAGCTGCGGCTGTCTCGGTGGCTTGGCTGGACTAGGGTTTTGGAGTAAGACGAACTATTATATAACAGTGATAATTCCCCCATATCTTATAGGCTAACTGGGCTGGATTCGTAGCTTTCCCGGCCTTTTGGCCCAGATCAATTGAACTGGGCTTGATTCAAAATAAATCGTTGTCCTATTTTTTGTGATTGATGGCGGAGGACTTCTTGGATTGTCGTATTGGGCTTAATCCTTTTCAAGAAGTTGTTTTTGGCTTTTTCATTTTTTTTTAACATAGTCGAAAGTCGAGAAACAAAGTCAGAGCACAAAGATTAATCACGGGCGGAAGTTGACTAATCGTCGAACTTCCGATGAAAGAGCGTTTTTGAATTTTTCATTTTACCAACACCATTTGTTATATCGAAGATTGTTTTTTTTTTACCGAAAGACATGTATTTCCAATTTTCCATTTGATCGTTAAATCAAAAGTGTTACTGTTAGGACGAAACAACATTAAGAATTGTGATCCAATTTATAGAGAGCTGTTCACGAGCACAAGATCTAGCTACTCAGTTTGACATTCAAGTGGCGTTTAAAATGAGAAATTGTAGCGCTGAAATTGTCTTTAAGTATTCATAACGACATCCATCCATGCTACAATTCTCCAGAGTAGAGGTGACAATTGGATCAGATTCGTGGATTGGATTGGTGGATCCATGGATCAAATGGATTGGATCCAATGGATTGGTGGATTCATGAATTGGATCCAATGGATTGGTGGATCATGAATTGGATCCAATGGATTGGTGGATTGATCCATGAATCCAAATGACATCCAAAGTTTGGACCAAAATGTAAAATTTGAAAATTTTGGTACTAAAATGTCATAATGAAAAATTTTAGGTACCAAAATGTAATTTTCCAATGATATTTTCGTATAAAAATATAAATTTAGATACCAAAATAAAAAATATAAAAAATATAGGTATCAAATCGTAATTTGCCATTTGGATCCATGGATTGATCCATGAATCCACCAATCCACTCTGGAGTAGAGGTGGCAATTAGGATCCAAATCTATGAATCCAATCCAATCTAATCCATTTGATCATTTGGATCAAATGGATTAGATTGGATTGGATTCATAGATTTGGATCCTAATTGCCACCTCTACTCCAGAGTCATCTTTCATATGTCATTTTCAAGACAGAAACCAATGTGTTGCAATTAGAGTGAATGAGGCAGGGGACCAGTTATTGTAACAACACTCATTGTGTTGTTATTGTAACAACACTAGTCCCCAACCAATAGGAAGCTAGGATTGTGATGACTTTTTATTAAATGAGTTGACCTAGTGTAAAATCAAAGCAGGGGTATAATTGTCATTATGAAAAATCTATTTAAATAAAAAAATAAAAAAATAAAAAATAAAAAATAAAAAAATAAATTTTTTTTTATTTTCTGCCCAAAAATTTGGTCGCCGGAATTCTGCCATCGGTCGCCGGAAAATGGTCGCCGGTCACCGGAATATGCTTTTTGTCGCCGGAATATGCTATTTTGTGGCCGGAATATGCTTACCGGAGTCGGAATATGCTTACCGGCGTCGGAATCTAGTCACCGGGGCCGGAATATGCCTATCGGCGTCGGAATCTGCTCACTGACGGTGACCGGAGTTCGGTCAACGGTCTTCGTTGACCGGTCAACGGTCTTCGTTGACCGGTCAACCGGTCAACGGTCTTCGTTGACCGGATGTTATGGTCTGCATTGTGAGATTTATGGTTTGGTTTCTCATATTTTTTTATGCCTTTTATGATTTGTTTTATTGTGTTTGTGGTTTGCATTGAGAAGTTTCTGGTTTGCTTTATCGTGTTTGTGGTTTGCATTGAGAAGTTTCTGGTTTGCTTTATCGTGTTTGTGGTTTGCATTGAGAAGTTTCTGGTTTGCTTTCCAAAACTTTGTGGTTTGCATTATGAGGTTTCTGGTTTGTTTTAATATATTTGTGGTCTGTATTAGGACGTTTATGGTTTGTTTTTTTGTGGTTTGGTTTACTGTAATTGTGGTTTGCATTATGAGGTTTCTGGTGTGCTTTCGCAAATGTTGTGGTTTGCTTTGTGAGGTTTGTGGTTTGTTTTAGGAGATTTGTGGTATGCATTAGAAAGTTTCTGGTTTGCATTAAGAAGTTTATGATGTGCTTTCGAAACTTTTCTGGTTTGCTTTGCGAGGTTTCTGGTTTGTTTTAATATATTTGTGGTCTGCATTATGACGTTTTTGGTTTGCTTTACCGTGTTTGTGGTTTGCATTAGGGGGTTTCTGGTGTGCTTTTCAAAATATTTATGGTGTGTTTTGTGAGATTTCTGGTTTGTTTTAGGGAATTTGTGGCATGTATTGGGAGGTTTCTGGTATGTTTTTTGTTGTTTGTTTTATCGTATTTATTGTCTGCATTAGAAGGTTTTGGTGTGCTTTAGAAATATTTGTGGATTGCTTTGTAAGGTTTTTGGTATGTTTTAGGCGATTTGTAGTCTGCTTTAGGAGGTTTTTAGTATGCTTTTTGTGATTTATTTTATCGTGTTTGTGATTTGTATTATCAAGTTTTTGACGTGCTTTTGAAAATTTTACAGACGGCAAATGCTCTCATTAGCTTCATCCCATACTGAGTCAATGACCCACAATTCCCTTCGAACACCCTCACCTGCAAAAGTAAAAATAAAAAAAATTGATTCATCAACCATTGGTTCAAGAAAGAGGAAAGTTTGGATTGATCAAAGCTAACTTGCAAGTCCAGCAGAAGAGGCACTTGAGTTTCCTCCACTTTAGCAGCCAGAGACAAACAAGCCACTACAACAAGACGTTGGGGCAGCTGGGGTAGATACAAGAATGTCTGGTTGATAAACTGGCCATCCCTTCATAAAAAGCAAAAATTAAAGGTAGCAGCTTCAGGAACTAAAACTGAGCTCAACTGACTTCAAAGGAAGTAACTTTTTAGTCTGTAATACTACCTGCCTCCCACAAACTGCTGCAACTTTGATCAGTGGGTCGCCATTGTCATCACGAAGCCCATTCGCCATCCGAACCACTTGTTCGCATAGCAAGACGTTGGGGCAAAGAACAAGAGAAACTTCACGGGAAGGTTTGAAACCCTTATCAGAAGCAGAACCACTAACAGCGCCGCCGCTAGAAGCGGATAGCTTGTGAATCAGAGGAACTAGATAGGAATGCGTTTTCCCACTGCCAGTCTCCGCCGCAATGATCGAATCCTTCCCGGAAAGAATCGACGGAATGGACTCAGCCTGAACAAGAGACTGACGGTTGAATCCGGCACTAGATAGAGCTTGAGAGATTGTGTCTGACAAGCCGAGAGCAGTCCACGAAACGCCTTCATCGGCGAAGAAAGTCTCCACGCCGCCACGATTCGCGGCGGTTGAAACGGCGGCTGCTGTAGCTAAGCTCCGAACTCCTCGTCGGCTGAGACGGTGGTCGTCCTTGTCGCCGGGTTGAACGGCGATGAACTCGTGGTGTCGCCGTCGCTGCAATTGTTGGGAAGAAGGGAGAGGTCCGGCATAATTGGAAGAGAAGCGCAGATTGGGGGAGCATGGTTAATTCTTTACTTTTTTTGTTTCAAATTAATTTTTTTATTTTGTCAATTTACTCTTTTATCCTTGTTGTTACTATAACAACATTATGGCTGTTGTTATGCTATCCGGCCCCATGAGGCAGGGGTTGGTATATGCTTTTTTGCCAATCGAATCCCTTCCGGTAACACTTTCGTCTCACTTTCTAATGCTGAATTACCAAGTATGGCTTCAACTCTTACATCACAGACCTGACCATGGTAGTGAGTTACTACCGCATCATAAGCCGCCTCTTGGGAGTCGTGTAGAAACGACCCCATCATCTGGACCCTCCAGGGATGCCTTGGAGCAAGTAGATGGTGGCCAAGGATTGGCATTTCTGAAATACCTTTTCATTTCTTGTCTTATAAATTGGCCACAAGAGCTAGACGATCCCACTTGACTAAGAGAGAAGAGCCAATTTGAGGATCCTCGTGTGATGGAGGCAAATGGGACAATCCCTGGTCGGAAAATAGTGTTTAAAGAAATTCAGCTTTCAGAGGGAGGAATAAGTTCCACAGCCATTTCCACTTATATATTCTTTATCTGTTCAAGACTGAATACATTTTGCTAAACAACGATTATTATAAAATGAAGGCGAGCGATTACCATTCCACTCAATTAAAAAAATACAAATCACAAAGAAATAAATAGACACGCAATGGAGCAAATCATAAAGCGCAGCTTGCGAGCAGCATTCAATTCAATCTGATTCCTGCTCGACGACCCATCTACTGTCACATTAACAAAAACTGGCGCTGCCATCATTCATAAAAATAGTTTCAATTCCTCCTTGACGATTTTCTCCTTCTTCTCGAGAAACACACTGGTAAGAGCCGATTTGGTGCGCATAAACGCCCTCAACAGCTCCAGTCCCTACGCATACGAGAATTAAGCAGAAGAATTGTTTGCAATATTATCGGTTGCAATAATGACTAATGACTACACTTTTTTCAACAAGTGTCACAACCGTAGGGTTAACTTAACTTAACTTTACCTCGCTGATGCCGACCTGCACCACTCTTTCCTCGATGACCCCCAAATCCTTGATATTGAACTTGGTGAGAAGGGAGATAGCAGTAGACATGGTGGATTCCAAGGGCGAAACCGTGAGATCATCCATCACCATGTAGGTCACTAGGTCCTTCACGAAGTCGGCTTCACGACGACAACGTTCCTCCGTGTCGGTAAAATACAGGTACGGTCGACCGTTAGGGGTAAGGGTCGTGTTATAGTTACAATAGGACTTGTATAACGTCCTTTGGAAAGATCGCTTTTGTGGAATTGGGAGCAAAGGCAGCTTTGTGACCTTGGTTTCGGGGTGGAGGTTGGTGACCAGGTAGTCCTTGCTGTTGGGATTCTTGAAGAAAGATAGGTCCAAATTACGAGCGCTGTCGTAGAGTTTCTCGATGCAGCCTGGGATTGTGGTCGTGCCTTCTTCTTTACCATCATGATCATCTGTTACAACAACGAGCCTGGCGATGGCACCAACCGGCATTGCCAGGAAATTGAACAGGAAATCAACAAAGTCTTTTCCTGCTTCCGCGCACAGAACCCTCTTTTCCTTTTTGTCGATTATCAGCTTCACGCTGAAGCTACTGCTTGACGAGTTAGCATTGTCATCATCTGTAGCCGCTGCCATGTCTCTGCTTTCTGCCGGCGGAAATACCCTTGTGAGCTGTGGCTTGGCTGGACTAGGGTTTTGGAGTAATTAAGACGAACGTAATAATAATAATTATATAACACTGCTAAAAATTGCCCAATATTTCTACCCAAAAACAAAAGCCCAATACCATATAACCTAACCAGGCTAGATTCCTACCTTTCTCGGCCTTTTAGCTAACTGGGCTGGATTCAAATTAAAAAATCGTGGTCTTTGTCTTTTGTGTTTGCTGGCCCAGGACTCCTCGGTTTGTACTACTAGAAACGACCCGCTCGCTACGCTTCGCATTTGAGTATATAATTTTAGCTCGGAATGAGTACATAATTACTATAAATGAAGACGATAATAGTGCGCTACTCAACATTGTGTACTAATAGTAAATATGAACAATCCATCTAAATATTGCGGGGTATATATGTTTCTGGTGTGGGTGATGCCTTGCAGGAGTGTCTTCATACACATACAGTAAACGCAAAATCTCATCAATATACATGAATTCAGTTTTAACCAACCTTCGAAAAAGCTGAACAAAACATCATAACACCACTTTTATAGACTTATTAATTATTCTCTCTTTTCCCTGCTTATCTAACGTTCCACACTGAAAACAAACCAATGGTGAGCAGCCTGGTTAAAAGGAACCGTAACCGATCCAAATAAGCAACTCGCTAGCATGCAGGCGATAACAAAGTTAAAGTGGATTGAAACAAGATTGGAATGAAATCGCAACTTAAATTAATGTGAGCATGCCATTGGCAGGAGGCTTCAATTGGATGACTTGTCGACGATGGTCTCCTTCTTCCCGAGGAACACAGTAGTCAGAGCCGACTTATTGTGCATAAACGCCTTCAAAAGCTCCAATCCCTACAATAGGAGAACGATGACGTAATTCGGCATGCTATTACGTACACAAGCATGCATGCGAATGATATCATACATGCATGATCGATGCGATGCATGCCCTTATTGTTGTTATATGGGATAAAAACGCTAAAAGGTGACAGTTCAGTTTTTGTTTCTGGGAAAAGAATTACTAGCTAGATAGAAAAGACGGTCAAGTGATCGATCGGAAACTAAGGAGTATTAGTTTAAAACGTACGTACGTCTGATTATTCAGATTACCTCGTTCAAGCCAATTCGGACCGACCTTTCCTCAACGACGCCAAAGTCTTTGACACTAAACTCGGTGGGGAGAAGGGAGAGACCGGACATGATGGAATAGTCGAAGTGCAGAACCGAGAGATCATCCTTCACCAAGTACCTCTGCTCTCCCTTCACGAAATCCGCTTCACGACACCATCCCATGGTGTCTGTGAAACTCACCTGCAAACTGCACGAGCATCTGCGGGGAGAACGCCCGCTCGAGCTGACTTGTGCACAGCGAGGAGGACTATGGAGTTTGTCACTGCAACAGTAGATTGTCCTTTTCAGGGAACGATTTGGGGAGACGGGGAGCAGCGGCACCTTGGCGACGTGGGTTTCGCCGCGTAGCTTGGTGACGAGGTAGTCTTTGGTTTGAAAATCCTGGAAGCAATGCTGGCTCAAGTTCTCGATGCTGGCGGCCAGCTCACGGACGCAGCCAGGGGCAGGAAGTTGGTCTTTTAAGAGGCGGAACACGGAACCGAGTGGCATTGTCAGGAAATTGAAGAGGAAATCCACAAAGTCTTTTCCCGCCTCGGCGCATAGGACCTTGTTTGCCCTTTTGTCGATGATGAGCTTCAAGCTGAAACTGTTGTAGTATAACAATGAATTATCTGCCATTTCTTCTGATGAAGAGTTAATAGCCTACACGTTGCGGACCGTCTCTCTGCACGGGGAAGAGAGAACGTACCGTAACTATGTGGGTGCATGCGTATTCTTGCATGGCATGGGGATATATATATAACAATTAGTGTCCATCTTACTTAATTAGCCTGTTTTCCATTACTTCCGTTTAATTTGTTTCGTCTTCTGTTCTGTGCGTCGATTCTTTTCACCGGTCCCTCCTTTTCCTGCCTAATTAACAAGCAAGTGGAGCATTGAAAAGTCTTAATTAATCCGAATTGTTTTCACTGCATGTTTTCTTTTACTAAAGCAAAACGGTTTCCTTTGAAATGTTTACTATCGGAATCCTTTCGGTTCCTCTAGATGTGGAAGAAGGACACGCTAGTTGGAAGTTGTAAGGCCTTACATGGCCAATTAAACCTTTCACATTCTGCTATCCAACCCAACAAAAATAAATGCGGGGGAAGCGAGTGCGGACTGTTTTGCAAGACAAAGAAACCTGTAGAGTCGACCTCTAACCTTCATTAATAAAAGCCAACAAGGTTTCCATTTTCGATGCAAGCTAATTCGTTTGTATATGCAGACTATATATATAGTGGCCATTTCTCATCAAACCTATTATTATTCAGTACTGATTCCACTACGTACTTACCCTTCCACAACCATGTCTGCAAAATCGAACGCAGACAAGAACATCCATATGGAAGCCAACTCCCAGAAGATCAAGTTGAAGCTGGTGATCGACAATCAGAGAGACAAGGTACTTTTCGCGGAGGCCGATAGTAGCTTTGTAGACTTCCTATTCTACACCCTTTCTCTGCCGTTGAGTGCCGTCGGCGCCTACTTAAGGGACGCCGGCCCTGGCAGCATTGACAAGCTCCGTCAAAGCGTTGGTAAGCTTGATGAAGGCCGTTATATTCAACACCAGGCTACCAGTAGCGCTTCATCAATCCTTGCGCCTCACTTGCTGACCCACGTACCATTTTTGCCCCGCTTGACCGACGAAATTAATAAGCCCGTTGCAAAGTTTATTTACCATTGTCCTGACTATGGAAGTCATACACATATCTACAGCGTGGGGTCCGATATGGAGAAGAGCCGTTGCTGCTGGTGTTCTCGTGAGAAGACAACCAAAATGGAATTTAGTGATTCGTCGCTCCAAACCAGGCCGGCGAAGTACGTGAACGACATGGTCAAGTACATGGTCACCGATGAACTGTCGGTGTCGCCGTTGGATTCGACTTCTGTTATCGATGCGATCAAGGGATGTGATGTGATCATGGAGAAGTGTGTCGAGTTTGGTCCGCCGCAGGTACTTGTTTATGGGTTTTGCAGCATGGATAAAATTTAATTTCCATTCTTTATGTTAAAGCTTGCATATTTAATTTATTTTGCGACATTCTTTCAGGCACTGGAAATGTTGAAGGCTGTGGTGCTGCAATCCGACAAAGTCCTCACCAGCGTTCTTCTGCAGCCCAAATAAGCTGAACTCTAATATGTATTTGTTGTTTTTATCATTTTGTTTGCCAAGCCTTTCATATAGATATGGTACTAATTAATTGAGTGTAAGCATGGATTTTCATTATATAGCAAGACATTTTTTTGCTTAAATGTTTTTGCCTAGTATCAATAAAGTGCTCATATTTTATATTGTGTTTATCCAAAGGATTTGTTAATAATGATCAATGAGTGTATCAAGATTTTTATGCCACAAACATGTAAAAATTGGTATTTTTCGACTTCAGTTTTTTTTTTAAATAGCATTTTAAAAAAAAAAAATAATAACAAAGTAACCGAAATAACAAATATTCTGAGGTCTCCCTGCTATCCTTTCATGATGAAAGGCTGCCTTGGTGGTGCATGGGATGCCCCGATCATTAGAAGTGCACGGTTTTATAAACATAAAAACATAAATTGTGGAAAATGAAACCTTCATAATTAAGTCAACAGAGCCAAACTATTTCAAACACCATACATGGCTAGCAAAACAACATTAGTATTATGCTGATAACCAAAAAATAAAACCAAGACAAACAAACAACGTTCCAATCAGACCAATCCCCAAGAAACAAAGCCATAGAGCAATTCTTATACAACGGATAACAAAACTCAGTTTGTCGAGCAGGGAGTAGCCTTTAACCCAATTGTACGCCTTGTTGACGATGGTCTCCTTCTTCCCGAGAAACACAGTGGTCAGGGCCGATTTTGTGTGCATAAACGCCCTAAGCAGCTCCACTCCCTAGAATACAAGAAGAAGAAGAACCAATATTATGAACCAAATAACGAAATTTAACTTAAAAAGGGAAGTAATTAAGTCGATTATATAATATTAATGATGTACTTCACCTCTTTGGTGCCGACCTGGACCACTCTTTGCTCGACCACCCCGACGTCTTTGATATTAAACTTGGCGAGAAGGGAGAGACCAGACATCATGGATTCTACAGGCGTAACCGTGAGATCATCCATCACCATGTAAGTCACCACGTCCTTGACGAAGTCGGCCTCACGAAACGGCCATCCCTGAGCGTCAATGAAATCATCAATGTACCTACATTGGCAACCTCCGGGACGAACGGCATAATAGTTGTCACCATGTACATTACACGCCGCCTCAGCGCACTTATATAACGACCTTATCGAAGATCGCCGTGGGGGAAAGGGAAGCAGCGGCACCTTCGGGAACTTGGTCTCGGGATGGAGCCAGCTGGCGAGGAAAGCTTTTCTGTCTGCATTCTGGAAGAAGGATACGTTCATGTTACGGGTGCTGTCGTAGAGCTCCGTAACGCAGCCGGGAATTTCATTATTGCTACCGGTGGTTTGCTTGGTGGGATCTTCTTTACGATCGTCTGTTACGAGCATGGCGATGGCGCCAACCGGCATTGCCAGAAAGTTGAACAGGAAATCCACGAAATCTTTCCCTGCTTCCGCGCACAAGACCCTCTTTTCCTTTTTGTCGATTATCAGCTTCAAGCTGAAGCTACTGGTTGCCGAGTTAGCATTAGCATTTGTAGCAGCTGCCATTTCTTTTCTTCCTAGAGTTTGTTTCTTTTTTTTTTTTTTTTTGCTCTCGCAATTTCGTTGGCGTTACTACTGCTCGCAAAGATGCTTCTGTACGTTGAGATTAGAAAGTAGGGTGTACGCGTCTCTCATATATAGGTCGAGTCCATACTTGATAGAGTACTATTCCATGCGCATGCATGCAGGAGCGATTGCACTGCCCGAGAAGAGAAGAAAACATGGACGTACACAGTCCCAATTCCAAAAAGCAAGCATGCAGACGCTGGAATAAAGTTGGATGGCCTTCCGACTTCCGAGGCAGACTATGTGAGGTGTTGTCACGCCGGCCGGCGTGCCACTGGTTGAACCTGGTTCAACCTGTACCGGTCATAAAACCGGTATGACACCACCGGTATGACCGGCATGATCGATATACGAATCATCAAGTAAAATGATTTTATCTTCGTGAATTTAATTGATAAAAAGTAATTTATTATTTATTTTATGTGTTAAAAAGTTAAATGTTGATGTTATTTGTTGGATTCAAGTACAAATATTTAGGTATTGACGTTAAATGTCATGTTTAAATATGAGTATTTGTAAATTATTTGTAATATTAACCGGCATGAACCGGCACAAACCGGTATGTACCACCGGTCGAACCATTTCACTTGCTAAACCGGCACACTGGCACAAACCGGTTTGACAACTTGTGAAGGAAATGATCGCGTACATGGTCACCGATGATTTGTCTGTCTCGCCTTTGAACTCCGCCTCAGTGTTTCATGATCGCGTACATTTCCTTCTCTGCTACAGTACTATTGATGATAATTGGGTGAAATTTGGCAGCAACCCAGGTAGCCGCTACGGGCTGCTACCATCCACGCGGCTCTTAGTAATTGGGCCAAAAACAATTTTCAATTCTTCAAATCAGAAGTAGTAGAGGACGGAAGGGAGACAAACTTCCGTTATTAGTTTTCCCATTTGAATTTTAAGGAGCAGCCGTCTCAAATAATATAGTTTGCTTTAATTATTTTTCATTTAATTTTTAGTATTAGCTCTTTATTATTTAACCTTAGGAATGTGATAATAATTAGGATCATTTGGATGAGCAATTCTAACGAATCAATTTGATTCAATTGTTTCATTTTGAGACAAACTAGTCAAATTGATCCATTTGACAGCACAAAATATGAAGCAATTATGTATGGAGAATTTCAAATTGTCTGGTGCGGGGTAGACAATTCGAATTAACTCGATTTCATTATATCTTATACGGATTTCATACGTGTTTATTACGGTAGCCATGAAATGATTGAAAAAAATGAAACTGTTTGAATGTAGTACAAAAGTGAAAGTATGTATAAAATATGAAGTTTGTATATGCCTATTAAATGGAGTATATACTATTTAACTAGACCATGAAAAATCAAAAGGCAAAACACAAATTTTATAACAAGGGGATATAAATTTTTTTTGGTGAAATGTAAATTTAACGGAAGTAACCCTAAATCTAAATATTAATTAAATGAAAGAATGAAAAGAATGGAAGCTATTTCCGTTCCATCTCCTTAATTGGAAAAAGAGAATAAGTTAATGACAGAAGTTAATTAGCATCCGTACCGTCCCCTGCTCCTTCCCCCGTCAGTTTGCGATTAACAAGTATAGGAAATTATCTATTGGCCCAATCAATATGTGCCACTTGGATTGGCAGCCGCTACCAGCAGCAACCCAGGTTGCAGCCAAATTTTGCCCTTTAATTAAAGAGCAACACGGTCAGATAAGTCACTGAAATAAGCTGATATTAGAGTGGAACTTTTCTTCAAAAAAAAAAAAACAGTGGAAAATGTTAGGATTTTAATTAATGCAAGGGAAATGAGAAGTCGAGAGAATCAAAAGCCTGCATGCAGAGTTGGAACTTGGAAGGCACACCTTTTTCGTTATCGAAATAAACAAGACCATGATGGTAGGAATGCAGACCGTCGGCCCCCGATAACGTAGAGAGCAGCAGATTCTTTAATGGCTTCCACCTGTATAAATAGGAAACTAGCTAGTTGAGTTCACAACGTAACTCACCCACAAATTCCAACTGCTTTCCAACCAATCTATCGTGGATTGATTTACAGTTTACACAATGGCTGCCGCAGCAGCTCCTACGAGCACCACACCTGCGGCGACCAAGCTGAAGCTGAAGCTAATGGTGGACAAGAAGAGAAACAAGGTCCTCTTCGCCGAAGCCGGCAAGGACTTCGTCGATTTCCTAATTTACATCCTCTCCCTGCCCTTGAGCGCAGCCGCCAAGTACGTAGCCGCGCCATCCAGCATCACCAAACTCCACAACAGCATCGAGTTGCTTGAGCCTGGTGGACACATGAAGCCGGATCCAACCAACACCAGATGTATTTCCATCGTTATCCCTCACTTGCTGACCCACGTCCCGCTGTTGCCCCGCTTGACACCTCCAGTGACGACCCCGGTTTGGAAAACCTTGTACAATTGCCTCAACAACCATAGATATGTCAAAGACATGGTGTCCAAAAACCCTACTCGTTGCATATGTACCGGTTCAACTGGCCATCAATGTAACCAGGAGATGAACTGCGAAGTGTCGTTCAGCGATTCATCGGCTCAGACGAGGGAGGCAGACTACGTGAAGGAGATGATCCCATACATGGTCGCGGACGATTTGTCGGTGACTGCTTTGAACTCCACCTCTGTTTTCCATGCTGTCAAGCTCTGCGAACCGAGCAATGTGGAGGAGAGGGAGGTCGAATTTGGGTCTGATGAGGTTCATGTTTAATTTGGATTCAGCTATCTTTTTGTCTTATTATTGGTTGAGGTTTCATTTTGATCATTTTTCCACACCAAAAAACAAAGAAAGTGTTCACTGTCTTCAAACAGACGACGATACCTGATTGCATTTCCTTCTTTTTTCCCTGGCTTACTTCTTTTCTTTTTGTGTGCAGGCTCTGAAGTTGCTGAAGGCCTCCTTGCATTCCGACACACCTCTCACCACCGTGTTTCTGAGGCCACAAGTGAAGGAGGAAACTGATTGAAGCACGCTCCAAATCGTTACCCATTTGGTTGATACTTGAGATTTAGTTCTTCACATTAGTGTCCTGTTTCATTACCTTTCTCTGCAACATTGACGTTCATGCATATTGTAGCCTGTTTCTTGATTTTCAGGGTATTTCACAACTTTGTGTTCCTTAATCCCTATTAAACGAAAATGAAAATTTTTTGCGTTGGTTACTTATGCTTCAGTTATAATAAACAAGTAGCCACAATCTACTGGTAGGGGTGGGCATTGGGTGGGTCGGGTGGATTTTGACCATAAAATGCACCCACCCGCGCTTAAATGGATTGATAATTTTTAACCCACCACCCACCCACATTTAGTCTCGGGTTGGGTCGGGCGGATGGTGGATGATTCGGGTGGGTTTGTGGGCTCACCCACATCACAATGTATATAATATAAAGGAGTCAACTTGACATGATAATAGGTGAAGAGAGTTATCGGGGGAAACAAGAAGATGAAATAGGGCGAAAAATGTCGAATTGGTTCTTAAATTGGATATAAATTCTATTATGAAAGAGTTTTCTACAGATTGAGATGATTATCAGGTGCAAGGAACTAAGAAAAATAATTCCACAAAGGAAAGAGCGGTGATCTAGGCACAAGAATTAGAGAAAAAAATAAAGGGAAGAAGAGGGGATCGCTATTTGGAAGGTTGGATTTGAGGTTCAAACTCGAGGAGCAGTCCTAGTTTATGTCTAACGTCTCCACTCTCCCCTCTCTAGTGCCGACGACTTTGATCTCTTCGCTGTTGGGTTGAGCGGGTCACCCGCGCACCCACCCACAACCCCACCCACCACCCGGCGGGTGGCTCCCAGCGCAACCCGTCACCCACCCATAGATCCACCCACTTAATGAAATTTAGGTCAAATGCGGGTGGGTCGGCCCAAACCCGCGGATGATCCGCCCGCATGCCCAGCCCTATCTACTGGTACAAGAGAAAACAACACATAAATATAAGACCATAAGACTAGAGGTGGCAATTGGATCGGATTCGTGGATCCGTGGATTGGATTCGTGGATCTATGGATCAAATGGATTGGATCCAATGGATTGGTGGATTCATGGATTGGATCCAATGGATTGGTGGATTGATCCATGAATCCAAATAACATCCAAGGCTTGGACCGAAATGTAAATTTTGAAAAGTTTAGGTACTAAAATGTCATAATGAAAAATTTTAGGTACCAAAATGTAATTTTCCAATGATATTTTCTGTATAAAAATAAAAAATTTAGGTACCAAAATGTAAAATATAAAATATATAGGTACCAAATCGTAATTTGTCATTTGGATTCATGGATTGATCCATGAATCCACCAATCCAATTGGATTTGGATCAAATGGATTGAATTTAAATGGATTGGATTAGGTGGATAATTTGGTGGATGGATTGGATTGGATTCATGGATTTGGATCCTAATTGCCACCTCTACATAAGACCACTAACCTTGACAGTAGTTGAACATTTAGACCATATTAGATTGATTGCCTCTTGGTACAAACTGAAACTGTGATGAAGGTCGTTGCTGCTACCAACGCCACCACTTTCTTCACAAAGTAAACAATAGTCAGAACTCAGAACCTGTGTCGATTATATAGATGTTTTCAACAACACCAGTTCTATCCAAATACTTCTCACTCGGCTCTATCTAATTCAGCTATAATTTTGAAGCGTCTCAACACATTGGATCATCCTCTCATTCGTTAGAGAGACACAACATAGCTGAACTCGGCACAAGTCTGCCAATTTCAGGTCCATTGGGAACCCATATAAAGAAGGCTGCAGATAGACAATATACAAGTTCAGGAAACTCCGAATACAAACGATGCTAAAGTTTAGGAGCTTCAAAGTGTATTTGATCAAGCAGCAGCGACAGAGCAGGAAAGTTTTCAATGAAATTGAATATGGGTTTTCGGTTCTATTTTTGTTTCTACTCAGAAAAGCGTCTAATATAACAGTTCTGTAACAAGGGAATGAATATACATGGGCAAAGAAACATGTCTGGTGTCTTGTAAGGAGAGGGCAAATTCCAGAAGCAGTTATGGAAGGGGACGACGCACGCTCCCGCAGCTATACCAATGTACACATACAACCAGGGCGGCACAATGCGATTAGCCAAAACAAGAAAAGATATCAACTTGTTGTCGCTGCTGCTTAGCCCACCTACAGAAATATCAACCGAAATTCAGCACAGCTAGGCAAAACATCCACCAAAGACTACTGGCAAGAAACATAAGTCTTCTTTCATTCTCTCTATCAGCAGAAAAGTTGAGGAAAGGAATATATAAAAAGATTTTTATAATATGCTTAAAGAAACTGACAGCAACACCCGCTGAAAATAAATGATTAATAGTAGGTATAGAACCAGAGATAGTTGTGTAAAGGAGAATTGACACAAGACTATAGGGGGGAAATGATGCTTTGTTACCTCATGGTTTTAGCTTCAGGAGTTCATACTAGTTCCAGATATCTTGTCCCTCAAAAAAATTACAGCCCGCTGAAGATAATCAAATCACTAGTTATACTAAATTGGTTACTTATCACCTCCAGGGTGTGCTACAAGTCACTACCCAGCAACGCAAGAAAATCAGCTGGTTCCTCTCCTTCCTTCACGACTTGCACCTATGCAAATTAAGGTAGAAAGAAGCGTAAGGGGTCCACATGAAGAGAAAATGAGAAAAGCGCAGCAGTAACAAACTGAATCAGAAAGCAGAGCAAAAGTTCAAAAAAAAATTCACCAGGAAAGGGGTGAAACATCAATAACATATGTAAAGCAGATTGAACCATGTTGAACGGCCGGCATCAAGAAAGCTTAATCAACTCAGAAAGTCTACAGCTTCGACTGAGCATGCTACCATTTTAACAATAACTAAAGAGCAGTTTACTTCACTACATTATCATGAATTCGTGTTTCTAGGTCTCATTGGCATGAACTCATTAAAGCAAGGTCTATGGCATGACCAGCAATATGACTTCAAATGTAGAGGTTATCCTTTTTAAGTTGTAATACTAAATACGCCCTCCACCAATGTGTCAAGAGTTTCTATGTTTCTGCGCAGAAGCACCTCAATGATCATGTCCTTCAGAGTCCAGACAGTTCTTAATGAAGTTACTTTAACTGAGCAGGGTTTCAACTTATAGTCTTAGGAAGGGTTCTACTTTCCATATGCAGTAGACATCAGTGATCTGAGAACTATATACGGGAGCTTTCATCTCATTTGCACCGTGTCTTTCTACTTGGGAGTTGGGTGTACTGGCTACGGTGGAAGATTGAAGCTAGTCTAGGAATTGGTATCGTAAGTTACAGCATCAACATAGTGAATAAGACATAACACCAAAAGGTAACCCTTAACATAAATATAATGATGAGAAGCAAATGAGTTAAGATGCAGCCATATCATACCTTGATGGGAGCGTCCATTTGAAGTCCGACATGATTTAAAAAATGACAACCAACCAGATCCCAGTCAATATCCCGTACATCCACATAATCTCGGCTGCATTCTAACTGAATCAAGCTCTTACCACATGAAAAGGACTTGCCTATCCAAAAGTACAGAATCCTCCTTACATCCCTATCCAATTTAGGTGGCATCAATACTCCAAACGCTGCATTACAATCCAAACTATCCCTACTAAATGGTGAAATCCTCTCTAAACAGGGCCAGCGGTATGCAAGAGGTTTTACATGGCCACACTCTGCTGACACTATTTCATCCCTGGAACTATCAATTCCTTCACTGTGAGAATGCTTGTGACCAGGTTTATCACAATTTTTTAAGAGGCTGGCTTCCTTGTGACACAAGTTAGCATCAACTACACTGTTTGCACTCAGATTAGACTGCTGAGTTGAAACCTGAACTCCTTTATCTTTTTCTTTAGACTCTAAAACAATCTCCACACTATCTGAAACACACCAAGAGAAGCCATTGTTATCTAACCTAGCACCATCTTTGCTTGAACGAGAACCAGCTGGCACACTGGCCGCCTTATCAGACGTCATTGGCAACTTCAAGGATTTTGACAAGCCACCTCTACGCTCTGCAAGTGAAGGTGATGACTTCCTGGATGGCGAAGACGCAACCTGAGAACTCATTTGAGATGGAACAATCACACCATGTTCATCAGACCCATGGCTCTTAAGAGACGGTTGGGTTGATGGGGCAACAGTCAAGTCACAAAAGTTAGACAAAGTTGAAGACACAGGAAGAGAACAACAAGAAGCTAGTGAAGGAGAATCAGGAGAGGACTCCGAGAAGTTTGAGCTTGTGCTAGAATCAGAAGAAGTGGTGGAATCTGGAGAGGGGTAAGGAGGTGAAGAAGATGAAGATGATGCTGACGAAGATGATGAAGGTGATGATGAATGGACAATCATCATAGTGTCTGAATATACACGAGAGAGAAATGTCCTGGGGGCAGAAACAAACTCTTTCGTATCAACAGGGGCAAACTTTCTCCTGAGCATACTCCAGTTACTTTCTCTAGCAGGAAGCCGGGTTTCATGTTCCTTTCCAGATAATGAAACAGGGGGTACAAAACCACCTTTAGTAGCCTTCTGGAACATCTCATAGTCAACATTATAAGCATCAACCCGCCTGTCCCCAGGGGAAATCTTAGATGATTCTGCGTCTACTCCATTGCGAGATCTATCCATGAGAGGTAAATAATTTGAAAATGCATCCCAAAAGTATGCTGGCTCTTCTCCTTCTTTGATTACTATTGTTGGACCCTGAGCCCTCTCATAACGAACAATCTGGCAAACAGCTCCTCTTGCATCCCTTTCCATTATGGCTTCACAATTCTTACCAACCCAAAGATATATTGTAGAGGGTATATGAAGTATGAAGGCACCTCTAGAATCAAGAGCAGATGGTACAGGATCATTCAGCATTTTTGGGACCAGATGGAGAGGATCATAAGGCGAATGCGGAGCCATTCTATACATCCTCAACAACGAACTTGGACTCAGAGGAAAAGCATGAACCCTCTTTTGACACTGTAGTAACTGACAGGCAAAACCCATATTTGGATCGGCAATTCCTCTTGCTGCCTTGACATATTGAAATGCATCATCAAAACTCTGACCCTCTCTCCACATAAGATATGCTATTACCAATGATGTGGACCGTGAAACACCTTGGCAACAGTGCACAAAAACCCTCCCACCATGTTCCCTGACATCCTCAAAATAATCAAATACATCATATAGAATGCTTGTTATGTCCTCCGAAGGACTATCCTGCAACCACAATGTCTTGTAAGCAAAGTCAGCCTTGAAGTACTCAGGACAAACAAACCCAACGCAATTCAGGACATGGGTAATCCCATTCTGTTTCAAAATATCCCTATCTCTAGCCACAGCATCTCCGCCGAGATACACATGTGCTGCTACTTTCGAGCATTCTTTATCAAACACAGCAATCCTATCCCTCTTCACTGACCCACAAGTTCTATCCTGGCTTTTTTCGATTGATGACAGATCAAGTTTCAATCTATCACCCGTCTTGTTGCCACTGGGAGTTGACGGCATTGGCCACTCGCCCAGATCATCAGAACCAGCTTTAGGCCACTCATCCAAACTCCTCCGGGCAATGGACAACGGCTGCAAAGGAGGCAAGCAGGACCGTGCTTTACTATTATGTTGAGACCTTGGAGTCAAGGGGGCAGGATACCTCCGGGTTTGCCCACCTTCACAGCCACCAACATTATTACCATTAGGATCCATGACACAGTCTTTCTGATCACCTCCTGGATTTTGGAGCCCTGTCCTGGAAGAGGACCAGGATGCTGAGCGCCAGAACACTTTGCGCCCACCAGTAGGTGGAATTTGGCACGGTGGCAAAGAATTACCTGGGCCATCCTCTTTCTTCACCATGCCCACTTAACTATAAGAGGCGAAACAAAAGTAAGATTTGAACCAGACACCAGACCCAGAAATCAGAACCCCCCAAAACCTCTGGGTTTGACTACTCTTTCCCAACTACTGAAGATTCGGCAGGGAAGGCTTAACCAGAAGGTGGGAGAGAAAGTGCATACCAGATCAAGGCTGCCCGACTTTCCCACAGAATGTCGCTGCAAGGAGGAACACAAACCGTTAAACTTCCACCCCGGAAGCAAAAGATTTCAATTATAAAGAAATCCTAAATCAATACAAATATTTCATAGCACGGCACTGGAAGACCATGAGCACGGGATGGACGAAAAAACCTAGCTTTAGACTTCTAGTCTTTAAATTCAGATTTCATTATTTCAAACAAAAACCAACATCAGTTTAGCCCCGAACAAGAAACCAGAAAAATAAGCACCGAATCAGAAAGATGCCAAAGCTTTCATCTAGGGTTCTTCATGGAGCGCAGAACTGCCGTGAGCCATAGAAAGATAACGAGATTGAGAGAGAGCGTGGAGGAAGTGCATGAATTCGGAGATTTGGAACTTACTGAGTGAGAAGAGACGGTCAAAGCAGCCACGGGTAGCAGGGAAGCAGAGGTTCTGATGAAATGATGAAGCGGGAGATGAAGAAGGAAAGGTGGAGCGGATTTGAGAGGTCAGGCACAGAGTGAAGAGCTGAGGGAGAAGGAGACGGTGACGAAGGAAAAGAAAAAAGGGAGCAGTTGCAGTCATTTTCAGTTTCCACTGCCCCTTTTATTTCCCTTCTCACTCTCTTCCTTTTTACCGTTCTATTTTACCAAATTTACCCTTCTCTGTTTATTTGCATTTGATATTTATTTTATAATTATTTGCATTTGATATTACTTACGTATTAGTATCACAATTAGGAAAATATAGGGCAATAGATTTATTCACATTATCATCATTTACATTACAAACACAATCTCGTTAAATCATATCTTAACTTAAACAAATTTGAGTTTTATTCTTTGGATAAAATATACCGCATCAAATATTATGATTCGTGAGACAATTGATCTCATCATTCATGTTCAATATGATACAAGGGGCTTTAGGTGAATGATATTTTATGACTCTAGTAAAAGATATTTTTATAACTTATAATAATGGATCGATTTAGTGACCTATAGTTCGATATGACCTATTAAATATCCTAATTTAATATGAAAAGATTTAAATTGATTCCAATTTCATCGAATGTCTTTGAATAGACAAGACCAAAGTTGTTTCGAGATTACACTTTTTACAAATTAGTAAAACCTAGGAGGTTATACCTACATCTAGTGATCCAACGATGGATGAAATTATAAAATCTATGAGATTTGCGAATTTGATAATAAAAAATAAATCTTCATATGTTTGTTATAGTTATTTTTCTCGCGAGAGATGATAAAAAAATGTATGCTACTTCATATTAATTCTTCTAGACACGGAATAATTTTAACTAACTCATTAAGTAGTTTTCTACAATACTTAGCTTACTTTAAGACGGGTTGTACTAATAGAAAAGTGTACCGCGCCTTTGTTATGAGCTATCGTGTTGATGATTATTGGTCTACTAATATGCATGATCTTGAATTTTACAACATGCTATGTCAAAAATTTATGACATGCATTATTATCGGTTATATTTATATTTTTCTTATATTTATTGTGTAACAAAATATTCAGGTTATCGTGATTTACACTAGGTTTTCATACTTCATAGACCTATGTGTGATGTAATAAACTGTTCTGATGCATTGGACAGAAATGTAAATTCAGTATATTAACTTTTTCTTTTTCTTGTTTTGGAAAAATCCAGAAAATTTAACCTAATTACAAGCTATTTCCCCCAAATGGACAACCGCAAATAAGAATATCTGTGACAACTAGCAAAAAATGCAAGTTATTAAAACACATTCATTTTGCTGCCATATATTGAACTTTTTTGACAATGAGAAGTTAAGTTGGTAGGTGTGCAATACCAATAAAGAAAATGACATATATAAAGTGATTATGAAAAGTAATAATATGGGAGGATATCTGAATTCAGAAAGGAAAAAAAGGAAAGAAATCAGGCCATTGAAGAGTTTTCTGTGGTCAAATTTTGGTTAATAACTTTCCTTAATGAAAATCACATTCATGGTAAGTTTCTTCTTTTTTTTATCACAAAACTAACAGGTTTTTTTGGCACAAATAATTTTAAAAAATTCAAAATTAGATGGAAATTGAAAATAATATTTCACTTCAATATTTGACCTCTGACCAATGGTGGATCCATGTTTGAGGACAAGTCTAAATTGGATGTGGCATTAGTGATTCGTTGCCCAATAGATCTGCAATGTAGGCATTGAAAATATAAATGGCCGAGATCACGTGATTTGATGATCGATTAATTCATTAAAGTGAAGTTGAAAATCTTTACGCTTAACAGTTTTTTTACAATACAATAATATTTGTCTACGGAATGGTTCATATTGACTTGTCTTTTAACTCAAATAATAATAGAAAAAACCACACGTTAAATTGAATTATTTTATTTATTTAACTTGAGATAAAAGAATATCCACTTTAACTTTTAAACCTTCAAACTAGAATACCTTTGATAAATGATAACATTTTGAGTCAGTAAATGAGTATAATATACCGCCTATATTTTAGGAATTATACACATGATCAATGAATTGTAACTATATCACATCATCCATAAAATTTCAGGTTCCATCTGAGCTATACACTTTAAACTTTTTTTTTTTTTTTAACACTTGAACCATATTTGACCATATATGACAAAACACCTTCTCTCGTCCAACTTATAGGTCCATCTAATATAGAAAAGGATTAGGAATAAGATCGGAAGATGCAATTTTCCGATAATGGGAATTGAGGTTGGTAATGCTTTTCCTCAAATCATCATAAGAAAATGGTAGGACCCTTCAAAACTATGGTCGCAAGATGCTATAAACTACAAAGTATGTCTGTAATAAGTTACTGATAGAAGATACGCAGACAGACTTACTGGACAACCGAGAGCTAAGACTCCAAGGTTGGTCATGACTTTTTGTGGTTACTACACTTCCTTTGACTTGATTCCCAAGTATGAAAAAGACAGTTATAAGATGAGGTTAGTCGTACATAACAGCTTTTGGAAATCTGTTGTCTGGTTGGTTGATGAATTTCACAATGATTGTTTTCGTATGTGAATTCTAGGCAGGGATCATAATCGAACGACAAAGTATCCTCATAATATAGGAAAAATCTTGACTTGTAACCGGATCGTTTGTAAATCCTTCACGTCCTAAGTGGAGTACAGATTCTCGTCAGCCACACAGTGGATTTGAAAGAACAATCATTAAAATGGATTTTGGCCACTGTCCGTCAACATCATCTGTGTCTCTTCCTCGTCAAAAAGTCTAGCGTTCAGTGCAACTATTTCCTGGATTAGTAGACAGGTTAGCTCAGCAGACTCACTTGTCACCTTTGCTGATAACCAAACTAAACACTTTCAGAGACATTCACAGATAACAATCCACACCGGAGAGAGCAGAGTAGAAACCTAATTAGGAGTGACCATGATCTCAAATGGAAGGCAAGTAAGTTCAACTAGGAGCAGAAATTGGTTAACCCGATTCCTTAATAAATAAATTACAACAACAGGGTATAGGCTCAAACCAGGTTACGGGCACCTGGTGGTTCCCATACTAGAAGAAGAACCGTAAAGTTGAACAAATGGAATTTTTACAAACATAAAGATCGTTATAGCACAATCCTTGCATGAATACAGGAAGCCGCCACATGGGATCATTGCAAATAGCATGAACCTGGGCCGATTGGAGGTTGCCTGGCATATTTGTTATTGACTGGAGCAGCTGCAACTCCGCGCCTGTTCAATAGGCATCTGAAGTAGTGCAACCGCGGTAATGCAGTTAGCGTAATGTTCCCAGATATGTCTTCTTTCTTGCTCCATAACCGCTCTGGACAAGGTTAGATAGTGTAATGATATGTTAGTATTGATCTAAAGAAGCCGAGAGTCGAAACTCGATAGCTTGATGTAAAGTTGCTTCCAATGCTTCAGGCAACTATGGTGGGCTCAAAATAGTGCATTCTGATTTTGTGAATTTGGGGGCATACCTGCAGCAGCAGCAGCTCGTGGCCAAATTGTTTGCAGGACATCGGAGGTATCAGCAGTCTCACCCCACATGCAAACTTCTCCACCAATGACAAGCTTCTGCTTGGAGGCATCAAAGATCCCTTCAACTGGATCTGCTGTATAAACATCCTCCCAAGGAACATCCAAGTGGTCAAGGTACCAGAAACCTTGGTTGCTAAATATGCATCTAAAACCTTTAGCAACCGCCGCTGGACAAACTCCTCCACCCAACCTGTGCCACCCAAACCCATTTTCTTTAGTAGTTGAGACTTGAGAAAGTGTTGCTTGAACTCATGTCACAGTTAAAAATTCTTTGCAGTATACGACAAACTCACCAATTATGCACTATGGTCTTTGGGTTGAGGCCTGATGGAAATGCATTGAATGTCTCTTCCCTGGGAGAGAGAGAAAGTTGAGATTTTGGATTTCTTATATGTTAGAACAAGGAATCAAACAACTAAAGATTACAGTAGAAATCAATTTGCTGGGAAATAGGAATATAGGATCGTACCAGTTGACTGGGGTCCAACCTTTTGAAATTGCTATTTCTTGAGCTTTGAGTACAAAATACTCATATGCACCTTTTGTCGTCAAGTTCCGCTCCGCAAGCCTACAATTAGGGGAGTGAACTTTTAAGAAAGTAATGACATATTGATAAAACGGGAAATAAGAACACAGAGGATGAGCTTTTCCGGCAAGCACAAATTTCTAAATCAGCTGTACCAAAAGTCTACTAGGACTGTACCAAAAAAAAAAAAAATTTCTAAATCAGCTTCATCCAATACAATGCAATTGTATAACAGCGCTGGAAGTTCAGGAATCTACCATTTCTTAATATGAGGGGTGGAACTCCAGCAATCTGTAAAATGTCAAAAATCCAGTTTGATTCCAGAGTTCAGAGTTATTGCATAACAACAGTCAGAAAAAGATATTCAACTGCACTAATATTCTCAATGGCGAGCTTGCTTTTGAATTGTGACACCATTTGTTATTGTTTTGAATATATTGAACATAAGCCATCATACTAACCTGTGTTAACTTCATCTCCGCCCAAGTGGAAGAGGCCGAAAGGGAAAATTTTCCTCATGTCTAAAATGGCAAAAGTTGTGAGGAAAAACTTTTGTAAGGAGATAGAATAGAATAAGCACATATCAAGAGATGCAACATACCGAGAATGCTAAGATCAGGAAATCCCAGTGAGGTATACAAGAAGGAATAAAAACTTAACCTGACAGCATCCCTGATATCAAATCAAAGGTAAAATTCTTTGTAACGTCCAGTGGCTCTCTACAGGAGGAAGAAGGCCAAAGATCAGGGTATCCAACTCCCCTGCATATTTGAACATCATGAGTTAAAATATTATCACATTAAGAGCAGGCTCATAACAGATAGACTTTTCAGAATAATCAAATGAAAATATGAAGTTCAGTCCTTTTAGGACCTACACTTTACCGTGTGTCTAGAGAGTGACAACACCAAAAAACAAACTGAAGCAACGTCTCTGTATACAGGTTCGATTATGAACAGAAGTAGGCAAAATGCGAACCTAGAATGGAACTTGGAATAATGAAACGGCAGAAGTTATTTAGTTCACTTTTAAGAGATTAATCACTAGCTACCAAGCTTTCTAGGCACCAAAGTGTTAAAGTCAACCACAAACTAGTTCCTGTTAGTTCAAAGCTGCTGAAGGTCTTCCACGTAAAACATCCAGATTTCTTTCCTTATGTAAACACACTTGCACTTGAAAACTCTTATGCGGTGTAGTGTTACAACAAAAAGCGATGAATGGTCGAGTGACATAAATAATTCAATTACCATGATTCTGCATGACCAGGGACATCTACTTCGGCCATTACATTGATGCCTGCATCATATGGAAAGACAAGATTAGGCAGCAGGAATACTTGTTGAATCTCCTTAACAATTTAAAATTCCATGCAATCTCAACACGTGAACTAAAACTAATGCAGTAATGCTCAAACTTATCCAAACCATGGAAATGAGACTCACCTCTGGACTTGGCAAAGCTTCAAGTTAGACATGGACCCATGAGAAAGAGAGATATATCAGCACAAGAACAATATGACGAAACAAACTAGGAAAAAAATTATAGAAACCAATCATTATGCTAAAGAGAAAGAAATAAGATTGGTCAAAGTTTTGCTATCAGCAGTTACTTTATATAGGCCAGATCCGTAACTGTACGAAGCAATTTTTTTCTGATTCATCTCTCCTTTAATTAAATGGAGCATGACTTCATCTACTTCTCTCTATTTCCCATAACACTGTGAAATTGACATAAAATTCGGAAAACCAGCAGGTCGAATCTTACTTAACAATTTCATATGCATCCTCAACAGTGTAGCGCTCCCAATTTGAATATGAACCTTTCCACAATTTCGGATATGATGGCACTTCCAGAGGAAATGACTGCTCATCTATGATATGCCAATGCAGAACATTCTACTGAGTGCAATTACCATCATCAGGATTAGAGCAAAACATCGAAAGTAAAACCAGTTAGTAAATGATAAAAAAGTGTTAGCCTCACCGAGATCCAAATTTCAGACAACAAGTTCACAATTAGTAGTTATTATCTTACAAATTTGGCATAGGACATGGATTCAATGATCTGCTTGATAACAGCAACCGGCAAATAGTGCCTTGACGTGTCTGAAATGTGACAAGAACGTAATATTAGCAACAGACCACACATCATGGATGATGGATGCAAAGAGTTCCTCAAATTCAACTCAGTTTCCTGCTTACCAATCATCATCCCACGGTAATCAAACCTTGGCTTGTCTTGAATGAACCATGGAGCCTTGTGTATTTGTACAGATTTGGTTCCATAGTCAAATATACACAACTGGCTGAAAGTCTGCAAGCCACCATCATCCAGAGGAAAATACGTGTGACATGTTTTAAAGTTTGAAGTCCAAACACAGAGACCATATGAATTACTGGCTACAAAATACTTGGAAAACCATAGATTACCTCCAAACCCCGCAACGCCCCATAGATGGTATTCGCCTGCAGGAGATGGAACATCAATTCAAAACATAGCTACACCCAAAAAGAACTATAAAAGGAAGAAATAGACTATACAGTATACACAGTTCGACAAAAACTAGGCCGAATGTCACTTTCCCAGAACCATGAAAAACTCAGCCAAAGAGAAAAGCAGAGAAAGCACAAATCTTTTTTGTTACCTCGATAGTAGCTTCCCATATAATGGACTGCCCATCACTCTTCCCTATAAATAGCTTGTAGCTCTCATCCACTCCTAGCGCAAGCTGCATTTCCAAATTACCCAAATCAAATTAAGAACCCCAAGTACTAGAACAAGCTCAGAGTTCAGGAAGCTCGGAGAAAAAAAATTCCATCGGATTCCCCTACAGAATTGAGAAAGAGCTCTCCTCACCTCTTCGCTCTCTGAATGCACCACGATTTTCAGCCCTGCAATATCGTAGCTGGCCGATCGTTTCGCCTTCCGACCACCAGCAAACCTCTCCAAGGCCAAGGACCGCCTGCTGCCGCTCCCGCCGCGCTTGAATATAATCCCCTTGTACCTGTCAAAGGCGTCCTTGACGATCGCCGACTTGCCGCCGTTTCCATCGCCGACTAGGGCAAGGTCGGGGTCAACGGAGAGAGTCTGCTCGCCGGAATCGAAGTCGGCGGGGAGGGGCCACAGGTAAGTGAGGGTACTGGCGTCGGCTCCGGCGGCTGGATTCAGTGGGAGAAGTGTGAAGAGGGCGAGGAGGAGGAATATGACCGGTAAATTTGGACCGTGGTGGGTCTTCATCTTGGTAATGGTGGGTAGGTTTGATCGGAAGGGGAAGAAATGGATGGAGCTATAAAGCAGTGTCTGTGCTGTTGAGTGTTGACTACACTAGATAACTTAGCTGCGGCTCGGGTCGGGTTTCTCTCTTCCGTTTTTTCTTTAGCGGGTCCTTTTCTTTTCCTAGGGTCGTTAAAAAGCGTCTTTTCTTTTTCCTTTTTCAAGCATTGCATTTGCAGCAAAAGCAAGTGCAAAACTACTCAAAAATAGTAGTTAGCTAGCTGTAGCTGGCTGCTAACTTCTTATTGAAACTTGGATTACCAGTACTAATCGTTTGTGAAAAAGTTAGGAATCTAATAAATGTCATTAATATGGTGTTGGCTTTGAGTTTAATGATTTGATCGTAAACCTTATTCGTCCGCTTCACGTCCTTCATTTTTTTAGTAATTATAACTTATATTTTTGGAACCAACAAATAGATTATGCTACTTAAACAAATATCTCGTCATTGCATTATTTAATTAATGGAATAAATGCGGGTTATTGTACAAATGCCCAAGGTACATATTCCATGGTGTGTAACTACTCGTCTCGTGGATTTATGTTAGATTTTTAATTATGGGACAACCAATGGTTCGTTGTGTTCTTACAAGAGTTGTGAACTTGTGAATTGTGATCCACAACTTAGGGGTGGGGAGAGTGCCTTTGGAGTAAGTATAGTCTGTTTATGGTTCATATTTTTCGATTTCGTTTATTATTTTTCTCCATGAAATTTCAAAAAAACTGTCTATTGGTATTTAGTAGAAAAAACCTATGAACAAATAGCGAAAAAGTTTTTTCATCCCTAATCCATCTCCCCATTGACTGCCACGCATTGTTGCTCGGCGCTCTGTAAACTGCTCTCATCTATATTTCTATCTATAAGTAACCATTTTGATTTTGTAATTTAAATAGCTAATGATATTTGATTTTTAATTATGATGTTTAAGAATAATTTAAGCAGAAGAGGACATTGTGGTTTGTGGAGCGTATGCCAATTTGATAATGGAGATGCTTTTTCCGTCGGGTGCAAGTTGAAGGAATGGATGAGGGGAATAGAGGTTTGAGAATATTATTTTTATGTCAAACAAATATAGTAATCTAGTTATGGCTGATTCGATTCCAAGCTAGAAGAAGTCTGCAATTAAAGCCCATATAAATCCAGGATAATACAGCGCATCATTTGATTGTCGTCTTTGTAAAATAACTCATCTTGATTAATACTCTTCGTCTCCGCACGGCACCACACTTTTACAAAATACAGAAAGAAAGCAGGTTATTATCCGTGGGGAAATTAAAATCAAAACCGATAAATCTGGGAAGTAATCCCCTTTTCTGCAGCTCTGGTAACAGTAGAAAATCTAAAAGAATTGAACTGTGTATTTTGTAGCCAATGCAAATAAGTAAATGCTCTCCATTCAGTACCAGCCTACCAGGGAAACTAAAAAGAGTTGACCTGGACATTGTGGTACCAGTACAAGCTCTAAAAAAAGGTGAAAATCTCAAAATATACATGTTTTTTAATTAAAAAAATATAAAATATACGTGTTTTATAAATAATTCCCAAAATATACATGTTTGGGCATCACTCCGGTTATTAATTACAGTGAATACATTCACCGCGGCCTAACCTAACACTGAAACTTCAAACGAACGTAACTTTGCGCTCTGTTATCCACTTGTAGCGACATTTTTTTTTATTCCACATAACTTTTCAAAATCTTTCAATATGAAACAAACCTTAATCCAAACAAAATGTCGTTTGCTACCCCAAACGAGCAATTTTTCGATTTCGACAAACTTTGGAAGGCCATAACTTTGTGCTCGACAATCCGAAATGTCATGAAACTTTTTTGTTTTCGCATAATTTTTTAATATATACAATTGTGGTTCATAAATTTTTAGGGTAAATGACACATTTGGTCACTGGGATTACTAAATCGTGTCATATTTGGTCACTACAAAAATTTAATATCAATTTTGGTCACTCGAATTACTGACAAATGTCACATTTGGTCACTCTTCTGTAGCCTCTGTCCAACTCCGGTCACTCGAATTATTGAAAAATGTCACATTTAGTCACTCGGATTACTGAAACATGTCACATTTAGTCACTCTCCCAAAAGTTTCCGTCCAACTACATTAATGGAGTTGGACGGAAACTGACGGGAGAGTGACTAAATTTGACCAGTTTCGATAGTTCGAGTGAACAAAATTGATATTAATTTTTTCTAGTGACTATACATGACATACTTTAGTAATCTCAGTGACCAAATGTGTCATTTACCCTAAATTTTAAATATCTATAATTTTGTACTCGGCATCGTTTCTCAACCTTATCATAAACCATTTGATTTAGAGTTTGCTTTACCATGAGCGACATTAATTACTGTGTTTTTTTATATCAGTTACGACAATACGGCTACGCTGATCTTCCCCGACTAGAGTCATTCACCGACGAAGAACTCTCACGCTCCTACCCCGGAATCAGTGTCCACGTCAGCTTCAGTTCCATGAGGGGATTTCACGCTATCTTAGCGGGCATCGTCGAACTCTTCGATATGATGCTGAAAGACGTCGTGGAACTCGGCACGGACACAGTGTCCGTCAACCGCGGTGATGCCCAAACATGCATATTTTGGGAATTATTCATAAAACGTGTATTTTAGAATTTTTTTTTAAAACATGTATATTTTGAGATTTTTTTCAAAAAAAAAAAAATCGTATAGCTACTGTTGTGGACTGGAGAAGGAGTAATTATGAGTCAATATGATCGATGTGGTATTCTTTCTGGATAGGCCTTTAGCCATAATAACGCAGAATGCTTGAGATTCATTACAGGCATGAAAGTATGGCTTCTGATGTTGATCCAAGGTTTCAAACAACAGTTTCTGATCCTCTCTGCCCACTCACCCTGAATTATCAGCGTAGAAACCAATGGATTATAAAGCAGAGGGAGGAAGGAATGTCTGCAATTAGAAACAGCCAGCAAGTGTTTCCTTCTATACACTCTTTCCTTCCTCTTCACTGTCAAGATTTGGTAGAGTAAAGCTATATATAGATAGATGTGCAACGATTTTGTCTGACATAATCTTCCCTTTGTAGTTTGTTATAGTTCTACCTCGTAACCTAAGAAGCGCTGTCACTCAGACTAATCGGCTGAATTTGATTCAGCAGATTGTATCGTGCAGCATCACAGAATCATTACCCAAAACAACATCTAGCAAGAATACGTCCCTAAAACAAACGCCAGGGGTAAGGCAGATGAATTCTGACTGGTGAATATCAAAAGTTGAACTAGGCATTGTTGGGACAATCCAATTAAGGATCATCCCTCCAAAAATAGACGTATGCCTCTTTAAAGCAGCGGGCACACGGTATTCTTTAGTAAAAGGCGAAAGAATAGTTCGCTATGTGCTCACTGCAAGGCTGCGTGAAGAACACCAACGTGTTTGAGTTGCATTATATAGCCTAGTACGCCAGGGGTATTATGTCTACAAACGATGTGGTATTTTCATTTTGGGCTGGGCTCCTTTACTTTTAGCCACGCACCTTCAGCCTTTGTGCCTTCCTTTCTTTCTACTGGTACCAAGTCAGTACATGGCTTCTGAAGTTGATATACTGATATACAGTCGGGGAGAAGGGTTTTCTTTATCCCTACCAAGAAGAGTAAAACCACAGATGGAAAAGCAAGCTGACCAAGGAATTGCCTGCTGAAATGGAGAATGGCTTATCCCCAGCCATGTCAAGAAATAGGCTTGCAGAAAGATACATCTGGTATTCAATTCAGCTTTTCCTTCTCCAGAGCCATCACTTTGCTAAATCTCTTCTACTTCTTTCAACGAGACGGTCCCAATCTCAATCTAACTCTTTGGTTTTCTTCGGCAGCTGCTCAATTCAGTAAAAGGGAATTGATTCTCTACTGGTGCAGAAAGAGAAACCCACTTCTTCCAAACAGAGTTGACTGCTACTTGGATATGAAGGTCGGCACTGCAATTTGAATTAATTCTCTACTGGAGCCGCATAAACCCAGCTCCTACTCTTCTCGTTTCTCAAGAACAGCTATTACATCTGAAGGACGTACCATTTTAGATATTTCAAGTGTATGAGCCCACAAAATAAAGGATTATAACTGGGAAATTGTAGGGCTTTACCCCGGAGGGAGCCCTTCCAGAAATTCTCGAGGGCCACAGGCAAGCCGCGGCCCAAGAGGGGGTTTGGAAATAGTTTTCAACCAGCAATTGACGCGCCTCGGTTATTACCTCACTAGCTGCGTCATTGCCCCAAGCGCAAAGATGCCTTTCTTTGTTGGGCTACCAAGTGACTATATACGCCAGCTTCCCTACTTGGCTTTGTCAGTGGACGATGTGGTATTTTCTGCTGCTTCTGGTCAGTCCTCAAGCCACGTTTTAAATGGATTGTTTACTCCTCTTCACTGCTTTCCTTTTGCTCATGCTGTCATGCATCACTATCGTTTGGCCGATCATATGGAACATGTTTTTTTTTTGTCCCTCTCGCTACAATTCGATGGAAGAACTCAGATCAGATCATCTTAAGGTGGTCAACTTAACCCAACAAGTAGCACCATTATGAAATCATCAAAATATGCTACCAGTTAACTTACTATTACTTCCACTAATTGCTCATTTCTGGTATAAATTTTGGTCAAGTAAAATATATTTATTTATGCTGTCAACTTGAAAAGATTTTTGTTACCTACTACCAACCACGCCACGCCCAACACCATAAAAATGTGACAAAGCTGTATAAATGCGCTCCCCTTTTCGCTTAGGAAGATCACTGCTATCCTGCTCTGCGCACTAGCCTCTCCTCTGCGAAAGAGAAAACACGAGAAGAATAAAAAAATGACCTTGGAGATCGCTGTGAAGGCTGCCGCTGGTGCTCCAGAGCTTCTGGGGGACTGTAAAGTTTTCTCCTTTTATCTCCCTCGTCTCTATTTTCAGATACAATCTCATACGGCGACTCGATTTTCGACAAATCATGGTTCTGCGATATGGGTTTTTGATAGGATCCGTTGGGTTTTGGTTTTGGGTGTCCAGGTCCGTTTTGCCAGAGAGTTCTGTTGACATTGGAAGAGAAGAAGGTTCCTTACAAGTCGCTTCTTGTCAATCTCAGTGATAAACCTCAGTGGTACGTTTTCCTTTTTGTCCCTCTCGATGATTGACTTGTTGCTCCGTGTAAAAGTTTTTGCCTTCTCTGTTTACTTTCCGTTCTTTAACTAATCTGATGGGTTGAGCTTACAGTTCTCTTTCTGAGGCTGTAATCAGATATTTGTGACCCTAATAGTAGTGGATTCAAAAGCTTTTAGTTCTACTTACTGAGACTTGTCTGATTGGCTGATCTTGTAAGACAGAACATATTGTTTGATCTCTTGTATCTGCATACTGGATGTTTTATCTTTTGGTAGTACTTCACCTTGAAGAAGAGATCTTCACTGCAATGTTAATGCAAGTTTCCTTTTTATGGTACTGGAATAACTGCAAGTACTTTATTAATGGGGTCATCCTATTCCTACTTACTGAGAAGAAGTGAGAGGCCAAGTAGATCTTGTCTTCTGGATTTACTTTGGGACTGTCTCCTGGCTTTGATTAAGTTATAGTGGTTGGTGCCTGGTTTAGTATGGCTTGTTATGCATACTGATGGAAAAGATTGTGGGTTGTTGTTGGTTTGATTAGGTTCTTGGACATAAGCCCTGAAGGGAAGGTTCCAGTGGTGAAATTTGATGACAAATGGGTTGCTGATTCTGATGTCATTGTTGGGATGCTAGAGGAGAAATATCCAGAACCATCTCTTGTCACTCCTCCTGACTTTGCCTCTGTGTAAGCTATTCTCTTCCCTTTTTCTAGGCTCCCACTGTTTGCATATGTTGCAGCTGAATAAATATTTTAGATCTCATTGAGGTTTATGGATTATGGGTTTGTTTAGCTTCTCGTTCTATGGATCCTTATTGATTATTCTGAACTGCTGGATCTTTTAATTGGCAGAGGCTCAAAGATATTCATATCTTTCATCAACTTCCTGAAGAGCAAGGACCCTAGTGATGAAACGGAGAAGGCTTTGGTTGAGCAGCTGAAGGCACTTGATGAGCATCTCAAGGCAAATGTATGCAAAAACTTGAATTGCATATTCATGTAATAGAAATATAGAATTGATGGATGCCTTGTTTATTATTTCTTCTTGAGACACAAAACTAAATGGCCGGCTATGAATCAGGGGCCTTTTATTGCTGGAGAGAAGATCACTGCTGCGGACTTAAGCTTGGCCCCGAAACTGTATCATCTGGAGACTGCTCTTGGCCATTTCAAGAAGTGGAGTGTCCCTGAAGACTTGACTCACGTCCACAACTACATGAAGGTAAAAAATCCACCCCCCCACCCACAAAGTTTACTTCGATTGGTATGTCCGAATTTGGAACTCGTCCTAGTCTCTCGTTCAACGTTGGACGAGTTGGAACTTGTTCGAGATAGGATAGAAGTAAAAGCTAACCCATAGTATGTATTTGTAATTGCAGACATTGTTCTCCCGTCAGTCATTTGAGAACACCAAGCCTGCTGCCAAAGAATATGTCATCGCTGGTTGGGCACCTAAGGTCAATGCATGAATTAGTTCTCTTATGTGAGTAGTAGTGTGAGCTTCGGTTGTAATGTTTGTCGAGGATGTTGTACTAGTAGACTCTGCTACCCACAAATAAGCTATTTGGCTTAGAAGAATAAAGCTTTGTGTTTTTATCTTGAATGGTGGTGTTATCACTTCATCTGAAATGTACTTGTGGAGAATGGGACTCCTGACATATTGAGGTCTCGAGATGTTGGTGTATGTCAACTTTGACCACATGACATCCCAATCGCGTGCGATAAAAGTTATCACTGGATTTGAATTTTGAGGTGGACAATCATAAAAATAGCATCATCTTGATCTTGTACAAAAATGCTAGTTTGTTCACAGTTACTGCATTGGTTGAAAACCTACAAACCCAGGTCTTATCACTCCTAGTAAGAATTCTACCATCCCTTGTACAAATCTTTTTTTTTTTATATGGACCATTCCTTGTACTAATCTTACCAAGAAGGTAAGGCATGAGGTTTTGTAATTTCGTGGGGATGTGTTTCACAACAGATTTTTTCTCCCTTTGGAGTGTCTCATTTTCATAATTTTGAGAGGATATTTTAATGTGCCTCGTTGTGATTTTAGAGGACAAATGCATGTATTATTCATTAAAAAAATTCAAATTATTACAAAAATAGTTAATGGGGTTGAGAATTGAAAACATTCAAATGAGTGGGTTGAAATCTCACCATTCATATGAGTTTCAAGTGGATATTTTAAGGTGCCTCGTTGTGACTTTAGAGGGTAAATACATGTATTATTCATATATATTTTTTTTCAAATTATTACAAAGGGACAAATAGTTAATGGTGGTTTGAGAAGTGTAAACAATCAAAATGAGTGGGTTGAAATCTCATCATTCATATGACTATATGAGTTTTCAAATAAATGAGTGTGAACAATGTTTGTCCCCAAGAATGTGTACTTTCTAACAATGTATTTCCTAAAATCATCTCATGTGTAAAAAGTAAAAACCATCCATTTCAAGTCAACAAATCCTCAAGTCCCTCCAATTTTAGAATGGCTCACGACATAAAAGTGCATTGGATTGCTAGTTTGCTACTTGTTAGATCCGGTAACAGGATTCTCTTATTTCGGAGTGAATTCAATTACTTAATCCGATTTCAGATCGCACTTTAGAGTATTTTTTGCTGCTACCACAGGCGCCTGATTATTGGATGAACGAACTTTCAAGTAGAAGTAAAATGAAACGTGGATACATAGTGCTTTTACTCACACAAGCAATAGGTTCATGATCATGATAAGGTAGATAGAAAGCTCTGTTTCCTGTACAGGCAAACGTCCAACAAGGAAGGGTAGGAAGGAAATATTACAGCATACAGCCAAAGAACTTTGGTTTGTGAGGATAATAGAATTTCACCAATCTCATTTCTGCTCCTACGTACCATATCTTCATTTTCACCCACACAAAAAAGTAGTTGATTGTGACCATCCATCCAAGCTCCCACCCTTTTGTTTTCGTCTTTGTGGGTTCGTTTCCCTTTTCTTCCTCGAGGTTCTACAGATTGTCCCCACAAAGCATATTCTTGACTTCATTTAAAGAGAGAAATGGAGCGAATCAGCTTCACAACGTTGAGACAAACAGAGAAAACAACCACACAATTTAGCAGCAACTGAGAAGGAATGCTTCCTTTCTCAAACACACGATCATTCAAACAAGACTGAGAAAGAAAGCAATAGGGTCGCTAGTTTTTTGGGCTCAAGATTCACGTGGCATACGATGATGGGACGAATACAACAACAACAACAACAACAAGACTGACATGAACATGCAGCAGCACATAAAGAGACTCGTCCTCTTACGTATACTACATAGCTTCTTCCTTCCATACATGAGGACAGAAAAAGGGCAATGGACCACTAGGGAGCCAATGACACATGTAAGAATAAGCAGTTTGAGATGTTCCTTTCTCGCAAAATACTACCGAAAGGGGGAGAGAAATTGCAAACCTGCAAATGCTTTCATTCATGATCAGTCCTTGGAATCTTCTTTGGAGGATTCAGTGATCATCTTCTTGATCATCGTGCTCGTTTCTTCCTCGGTCATCCTTTCGTCTTTGCTCTTGGATTCAGCATAGGCTTCGAAGAATCCTTTGTTCTCTTTCTCCAGTTCATTCCACACTGCCATCACACAAACAGAAAAAGAGTTACCATCTTACTGAGAAATTTGGGGTCTTTGTGATCCTAAGAATCGGTTTTGTATCTCTATGCAAGGATCACAGTGATCCTGATTTTGTAATGACATGCTGGACATGAAAGGGCCATGAAACTATCTTCAGCCCAATCAAGTTTCAGAAATTGGACGTCCTGATGATCCTGAAACTAGAGCAAGCAACTTTTGGTTTTTCTCTTATAGTTCTGATATGCAAACGAATGATTGAAGAGAAAACGAGAATCTCGAGTCACAATGATAAAGATTACTGTTTGATCATAAATTAGTTCCATGGAGAGCAGGGTTAGGGACCATTTGAAAGTTCGAGCGTTGATGGTTGAGACTTACGACCCGGATCAGCTTTGCTGGTATGCAATAATGATAAATGAGTTACGTGTTTTCTTCATCTTTACCAGATCAAAAATGAAAAAACTAAACAGCTAGACATGAATATCAGCTGTGATTCCTTAAAGCTAATGAAGACTTGCACAGTTGCACAGAACAGTATCAAATAAAAAAGTGGTCAGAGAGGTTGAGGGAGGAGAAAAAACCTGTGGAGGTGATGACTGGTTCGATTTTTGCATGCTTGGAGAGAGCTTCCATGCACTCTTCTTTACTCATATGGAAGATCAAGCATTTCTCTATCAGATGCTGCACCTATATATACGTTTGCCAACCATCAGTTAATATCATCAGCACCAAGTGAAAAATAACAGTGAACTTATCAGAGTCAAATGATATGAGAACAGTTTCAACCATGTGTATGTATGAAGCAGAAGAGTCGCCCTCCATGAATGAATAAAAAATCTTCCCTGAAAAGAAGCAAAAGCCCCACTTCTAAACTAACTACTACTGGGAGCTCAATGAGTTAGGATCTGAACCCACTAACACAACAACTATAACAAGCAAGTGCACATATATATACAGCAACATGGTGCAGCAGTCCACAAGAGAAAAAGTAAGAGAACTGCAGCATAAGGTTTAAGTTGATAGGGGGAAGATAGAAATACGATCAAAAGTAGCCAAAAGAGGTGGAAGTGGTGGGGAAACAAGGTATTAGTAGAGTCCCACGTGGTAGATGTGCAACAATTGGCTGAGAGAGGATTAGGGGAGATTCTGTAAATGACAACAAGGAGCTTGCCACTTAGGCAAAACCTCCCAGCACCCCCTCCACGTGATTGCTGGGACCTTCCCCAGGCCCCAGTCTAGAATTTGTGAGGAGAAAACAGACAAAAGCTCCCATATATGTATGATATGGAATCCTCCAATAGTGTTTTTGATGGAAGTGATCTCTCATTTCATCTCTACTCTTATCTTTCTGGATCACAAGATTACTCACAAGGCTACCAACAGACAACAGTGTGCAGCTAACTTGCCCTTTCTTCTTTGCTTCTTTTCCACTGGTTTATGCTGTGGGACATGCAACCAAGATCACTGATGATAAAATTTTCCAATGGAAGTTGTTCATTGAAACCAAACTTCTTTCTACAAATAGACAGCTCTGTAAAACAGTTCCTGTACAGTTTTTTCAAGTGAAGTGACTCCTGTCATTCAGTAATCTGGCCACGGTAAACATATATTCCTTACCTCCAAACCCTATGTCGTTTACCTATCAATAGCTGAAGTGGCAAAACTTGCGAAGATTTTCTCATATTCTGTGCTTTCCAAAGAAAACAGAAGAAAGAAACCTCCAAGATGCTCTAGTGCTCTCGAGTCTCGAGTGTTGGAAGATATTTCACAACCCCAAATTCCAACAAAAACTGCCCATCATGCCACTAAGTCTACGTGACGAATTGTGGTTGGTTGGCATATGCCTACCCGCCAAGATCCCAGTTTGAACAGCTACTCTAGTGTCTGTCTTCTTTTATTTTCCCTCCTTGCTATCTTACGAATGAATGCAACTGAACATGCAACTAGCTCCCTTCTCTTTCTTGACTGATGGCCTTTTCTTTTACCCTTTAACATGCTAATTTGGCTGATCAAAGTCCTTGCCACTGAACTCTAGTTTGTAATGGGATGCATTTGGAGGTTCTAGTCCTTTGTGAGGTCACAGGTAAATTGCTGATGCATTCGACTTATGATCTCTGCTGATGATTCTGCCTAATGGCATAGTGTAGTGAAGAGTGTATAACTAGAAATATAAACAGCTAAGAATATTCACTACAAGCAAACATAAGAATCTATGTGTGAAATTTATGAAAACTGACTGCTTTTGTCTTGAGGGTAGTGGCTGGAATACCTTGACTGACTGGTTTGTCTGTTTCTGTTTTAGCTTTTCGTGTCCAGTCCAGTTGCATCAATATATTCCTCCCTGTAAGTCACTGAAAATCATACATGCTTATAGGCCTTCAATGGAATAATGAACCAAACCCAAATATGGATCTCAAACGAGCAACTAACCTCACCACACAAACAAGAAACTTCTGTTCAATTTGAACTGAGATTGTAGACTCTTGGCATGGTTATCTAACTTCTAACCAAAATCATCTGTCCAGTGTCTCTTATGTCCACAGACTCCGTGTAATCTAACAGTCAGCAAAAAATCAGACACCAGAAATGTCATCAAAATACACAAATGCTTCGAGTCACATACATGCGTCGTATTTGACCAATTTCAGACTTTCCAACAATATTGATCCGGATTATTGTGATAATGTCGAGACACCAACAAAGGTTTACCATGATCCACTTGAAAATAATGACTATGAGGTTGTTAAGGACATGAAATAGTTTGCAGAAGAAAGTGCAAGCTCATGGCAAGAGACAGCAGAAAGGCCAAAATTAAGAGAGCAGAAAGCAGGGAAGAAAACATTACATAATGGAGACTAAAGTATACAGTGTGGTCCAATGGGAAAAGCAGAGAGCATGATCATAACATCGTTCAGTTCTTTTGGTTCTTCCTCTAGTGCCAATACTTACAAATTTCCTGAAATTGACTGTTTCTGCAACCGCATATAACAGAGAGAGCTTACCTTACCTTACCTTACCTTACCTTACCTTACCCACTGCGGAGCTCGTATTTTGATATCGTTGAAGATCGAGGCAGATGATGTGTCGGAAACCCATTGGCTGCGGGTTGCCAGATGTACCCAAGAATCAAAATGAAGAAGAGCAAGACTCCACCTTCCCCATTTGGTTTTTGATGATCGATCTGGGTTCCTTTGTCAGCATTCTCACTATCGCGAACGCCAGAGCTTTCCAGTGACCCACCATAATCCCCTTTTGTTTGCGGGTGACGTACCACGAAACGATAAACCAAAGACCGGAGAGCAGAGACCCGTTACAGATTATTCGCAAGGACAAAAACTCATGTGGGTCATTCCCACAATTGAACGAATTAGCTCCCTTTTGTGAATCGAAAAATTTAGACGCACGGTTAAGCAGTGTGCATTTGGCTTCAATTCTTTTTGACGGTCACAACCTGTTCGACGAAATGCCTAGAAGAGAAAGAGTGGTTTTAGACTGGGGAATTGGGGGATGGGTCCATAAGGGAGGCCCGCGCGAGCGAGTTCTGCAAAGTAAGCAGCGTCAGCACTCGGCCAGCCTATAACCCCTCCAAAAATTAATTGCGCATAATACTATGTCAATTGCGCGGCGAGCGGCTCCCACCGCTCGCTTTGTTTTCCTTACTCATTAGTTTAAGGCAAGTTTCAACGTTGGAGCACGATAGTTACTTATACCTAGTTGCCTGGCCGACCTTTTGGAAACTGACGATGTGGTATAAGAAGGGAGTTGAGAGCAAGGATTGACAAACCTTCTACCGTGGGCTAAATAGATATGTGTTATTTAGCAGTATAAAACAGCTAAACCGCAATTTCGACGTAAGAAATCATTTACATCCTCTGGTACGTTTTTACAGTGTTTGGTTTAGACTTTAGACTACTATATTAAAAAGCAAGTTGAGACTACTATATAAGAAGGGAGTTGAGACTTTGGGTGTTGTAGAAGTATGCAAATCTAACTAATTTTGTTGTTGATAGCACCATATGGGGGTTTAGTGCTGTTAAGAACAATGCTCACTTCGCTGGTGAGGCATTGAACTTCGGAATTAGGTTGGGAGGTAAGTTGTCTATCTCCTGTGTTGTCCTTGAGGAGGAATGGTTGGTGTCTACTTACTTGTTCTTTTGTCATATGTCAAAAGATGTTGCTTGTTTCAATTTATGCGATGTGTATTTGCAGAATTATTGTTTGTTTGTAATGGTCTTTACTCTTGTTGGAATGCCAAATGGTCAACACTGGTTGAAGACTGATTTGGATCAGGTTGACAATATGGAGGTGAAATGTGAAAAGAAGTAAGTAACCATCAGTTTTTTCAATGTAATTTCTTCTTACAAGTTTTCAGTTAGGCATTGTTCAAAGGAGAACTAGTGATACTTCTCGATACTTTTCATGCACTCACCAACGATCTACAACTTCACAAAAAAAGGGAGAGATGAGAGATACGCGATTTAAAATGATATACAAAAATATATATTTCATATCTAACCGCAAATAACCTAAAATGTGATAAATTGAGAATGTCAAATTATACAATCCAAGCAAGTAGGAGGTGCATAACAACTGTTGCATAGACGACTTGTTGTTGCGGCTACCATGAAGAGTGTAAAAATTGGTCATGATTGCTCTCTTACATTGCTCAAAATCGTCCATTAACTCAGCGACCATCTAGCAACAGAAACATATCATTTGATGGTTGGAAATATTTGTAAAAAAAAAAATGATTGGAAATGGAATATGGTCGTAATCTCTTATAAAATATAAACTACAATCTAATTGAATAATTAATGTGCCAAAGGAAGTACACATTAGAAAATATACATTTCGCGGGACTAAATTGACATTCCGCGGAACTCATGAGGTAAGGGAAGTACACAGGGACAATTCACATTCCGCTGAAGTAGGGTACGGGATTTCGTCGTTGTGTTTATTTTATCATTTTAAGTCCAATGATATTTTTTTTTTTGGTTAAAAGGCAGACGTCGAGCGTCTAATTCATATTAGTAATAGTTCTTACATGGGAGATTCCCATAACATCATGGTTGATCCATCTAACCAAATCCCTATCACACACATTGAAATGATGTGTGCCAAAATCAAAAAAACATGAGCCTTGTTGGCCAAGTAATCGGCCGCAAAGTTTGCTTCTCTATACACATGGGACACTCTGACCTCCCATTGTCGATCCAAAATCAAGCTCAGGTGCCTGGCAGTTGTACCATGGCGGTGCACATCATCATTCCTGTGTTTAATGATGTTGACGGCAGTAGTAGAGTCGGTGTGTAGGGCGATCTTCCTGTAACCTGCCTTCCACGCAATCTTCAAGCCCTCCAAGCATCCTCGCAACTCAGCAGCAGTGATAGAGCAACGTCCAAGATTACACACATAGGCTCCCAGACATCTACCAAGGTGATCTCTGAGCAAACCTCCTGCTGCCGCTCTACCACTCTGAGCATGAAAGGAGCCATCAGATTGGATTTGAATCCATCCTTCCTCTGGCGGTTTCCATCCAACTTCGCAGGGTACTCTCTCCATAGGGACAAAGCCTGCTGTCTTCTGCTGGTTAGCATGAGCTTGATTCACTATGTTGAACCAAGCTTTGATCTTAGCTGTGATACTATCCTTTATAAAGGCGCGTCCTTCCATCACCTCTTCATTTCTTTGCTTCCAAAGTTGCCAACAAATGATCCCAAACTCTGTGGCAGTGTCTTCACACTTGATATTATGTATCAGCCAATCAGGGAAGTTCAGGTTTCTGCTCAGGGTGGACTCCTTGTTTTGAAACGTTTCCCAGATGCTCTTAGCTTTCTTGCACTTCCTGAGGATGTGCTCGATTGATTCCTCTTCCTCATTGCAGTGGCTGCACAAGTTGCAGGTTGTCAGCCTCCTTTTCTCCCTTTCTTTGTTGGTGAGGAGGCGTTCATGGGTTGCCAGCCAAAGAAAGTGCTTAATCCTGCTTGGCCCTCTCCACTTCCAAACAACTTTCCATTTTCCATTGTCCTCCTGTTCCTCCATGTCAGCAACCAGCCTGTGTGCTGACTTCAGACTGAACCTTCCATCCTTCTCCAAGCCCCAAATGGTGACATCCTCTCCCAGCTCAGGGTCAGGTGCATTCACTCCTGCAATTGTCAAAATCACATCATTAGGAAGGTATTGTTCGAGTTTACACCAGTCCCACTTACCCCCCTCAGTCACCCAGTCAGCAACCACAGAATCCAGATCCTCATCACTGATGTCTCTGGTGGCAAAATCAGCAAGGATTGTGTTGTGGTCAATCCACGGTTGCTTCCAGAAGAGGGTGTTCTTCCCATCCCTGATGCTCCAGCATGTGGCCTCTCTCATCAGTCTCATTCCTCTAACTATGGCTTTCCATAAATTAGAGTGATTGCTTTTTTTCATTGTGATAATATCTCCCCCTTGGTGCTTGAAGTACTTCCCCTGTAGGACCTGAACCCACAAATCCGAGGCATTATTAAGCATCTGCCACCCAAGCTTGATCATGTAAGCCATGTTCATGTGCCTAGCAGATTTAAGACCTAAACCCCCTTGACTCTTAGGCTTACAGATATTATCCCAGGCAACCAGATGGGTTTTCCTTTTGCCTTCCATGGAACCCCAAACAAAGGATCTGACCTTCCTATCAATGGCATCACAAATGGACATAGGGAGGCTAGTGGTTTGCATAGCATAGGTTGGGAGTGCATTAAGCACTGAAACAGCAAGGGTCACCCTGCCAGCCAAGGAAAGGGTTCTTGCCTTCCAACTGGTGAGCTTCTGGTCAATCCTATCCAAAATGAACTTATAGGTACTCTTGGTAATTCTACCATGGAGCACAGGGACTCCAAGGTATCTGCCTAAGTCTGAAGTAGCCTGTATTCCCATTCTACTACAGATAGCACTCCTATCCTTGTTCTTAACATTTCTAGAGAAAAAAATCCTAGACTTTTCTTTACTGATCATTTCCCCAGAGGCCAGGCAGAAACTATTAAGGCATTCCATCACAATATCAGCTTGCTCAATACTAGCTTCAGCAAAGAGAACCAGGTCATCAGCAAAGAACAGGTGGGATAGGGCTGGACCCCCAGGGGAGAGCCTAACAGGTTTCCATTTAAGCTTCTTAACTTCACTACCAATACAGTGACTCAGTCTTTCTACACAAAGAGTAAAAAGGTAGGGAGATAGAGGGCATCCCTGTCTGAGGCCTCTTGAAGGAGTAAAGCTGTCAGTTTCCCCTCCATTCCACAACACCTGGTAACTTGTGGAAGTCACACACTCCATAATCCACTTGATGCACAAATCAGGGAATCTGGCAGCCTGGAGGGTTTCATGGAGAAATTCCCATCCAATCCTATCATAGGCTTTGGCCAAGTCCACCTTCAGCACCATACACCCCTTTTTGCCACTTTTCCTTGCCATTGAATGGATGGTTTCCTGCATGATTATAATATTATCAGTAATATGCCTCTTGGGGATGAAACTGGACTGGTTTTTGTTAACCAGTTTGACCATGAGGGGTTTGATTCTGTTAGCAATCAGTTTAGCAATGACTTTGTACCCTACATTACAAAGGCTAATGGGTCTAAACTGGTTCATAGAGGTAGGGTGTTCCACTTTTGGAATCAGGGTAATCAGGGTGTCATTAAGCACTCTGATTTTGGAAGGGTTGTGAAAACAGGAGATAATGAAATCAGCAAAGTCCCTTCCCACCACATCCCAGCACTTCTGGTAAAAGATGGCCTGGAATCCATCCTTACCAGGTGCTTTCAGACCATTCATCTCCTTGATAACAAGTCTGACATCCTCAACATTAGGTAAGGAAGAAAGCTTAGCAAGCAAGATATCATCAAAATGGGGAAAGTCAGTAGGAATGGAACAACCCAGAAAGGAAGAAGGCATGGTGAAAAGATGAAGGAAATACTCCCTGGCCATGGTGAGAAGGGCATCAGCATCAGTGATCCAATCTCCTTGGTCATTCTTCAGGCATGTAATTCTGTTCCTCTTCCTCCTGCTCAGTGTACTAGAGTGGAAGAATTTAGAGTTCAAGTCTCCAAAAACGACCCAATTGGTTCTAGATTTCTGGATCCAGAGCATCTCTTCTTGCCAAAGGGTGTCCTCCAGTTCTTCCCTGGTCTTTTGTTCCTGATTGAGAGAATTAGTGGATGCTTGTCTCTCATTGAGAGCTTCCAGGGATTTGAGCTCATTCAGCAACCTTTTTTTCCTCTGAAAAATATTCCCATAGATCTCCTTGTTCCATTTCTGTAGTTGGGTTGAGAGCCACTTCAGTGAGGAGGGGAAATCATCGAGGCTCTTCCATGTGGAGCACAGGAAGTAAGGGAAATTTTCATGAGCCAGCCACGAAGCCAGAAACTGAAACCTTCTTTCCAGTCTCTTCTTGGTGATTTGAGTCTATGTGCAAGTCAGTATAGGCCTGTGATCAGATTTAATCTTGGGGAGATGCAAGGTGGAAGTGCCTGGGAACTTGTGGTGCCATCTCAAGTTGCAGATACTTCGATCAAGCCTCTCTTTTATACCTGAATGCCTTGTAAACCAAGTAAACTTGGGACCAGAGAAACCAAGGTCCATCAGTCCACAATCCTCCATACATTCATTGAAAGCCCTGACTTTTGCAAAATTAAACCCAGCACCTCCTTGCTTCTCACATGCTCTAGAGATGGAGTTGAAGTCTCCTGTGAGAATCCATGGGAGATCAGTGCATCTCTCCAATCTTCTCATAGCATCCCACAACTCTACTCTGTCATGTTCATTTGGGCTGGCATACACAGCAGTGATCTGGAAGACATCAGCATTAAGGGATGAGCACTTCAGGTTGATGTACTGCTTGTGTTTATCCACTTCCCTCAACAGGATCTCATTCTTGTTCCAAAGCACCCAGATCCCCCCACTGAAACCAGCAGCATCCGAGATAGCCCAGATGTCATATCCCATGGACTTGATCACTGTGAGAGCATCTCTTCCACTAATTCTGGGTTCCAGGATACAAACAATATCCGGTTTGTGATTCTCTTTGTACAAATTAAAAGTTGGCAAGAACTTGGGGTGCTTAGCACCCCTACAATTCTAGGAAAACACTTTAACCATAAAGAGGATGATTAAAGGAATCCTGCACAACCAAAGGTTGAAGATCAGCAATTCCAATGATATTTTTATGTTGCAAATTTTGGGGTGCTTAGCACCCCTACAATTCCAATGATATTTTTATGTTGCAAATTTTGCAGGTATTCAAAACCCCTATCATCAATCTATTCTACCTGTCTTGTCGAAGTATTATGGCTGTTAAGGTCCTTTGCTCACGTAGTTAACAGACCAGTCCAGAAAACCAATGCTTCTTGCGCTGTGTCTCTGTGAGTTCAAAGCAATAATCGACCACCGCCAAGTTGTGGTGATCATAGATCTCGTCTCTATGAAACAATACAGGGACATAACAAATTGCAAAACCCAAAATGTTAAACTGAGACAAGACACAAACAGTATGGACATTTATCCCTTTCCTCGTCAAATTTTACACACTAGCAAATATTCAACACTTACTTACAAAGAATATGTCATTACACACTATATAACACTACATGCCAATGCCTTAGACAAAAAATTCAGGCACTTCTGTGAAATGTGAATACCCCTTTCAAGGGGTGAACTTGTGAGACAACAATGGCTCCAAGTTCGGGTCACCATTCCTGGAAGCAGATGCTTTTCTCTGCCCAGATTCCAACTCGGCCACCGACAGATCCTCCCCTCTCTGTTTCAATAACCTCTCGAATCGATTGGGTTTGGACTCCGCTGCTGGCGATGAAGTTTGGTGCAAACTCTGAACCTGCTGAAGGCAGACTTGGACCGCGTCATGCACTCGTACGAAGTACCATTCCTTGCCAATGAGTTCCACAACCCCAGCTTTCGAGAGCGTCAGTAGAACTTCTCGGTTCGGATTTGTAATAGCTATCTGCAGAGAATCAAAGTGTCAATAATCCATCGTTTGAAAGTAAAGTTGGTACCCTAGAAATAGAAAGTCTGGGGTGCACAAGTTAAATTGTGGTTTGATCCTCCAATGCGGTTAAGAAGCCATTTGTACCGCCAAAGGGGTCTCTTAAAGAGAAATGTGAGCTAGGATACTTATGTGGTGGGTCTGTAAAACAAACATCAGCCCGAAATTAATCATCTTTGATTAAACATAGGCCCAACAAAAAAAGTTGGACTAAGAATTGGGTAGGGGCCGCGCGAACGCAGGCCCCGCTGCCACAAATTATGACGTAGGCTCTCCCACATTGGGGAGACCTTAGCCCAGCACCCCTCCAAAGTGCAATGGAGGTCACTGGCCTAGACCACTGGCCTTAATGATCGCCTGTAGATCCCGTCCAGGTAAGTATGTTGGGCAGCAGCACCCAACTCTCAATTTATACTCCTTTCTCATTCTAAACTTTCTCTCTCAGCCGATGTGGTATTTTCACCCTCCTACTCCGCACAATCTCCCAACCTATGCACAATCAAACACTACATCCCCTGGCCGCGCCTCTTCTTCCACATCAGTTCACTGCAAACTAGCACGAAATGGAAGGGCGACAAACCTGGATATCTCGGGATCTGTACTCTTGGTGCAGGTCCTTCAGAGCTTGGACGGCACTCGAGTCTATGTACGTAACAGCTGCAAGTTTGAACGTAAGATGTCAGACCACCATCTGGGCTATGAATATTTTGGTTGTGGTAGTGAAGTCTCAAGTCGCTGAATCGAACTTACGTGACATCTCTAAAATCACAAAGTATATCCTTTCGACTTCTGGTCCACGTCGGATTGAATTGTCGACGTTAACTTCGTAGTCTCGCAGTCTGGAATAACAGACAGGAAAAGGGATAAAGCGGGATGAGCAATGGACACACTATAGAGAGGGAGTATAGGTTTTTTACTTGTCACAAACCTGTCCTTTATGTAGCTTGTATTTGCAAAATATATTGGGGCATCAATGCGAACGACCACAATTCCATGGTATGTATATGCCTCTGGGTATTGTTGAACATTTCTGTACACAGTGGTGCCAGGAAGCCGGCCCAGGACAGCTGCAGTACAAACAAATATCCAGTAAGTGTATGATTCATTTGAGCAAACTAAGCGACTTGAACCAATTTCCGACTGAGTCAATTACCAATATGTGGATTTGCTGACTCATGGATGACAAAAGCAAGCGACACACCCACCTGCAGTTTCCAGGTCAAACAGTAGTTAACTAGTCAGTTTCTAAACCATTATTGAGCATTTCATGCTCGCTAACTTAAAAACTGTTAGTAGTGTCATGCTAATTGTCAATGAAGCTTCTTACCCCGATGAGAACACCAATCTCGATACCCAGGAATAAAGTAGTGGTGCAAGTAATGATCCAAAGAAGAAAATCCTTCTTGTCGATACGCCATAAGAAGATTGCCTCCTCATACTCCACCTGGAAAAGAAACCAACATTTGCAGAGAATTTAAGGAAGTGGTGCTGTCGGAATTGTTAAGCCTCAATTCTGGTAGATACATTCATGGATAGGCACTCTGCCTATCTTTTTGACGAAAATATTTTAGGAAAGCTTACGTGGGGTACTCTGCCTATCTTAAGTTCAAAGTATAGTATGAATTAAATTGTCCATGTCCATGTTGCAAATGGTGCAAAGCATAACTGTGAGAGATTGCTTCTATTTATCAGTTCACTCACCAGTCCAATCACAGCTGAAACGACTATTGCAGCCAGGGCACACTGAAGAAAACCAGAAAAAGAAACCCAAGGTGAGAACCAATTTCCTCTTAATTTAATAGAAGATTTACAAGGCTACAACAAATCTATTTAAATCTTTCTAGTGTATTATCAATTGAGATTACACATCAACAGCAGTAACGTATAAACCAACCTGTGGTATGAACTCAAATAATGGAGTCAAGAATAAAAGAGCACATCCCATAACTATTCCAGTAATGATGCCGGATAAGCCAGTTTTTGCCCCACTCTCATTGCTAACAGCTGACCTAGAAAATGAACCTGCATAGTGAATGCGATAGGACAATCCTTACTTAGCTGTCCGTTACCAAGTGATTATGACGAGAACATGCTTTTGTTGGCAGATCAAGATAATCTCAATACGTTCAAAAAGTACTGAAGGTCCCAGGTTAGTGTATCTCTCACCTGTTGATGGATAGGAGGAGAAGAAAGAGCCAAAGATATTGGCTAAACCAAGACCAACCAACTGGAAAAATAAGAAAAGTAAGTTAGCTTTTTTCACGCAAGGTAAACCAGCCTTTCAATGGCTAAACGGATATGATGCATGCATCAATATCAATGACACATCTCTAACCACCCTTTCAATGAGCAATATCACACATAGCTTTGATACTGTCTAACTAGAGGCAATGGAGCATTCATACAGTAATTGAGTCACTTTGTCACAAAAATTTCTAGCAGCGTCCCCAGGAAGTTGATTTTGACAGTTTAAATTGTGTACCTCCTGACTGGAATCGAGTTCATATCCGTTCTTTGCAGCCAAAGCTTTGGCAATCCCAACAGATTCCTAATAGTTCAAGGGCCAGATTGATTAGACTGATAAGTAGAACTCATATTTCAGAAGCCAAATATATAGCACGGCCATTGTGATTGATTATCTTACCAATATTGCTACCCCAGTAATGAGAAATGCTGTGGGTATTAGAGACTTTGCATATCCAAAATTCTTTGGAACTGAGAAGCTTGGGAGACCCTGAGGTATCTCTCCTATCTATAAAACGAACAATTTCCTCAATCAGCAAGAGCACTAGTTAAGTTAAATTCAGAAATATCATATTTGGCAGGAAACATTCATGAAGGAGTTCATCACAGTAATCAAATATCCAGAAGGAAACGTGAATTAAGAACTAGCTCATTGCTACAGATATATTGTGAGAATTAAGTTCTCTAATACAAATTGTGTCTGCTAAGGACTCCCTAGTCTTAGAATAGATAGACTAGGAGCTAACTCAGAGACTAACAAATTTATGGGTGACTACATTTGCATTCCTTTCATGGCAAGAAAATCACGGACTGCTGATAGCTTAGGGAGAATCACACAACAATGCAAACATAAAAACATAAGCATGGTTTCAGTTACTGCCTCCCCTGCACCGAGTAACTCTTCAGATTGAAGATAGAACCAAGCACAAAGCACCCATATTCAAGTAAATTTTCATTTACTTCACCACATGTTAAACAGACAGTTCTTTGCAGACATTGCTTCAGGAACACGTTACACTCACCAATGAAATAGACGGATGATGAAATATTTTTGCTAAAGTTGTCCCCAAAATGACACCAGTGAGGGGCCCTGCCGCTCGAAGAAATCTGAATTGCTTCCTCGATTTTCCCTTCAAGAAGAATGCATCAATAATAAATAGAACGGCATGGCATGCCATTAACAAAGGTGAACAAAAGGCTAAAAAGATTTCCATACCAAATGCTTCATAACAAGAAGTACAGCAAGTATGCCAGATCCCATCACGAAAGGAGGCCATGCGAACTACAAAAGCAAAGCCTGCTGTTAAAGAAACAAGGTAATGAGTGGAATATGGGCCTCAGCTTAAGTAGTGAGTAGATCATAAGTAGGGATTAGCTACATATTGCTACACATGTTTGGAAGCAGCAAAAAATACTCACGGAAGCTGTTTCCAATTTCAGTTTCACAGTTCATACGGTGATTTCAGAAGCATTCAATCAATAACAGCCAAAACTCATCACTGATTCAAAGAGTATTTCTACATTTAGCAGTTGGAAGCTCTCTCATTGGTTAATAAAAGGTGATTGTCATAGCACAACAAGTTCTAGCCATTATACTTGTGTATAATAACATCACAAAGCATGCACAAGCCGTCCTACCTGGTCTGCTCCAGCTATTATGCTCTGAATTAGTGGCACAATCTTGCTACTCTGTGTAATGTTGTATCCCAAGAAATACTTTGCTTGTGATAGTCCAATCACAACAGCTGAAGCCGTTGTAAAGCCAGAAATAACAGAGTGGCTGATGAAGCGTAAAAGCCATCCAAGCCTACAAAATGAAGAGCAAAAACAAGTGAAGCTCAAACACTATGAGCCATGCAAGAGAAAATATCTACAAGAAATTGCCTCAAGTGCAAATCAGAGCATCACCTACCTCAAAAGACCCAAAATGCACTCCAGTATTCCAACCATAAGCGCCAATACTATGGCAAGTTCGGTGTATAACTCGTCGGAAGGACCAGCAATTCCCCTTAGAACATTGGACACTAGGAGAGAAACAAGAGCCACAGGACCAATCGCCAGCTGCCGCGATGACCCAAATATCGCATACACAAAGATGGGGACAAAGCCAGTGTCTATCTTGCATAACAACAACCACTCCAGAGTTAAAGAAAGCTTAATGAATACCAAACTCCAATTTATTGAACTCCAGAAGGCTCATTGTATACTTACACAATCCATAAATTGGTTCAAGCCCTGCTAATTTTGCATAAGACATAGCCTGTTCAAGGAACAGTGACAAAAAAAAGGTCAGCATAAAGAAAAATCAAAGTGAACCAACCAAACACCACCATTAATGACCCCGGCAAATCAGCACAGTGAGAAACAAAGGAAACAAGATCTCCGAGCTGGAACACGATTGGAGGAAATCGTGACGAATGCATTTATGTAAAGTGTTGTGGCGCAGATAACGCCATATTCCAAATCGGAACGACCAATAAGAACATTCAATACAAGCCTGACGTTTCAGCGGAGCTGGAAATAACGATGGGGAGAGAGAGAGATGAGGCGCGGCGGAGAAAGAAAGAATGACCTGAGGGACGAGCATGATGCCGATGGTGAGACCGGCGATGAGATCGACCTGGAAGTCGTCGCGCCACCTGTAGGTTCGAATCCAACGGTAACAAGGGAAGAGGCCGTCGATGAATTGGAGGAAGGTGAGGCGTTTCCATTTGGTGGCGAGGCCGGAGAAGAAAGCGGCCGGGGAATTCGAGGAGGAAGAAGAAGAACCGGCGCCAACGCTGGGATGCTGAAGAGGAATGATCTTGACAGGGCGGGAGACGCCTCCGGCGGTGGGCATCGCCGGGGAAGAAAGGTCGGGGTAGCTGGAGGAGGCGTAGGTTGAGTCCATGCGCACTAGTGGCGCATTGGAGAGCGGGAAGAAGAAGAAGAAGAAGGCAAACTGCTTCTTTCCTCGCGGCGGTGAGAACTGACAGGAACCGTTGCTTTTGCGCCCCCCACCAAAACAAGATTTGTGGCGCAAATGAGAGAAAGGGAGAATCGGACGAGGGATCAAAAAGCTTTTGGCTGTGAATGCTGCTGCAACAGAACAACTTGTTGAACTTTTCTTTTTTCCCCTCAGGAGGCGGCTTTTCGTATTGTTAATTGTCTATTATCCAGGTTTTTCTTCTGGATTTTGGTTGATATGATCATTAATAATGATAATAGTAGTAATAATAATGTTCCAGAAATTAAAATTTTGGTGGGCTACATTCTCATTGGCTGAACGATAATTAGCATGATTCATGTGAAAATTTGAGCAGAAGGAATTAGAGCTGTAATTGGAAATATTAAGATCTGATTAGTTAGAGTGGGCCCCTGGATTTTGATTGTTGATGTTGATGTTGATGATATAATTCTACGAAGAAATGGGAGAGGAGGAGGAATTCATTTGACTTTGAGCTACTGAATGTAGTCGCTATACAGAGGAAGGTTCAATGCTGACCAAAGCACAGCTGACACGTGCACGCAATTCCAAATAGCCAATTTTGCTGCTGCATTTTTGTGCAGGTTAGGTAGCAGCTGGGGCCGAACCTGAACCATCTTCCTCTGTTTTTGGATTTTGGCCATCCTTCTTAATCCTTATTATAGCAAACGTTATGACCATTCTTGCAATTTTCTTATAATTGTTCGCTGGATAATTTTTCTGATTGCATTGAAGTATCTACTAGAACAAGTATGATAAGAATCATCTATTTTAAACTCATAAAGACTGGAGTCGGAAACAGAGCTTGATAGAGCTGGATTACATATAGAACGAGACATGAATCTTGCGCTTAGAAGCAGGATTCAACTTTCATTCTAACTGCTATTATGGCCTATACAGTGCCATGAAACTAACACTAAATCACACCTTTTTCCACCTTCTCCTACTGTCATACAGCCCATCTTCTCTGCCCTTACAGCTCCAGGATTTACAATTTACTCAGCCCCAAGTACCCTAATCCAAGCGGTTTGACAAACATTACATAAGGCTAGGTTTGAATAGGGCTTCAGAGGGGACTGGAGGGAGCAGCATGGGAAGAGAGCAACAACACCATGGCACTGGAGAAAAGAAAGACATTCCGTCTTACTGGCTGTTGCTGTTGCTGCTTATGATTGAGCATGCTCAGGTTTGTGAGAGTACTCATAGTCGAGATGAACAAAGGCTCGCTCGATCTCTGGGAGCAGCTCCAGCTTCTCCTGCAGTGACTCACCGATGTCGTGGGCCTCCTGCAGGGGCATATCAGCAGGCAACACGATGTCAACCTCCACAAAGTAGTGGGAACCGAACGTGTAAGCCCGGACCGTATCGATGTGCCTGATGGATTTGTGGTGGTTCCAGGAGAGATAGGTGAGTTTCTGGAGATAGTCCGGAGTAGCCGACTTGCCGACGAGGGAGTGCACATTTTCCAGAACTGTCATTGACCACGTCCGGATGGTGTACAAAGCCAGCTGCAGGGTAGAATCAAAGAGATTATATTCACATGTTTAGCTTCGATAATTGATGTTATGCCAGTAATAAGAACTTACAATTATGGCTCCAACAGGGTCCATCCAGTCGTCGATGTAGTTAGCAAGAAGTGCAGCAAAAAGGCCAATGAAGTTTGTGACAACATCAAAGAAGTGATCTTGAGCATAAGCTTTGACAATCTCATTGGTAAATGTGCGGCAGTAAACCATCAGAAGCAGTTTCACCAGAGTTACTGACAGCATTATCCCCACAACCCAACGCTCTTGATCTCTGGTAAGATCAAATTCTTTCTCCTGGATGATAAGCACAGGGGAAAGAAGGTCAGACGCCTTCTTTCAACATTTTCAATACTGAGAATTCAGCTATAATTAACTTACATTAGACATTAATGCACGTGCTGACTCCAAGATTATCTGCAGTCCCAGGGTCGCCATTACAGATGCAAAAACAAGAATTCCCTGCATAACATTAACAACTCATTATCTAATTCATCCAGAAAACAGAAAATCCTCGCAAACTTACTATAACTTATTCTAAAGACCATCTACCAATCAGTAACGAATCAAACTTGCAATCTCCATCATATGAATATGTCACGTGAAGTATCAACTTTTTTCACATCAATAGAACAACACACAAGCCATGGTATTCCTCGGATAAAGTTTCAGCGCCTCAAGTGGGTTATTATTGTTATCTTTGTTGAATATAAGCTGCAGAGAATGTACAGAATACATCACTGGTTTGATGCCCTACTTGTTAGAATATGGATACAGGAATAATTACTTTTGGTCAACCAAGCAGTACAAAGTAACGGCTACAGAAAGATATTAAAAAGGACCAAATTTGGCATCCCAGAATGGTGGAAAGCGAAAAACAAAACATATTCAGTGTGTGGTAGTTCACATATGGGGAGCAGCGCACTAACTTGAGGCCGATAATCCAAACATCCACATAGATAGAGAGAAACTACACTAACCATAAACAAACAATTTACGAACTTAAACAGGTACTATAAAAAATTATCAATTAATCACTGACCAATGGCTGCATTCGCTTCTTTCCAATTGGGTATTGATAAGGGTTTGGAGTTTGCATGGAGAAAGCAGTAAACCAGAGGATGAAGCCTGAAAGAAGATCGAGAAGGGAATCCAAAGTAGAAGCAATAATGGCCAGTGAACCACTCCGGACTGATGCATAGACCTTTGCGACAAAAAGAACCAGATTGGCCGCATTGGAGATTCTAATGGCAAAGGTTTCACTTCTAGCCAGCCTTTCCTCTTCTTCCTGCAAACCATAAAAACAATTCAGATGAGATGGGCACATGAATGAATCCACATTAATTGCCATCCAAAGAAACCACAGGGAAAGCTCCAAGCAAAAACCTTTGACATTCCAGGGATAAAGCCACGGTCTGCTAAGGCATCCATTTCAGTGAATCCCTCAAGCATTTCTACCTGCTGCTGGTAGTACACTGCAATATGATCTTCTGGACCTGGATCCATCAGAGACAAAAAAAAAAAAACTATATATCACTACTCGACATCATTGCATTAATTATCAGATGGCTTATCACTCAATATCCCAAAATTCGAACTTAAGCTAGTTGGTTGATTCCAAAATCTGACATCAAACTCAAAATGATAGAGATATTTCAGTCGCATAGGAGAAAATAACAACTGATAACTCTCATTGGACCTCTACCAAATCTAGGACATTCAAGAAGAGAAAGCAAGAGTGGAATTTAGTCCTCTGCCTTGATTTGTAACCACTTGCTACGCTGCAGAGTTCAACTCAAATGCTTGTATACAGGCCAACCGAAACATGGACTACTTACTGGGAGAAACAAATGAAATTCCAATTCTGGATTTCAGTTACCATGACCACCCCAAAATCAGATTAAGAAAGTGATGCAGAAGAGCTCAAACAATCAAACCAAAAACAAAGAACAAACATGCCTACCATAGTGCCACCACCAAATCTCAAGACTACTAGAAACAGGGGAAACCTATCGAAGCCAAAGGCCATACAGGGAATCAACTTAATCAGCATAAACACTAGACTTACTAGCAAAAAGGGACAGCAGATGATCCAAAAACCAACCAAACCACACATGATGAAGAGGCCAAAAGGGCAAAAAGTAGTTTACCAGCAGCTGCCGAAACAGCACCACACCCAGTCCCGGTAAAGGAACTCGTAGTCGTACAGCTAAATACACGACAAATAATCACCAACCCAGTTCTCTCTCACACACACTTGATCAAACATTAATTTCCCATAGTACGACCTAAGCAGAAGAATTATGAAATTAAGGGTATGACGTTTAATAACCAATAAACTAGCATTAAACAACGACCACAAGATATTTGAAAGAATGCCTAACCATAGTTAATAGGGGAAAAGACAGAGGCTTCCGTACAAAACAAAAGGGGAAGCAAGCAGAATATTTTCTATTCTCGAACAGTAGATTGGGAATCGAAACTTTCTACACCAACCATTCGTTCCTTAGGAGGCTTCGAATCGATCCCAGATGTCTAAAGCTTTTTGTTACCTGAAACCCCCGGACAGCAATCTTGGATTCCACGAGGCTGCTTTTTCTCTTTGTGCTCGGGCGACAGCTGGTATCCGTCGAAGTTCAACCGCCACGAGTGATCCACTCCATTACTGTCTACGCGTAGAAGGGTAAACTCCTCGTCGTGGCAGCCGTCGCCGCCACCACCGCGGTCCGCCATTTTTCCCGGCGTCTGTTGTGCAGAAACCCGAGATGCAGGGAAGTGGAGCAATGACGCAAGGAGTGAAGAAGAGTAAGCCACAAATATTGCAGGGAAGGGCGAAAGGGAGAAAGAGGGGGCGAGGGTAGTTTTGGGAAATCCACTGGAAAACTTTACGAAAGGTGTCCACGTCCGGCGTTCTCTGGTCGGTATGCGGAGGGATTTTTTGAATCGGTAAAAAGGGGAAACCTTAATATCCACGTGGCGGGTTCTTATTGAAGGGAGGTTGGAGAGCGTGTAAGGTGCGTGGAGTCGGTGGGTGGACTCGTGGAACATTAGGTACACGTGTATGGCTAGAGATTCCACTCTCTTTAAGTCGATGTTTGGACCGTCAGATCCGGGACCGGCAGTGTGATCCCCAGTTGCTATGATCAGTGATCACATTAGCCCGGAGATTAGGCTCCGGCTCCATCAGAGGGAAATTGGTATGGATTCACTTTGTTTTTGTATTATGCCCGAGTTTTTTTAGTATGCTATTTTTTTATTGCTCAGAAATCTCAACTCATTTGTGACAGTTTGGCCTACTAAATTTGGGGTCACCTGTAATTAATTTCGACGTCAACGGAACTTCGTCGTAAGTAGCCTCATACCTTCGAGAACATCAACGGATTTCACTTGGATCGAACTTGAAATCTACTACTCCCAAAACTCCACTGCCGCACCAGCTTTACATTAGACTATCTTACATTTGGTATTAGTATATGCTATTAAAGTACACTCCAACAATGCCAAATGACTTATGGCTTCGAATTATGGTCAAATTGAATCGAGTTTTACATAGTTTGTCTCGACTTATTTATTGACAAGTCGAGTTAATGAGTATCACTCAACCCTGACTCGTTTATGTATAGACAGTTGGTATCATATTTTAATTACTTAATAAATTTTAACTATTTTCACATTATGTTATTTTATAGTAATTAGTATTTGAACTGTATATTATACGTAAATTATGAGCATGGTATCCTCGGTTCCTCATAGTCGGGCATGCCCCTATCGTTTAGTGGTTAAGGACAGAGATGAAAAATGAACATAGTTTGTTTTCCCAAAGAGGTGGAGTAGCAAAGCAGGACTCTCTAAATAACCCACTAGTATCACAGCGTGATTAAATAGCAGAAGCAATACCACATCGCACACAGAGAATTTCAAGTAGGGAAGCTGGCGTATATAGTCACTTGGTAGCCCAACAAAGAAAGGCATCTTTGCGCTTGGGGCAATGACGCAGCTAGTGAGGTAATAACCGAGGCGCGTCAATTGCTGGTTGAAAACTATTTCCAAACCCCCTCTTGGGCCGCGGCTTGCCTGTGGCCCTCGAGAATTTCTGGAAGGGCTCCCTTCGGGGTAAAGCCCTACAATTCTTAGTCTAATATTTTTGCTAAATGGGCTGCAATTTAACTTATGGGCTTGATATATATAATTTCTTTTCTGGTTGCTGTGCCCACCTTCATCTTTAGATCCAAGGTAGCAAAATTGATGTCTGTACCAGTAGTTTTTAATAATCGGAGGATTAATTGTTCTAAAACTGAAGAACTAGCTGAGTGGATGCATACTCGGGGTAGTAGTTTAATTGCTTAGACCAACTCCAATGCAAGCCCCCAAATTTGGGGTGCATCCTCATTTTCCCTTCTTTTGCTCCAATACTACATCCTCTATATTTGGAGATCTCCATTTTTTAAGTTTTCCATTTACTTAAAAATATACTTATCGAAGCCTTAATATAATTTGTTCATGTTAATTTTTGTATAGTACGTCATCATTTTTAAATACAAATTTTTCGGTAGAATTTTTTTTAATTTGGAGACCAAATTTTTGTTGACAAAAAATGATTGACCTAATTTGGGTTTACACACAACACTTGAAAGTTATTGATCTAATTAAACCCCTAACTAATCCCCTAATTAAACCCCAATTAACCCTTAAAATCTTAAAAAGAAAAAGAAACGCCACGTGGCGGGCTTTAGGGAGTCTCTATATTTGGGGGAACCCCCATTTCCACCCTCAAATTTGGGGATCCTTTTGGAGATCTTCCCCAAATATAGAGACTCCTCCATTTATGGAGGCTCCATTGGAGCCAACTTTCCCCCAAATATAGAGGCTCCCTCATTTATAGAGGCTTCATTGGAGTTAGCCTTACAAGTACAACCTGTAATAGTGGCAAACAATCGGTAGGGATTGATTTCCTAGCCAACTCTGTTTGGAAGAAGTGGGTTTCTGCAGCGGTAGAGAATCAATCCCCTTCTACTGAATTGAGCAGCTGCTGGAGAAAACCAAAGAGCAAGTGGAGATTGGGACCGTCTCGTTGAAAGATGTAGAAGAAGAGATTTAGCAAAAGGGATGGCTGGGGAAGGAAAAGCCGAATTGAATACCAGATGTATCTTTCTGCAAGCCTATTTCTCGACTTGGCTGGGGATAAGCAAATCTCCATTTCAGCAGGCCATTCCTTGGTCATCAGCTTGCTTTTTCTATCCATGGTTTAGTACTCTTCTTGTTAGGGGAACTAGGGATTAAAAAAAAAAATCCTTCTCCCTTGACTGTATATCAACTTCAGAAACCATATACTGACTTGTTAACAGTAGAAAGAAAGTTAAGAAACGCAGGCACAAAGGCTTGAAGGTGCGTGGCTAAAGTAAAGGAGTCCAAACAAATACCACATCGCTGGTGGACATCAGACCCCTTCCTTCCCTGGCGTACTAGGCTATATAAAGCAACTCTAACGCACTCAGGCTCCTCACGCAGCCTTGCAGTGAGCACATAGCGAACTATTCTTTCGCCTTTTACTAAAGAATACCGTGTGCGTGCTGCTTAAAGAGGCATACGTCTATTTTTGGAGGGATAATCCTTAATTGGATTGTCCCAACAATGCTTAGTCCAACTTTAACAACCTGTTGAGTTCGGTCCGGCTGACATAGTCTACAGCCATGTAAGTCTGTAAAATCGTTAAAACATATCTAGTTTTAACTCCAACCAGTGCATGTTTACTCATAATGATCTTGACAGTGAAAGGAAGAGAAGATTGGGCATAGAAAGGTTTTGAGTAACTGAATCCATCTCTTTTTACTGAATCGAGCAGCTGCTGCAAAATCCAAAAGAGCAAGTTAAGATTGGGACTCTTCTCGTTTGAAAGAAGTAAAGAATCCCACCCCAAAACTTTTCAACTCTGGTTCCTGTGAAACCTTGTCACCCACTCTAGATTCCAACAAGTTGCCCTTCAAAAAATTGAGAACCCATTATTCATATACTCGGTTGACTTGACAACTTGAGCACCACGGCTTCGACATGTATATCTATCATACACTATTCAATGCCATTCCCCTCACTAACCTACCAATTCGTTCCAAACCACCATGGCGACAAATGGCCCACACAAGAAGCAGCAGCAGAAGAAGAAAGGCAGCAAAAATGATGGAGTCGCAGTTCCGAGCAGCAGCAAAGAACGTTCCAAACCCAGAAACTGGTGGCCGAATCTACCGGAGCAGCTCATCCGCTTGATAGCTAGTGAGTCGACTTTCTCCCCCTCCGATCTGACAGTAGACAGGGAATGGTCCCTGATGCGGAAAATCACCTGCACAAGCGTCACCAAATCATGGCGAATCCCATCACACAAGTCCACCCACTCCATTTCTGCAGGGCCGTGGCTCGAGCTCCACAACAACCCTTCGATTGTTAACGGGTTGCAGCAGGTTCTGCTACATCAAAGGTTCGAGCTCGGTTGCATTTCTTGGGGAGGAAGATGGAAGAAGCCCGAAGAAACTTCCACTCTGGAATTCCTGGGATGCACCGATGGATTTCTGGTGATCAAGTCGTTGTTATGTCCAAGCAGGGAGATGATCCTCTGGGACCCATTCTTGAGAATGTCGCGTTTTTTGCCCAAATGGTGTCCCGATGTTCCCACTCTTTTACCTGCTCTCTCTTCGTCCTGCCGGTTCCTCTCCAAAAAGAAATCCCCGATTATGATTGTTCTCACCGGAGCCAGCTGCCCGGCTTTCGCATTTAGCCGATTGGGTCTGCACGGAGATTCCGACTGGCGAAAGAGCGACTGCAGAATTGTAGACCCACATTGTTCCCGTGGGCGTTGGATGCGATTCAGCAATGGGATCTGGTTTCAGGACAGATTCTATGCTCTGAGTGTGGAAGGCACGCTGGCTGTTGTAGAAGAAGATGTGAATTCCGATCTTCTGCGGATTACGAAATTCGGGAAGCAGAGAGCGGTTCCGGATTCAGATCTGGCCGCTACGCGGCGTTTCAGGGAGTGTTTGGTGGAATCGGAAGGGAAAGTGGTGCTGGTTTTTCTGGGTTCGGCTAGATCTATGGAGACGGTGGATCACGTGGAGGTTTTCAGGCTAGAACTAAAGGAGCTGGCGTGGGTTAGGGCGAGGAGCTTGGGAGGGGCAGCGTTGTTTCTGGGTTCCAATACTTGTGTGTCTGTTGAGGGGAAGAAGTTGTTGGAATGCAAGGGAAACTGCGTCTACTTTGCTGCTTCTGGGAATGGCGGCGGCTGGGGAGTTTATGACGTTGAATCTGGAGTTATTTCCTCTTGTGAGAGGGACTTTGGTGGCAGAACAGATCTGTTTCAGGGAAATACAACAACTCTTCTGTGTAAACTACAACGAAGAGCTGATTGAGAAGTGCTGCTCATTGGTTCTTTGGAAAGAAAGGCTCTCAAGTATTGTTGGTTAGAGAGAATATAAGATCATTTTGACTTGCAATTGCAGAAGACAAGGTTCTGTCATACAAAATGGTTACACATCTATCAGTAGATTTAACTCTACCAATAAGTTCCTATCAAGGATCTTGACTGTGAAAGGAAGGAAAGAGTGCAAAGATTGAAGGAAACACTTGCTGGCTGCTTGGTTCATTTACGACCATTGCTGGTTGTTTCTAATTGCAGACATTCCTTCCTCCGTCTGCTTTAATCCATTGGTTTGAAACTTGGATCAGAAACTGTTGTTTGAAACTTGGAATCAAAATCATAAGCCATACTTTCATGCATTTATGAATATATCCTAACCATACTGCGTTATCATGGCTAAAGACCTATCCAAGTAAGAAATACCACATCGGCCATCGACTCTAAAGCACCCCTTCCTCTGCACAGTAGCCAATATAAACCAACTCTAGTTCTTCTTTCCCTCTCACGCAGCCTTGCAATGAGTACATAGCGAACTATTCTTTCGCCTTTTACTAAAGAATACCGTGTATGCGTTGCGCGTGGAGGAATACGTCTATTTTTGGAGGGTTGGTCCTTAATTTGATCGCCCCAACAATACTTAGTTCAATTCTTGGTCTTTGCAATTCAGGATAATTTTGGAGGTCTGTACCTTAATTGGATTAGCCCAACAATATTTAGTTCGATTCTTGGTATTTGCAATTCAGGATAATTATTAGGTTGAGTTAATCTTGATAATCCTAAAATAAATCAAAACTAACGTTTTAGTCCTGCATTAAGGGTAATAAATTAGTAATGTCTCCTACTAAACCAAGTTGAACTGAGTCGATTTTTGATTTTTTTTTTTCCATTAGAGTTGGGTTGGAAACTGACTGCCATGAATTATTTTAGAATGGAATATTAGAATCAAAGTGGATCCAACTGAATCCGGCCCAATAAAAGTGGACACACAAATATCCAATCTATACTCAACCAAATCATCAAAGTGGATCCAACTGAATTCAGCCCAATAAAAGTGGACAAAAAATGTCCAATCCAATCATAAAATATTTTGAGTATCTGGATTGATTAGATTCATTTCAATATTCCATTATCCAAATTGGTCAAACTTATTGCCATTCCAAGTAAGAAAGTATTATGCGACTTTCCAAACACATGTTGATGGTCATGAGCCCGTTATATACCACTTAGGTTATAAAAGTGTCAAAACTCTAGTTTAGTGAGAGAATTCAGCGGGTATATATGCTATTTATCGATACTATTTATACTTACACAACCCTCGACCTAGCTTCTTCATTTCAACATTACGTCAGTATTGCATTTAATGCTCCAAACCTCAATCAGGCTAGGCGCCCCGACAAATATGACAGTCCTTCTGACAGGTATCAGGCGCCCAATGGGGGACCATTGACAATCCGCGTACTTAATTGACATCTAGCGAGCCTTGTCTATATGCGCCTCCTCTTTCTGCCCAATTCAACTCCTTGGACCCAACTCATCTATCTGAGCTCGCGTGTAGGCTTTCCCCTTAGTGATATTTTACTCCAATGGGTTATTGGCCTTTTACTTGGACTTGGACTTGTTCCTTTGTAATACTCCTAATCGCACTCATTGATGGAAGGGGTGGGCAACCGGTTCGGTAAACCCGAACCGAACCGAACCGAATTAAACCGAACCGAAACCGAATTAATGCTATTCGGTTCGGAATTCGAAAGGAAAATATGGATAGTTCGGAAACCATGGTTCTCTCAACCGAACCGAATTTCCGAAGTTCCGACCGAAAAACCGAAATACTATAATTACAAGTTCAAATGATGGATTTTTATGTTTGTAGTTGTTTTTAGACTTAAATATTTGAAATATTTTATGACTTATGTGTTGAAAAGTTTGATTTTATCATTAATGATGCATATAATTACATATTTATTGTTTATATTAGGGGTAAAAATAATTTAAAAGTGAGAAGATACAAGTAGTTTAACAAATTCGGTTTTGTGCGAAAAACCGAACCGAACCGAATTATAATTCGGTTTAAACCGACCGAACCGAATTATAATTCGGTTCGAATTCGGTTTGAGGTTTGGGAGAATTCGGGGACCCGGTATTCATAATTTCGGTTCGGTCGAAACCGAACCGACCGAATGCCCACCCCTAATGGATTGTACAATCCTCTATGGTTTGAGTTATTGATATCGAAAAGACAAAAAAGAGGAGGCATAGAATTGCAAAAAAAAAAGGAAAACTAGAGTGTGAAAATTGCAATTGGGCAATCCGCGGGTCCCTATTCAAAAGTATAACCGTCAGCAAGGGAGTGGGGGGAAAATCTGGCGCCAAAACCGCGAACACGACCTATCATATCATGGGTTGCTTTGCCGCTGCCACTAATAAGGCGCGTACTTCAATAAAACGACATTAACAGTATCGCTCGAACCCACACGTCCTTTCCACTAAATTAATTTAATCAAATCCAAATTCGAAATTACACCTCTCTCCACACTAATTATTATTAACATTAATTAATGTATATTTTGCCTATTTTCTTAATATTCCTCGTTTTCCTCTCTCCCCCAACTTGGGATCGATCAGCCATTTTTCTATTCCCGCATTATATTTCGTCGTTTCCCTCTCTAGAATAGCCGCTCTGCTCCGTTCTCCGACCCTCATTTTGCTCCGACGACCATCTCGTTGAACGTCTCCGATCCAGAAGAAAGCAAAGAAGGTAATTATTCTCCTCGACGAACATGCTATTTCTGTAGCCGCCCTGCCGCCAGGGTGAGGTTTTTGTTTGATTGTTTGTTTCTTCCACGTTTTGACCTCTCCAAGTGTTTGTTATTGGTAATTTGGCAGTTGACCTTCTTCAACCTTCCGCCCCAAACACAGTTTTCTGTTTGTTCGTACTCAAGGAGGGAATCTTTGGCACTTCCTTGAGGGGATTTTAGCTTCGCAACTGAGGAATTTGGTTCTGGGTATTCGAGAATTCCCTCTGATTCTGGATTGATCTCATTGTCTTCAGTAAAGGTCAGTTCTTTTCCCCTATTTGTTCTGCAATTCCAAATTTCTTGGTTCCCCTTCTTCAAATGTTCTGGTTAATGGGGTTTTCATTTTTCGATTGATTGAAGTTGGTTCTCTTCATTTGCACAGATTTTTGGCGTGTGATTGTATTGGGGGAATTTGTGGCATAGTGGGTACCATGAATTATTCCTCATTTCTAATAATTAGGGTTGCTGTTGAGTGACAATCATATGAGTGGGATTCTTATTGCTTTAGATTATTACATTTCTTCTTTCATTCTTAGTGTTGTTCTGAGAATTGCTTACTGAAAGATGCCCCAGATATCATGATTCTGTTTCTGCATACTAATTGATTGTCTGCAAGCTTTTTTTTGTCACTCACTGATGCTTGCTTTATTTGGTATCTGTTTGGTGGAGTTTCTGGTTTTAATTGGTTTCTAGAAAGTTGAAACCCTTTTCCGGCTTCATAAAAATGGATACTTTATTTGATCTTCTAAGTTGTATTTTCCTTCCTGGGCTTCTGGACTTTCGATCCTCTTTTTCATTCGTATTTCCGAGTTGATTTTCCCCCATTTCTGCTTTCCAGACAACTTAGAGCTGCTTTCTTCAACACAATGAAATACCAGTTGTAGTGTAGAAGGCATTTGTTTCATGTTCCTTTGTGGTCTCTAAGTTTCTCTTGATGTTTCCTTCTGCTAATCGATTGTTTTGCATTCATCCATTGAATGTACTGTAATATTATTCCAGGAAGTTAGCTGGGTTGCTTCCTGGGATGGATCCCAACTTGACAAAAGGAACCAGTTATTGCTTAATTAGAAAGATATTAAGTAGAGACCTTTAGTTTCCACTTTCAGTGTTTGATTTTGTGCACCCTAAACTTGTTTTTATTGTAGACTGCATTCGTCTGCAGAGCTGAGCAATTGATTTACTCTTCTCATCTGGAAATTCTCTTTGATTTGACCAGGTTCATTCTTACAAAATCAGCGGGAGATAGTATTGCTTTCAAAAATTTCCAAGAGTTTGTCAACCAGAATGGAACCCAGGCAACCTGTTCCCAGTGTTATTTCAAGGTTGATGGGTTTGGATGAATTTCACCCCCGACAACCAGTTCAAAAGAAAGCAAGAGTGCTTTCTGAGAAATATATGCAGAGAGTTAGTTCTATAGGTGGCCGAGAGAAACATCAAAATCGTCCTTCAGTCAGTTTGGTTTCAGAAAGGTCAATAGATAACAGCAGTTCGGGTAGGGTCACACAAAATTTGAGCTTTGCTGGGAAGAGGAAAGCTCATTTGAGTTCAGAGTTGTCATCAAGGCCCTCTAGCTATGAAACTGTTGATATATGCAGGAAAGATTGGAATGTTTGTGACCATAGGTATACTAGTACCCGCTCTGGCAGGAATTTTGGTAGAATCGTTGTTCTTAAGCCACACTTACAGAATGTGGAGAATGCTGAAACAAGGTCTAGCTATTCAAATCGTGCAACCAGAGTATTTAGGCTTGCCAAAAGCAATATGCTTGCTAGAGATGTATTAGGTTCTAGATATCTGAATGATGACACCCAGCAAGTTGAACAGGATTTGAGCAGAATGGCTAAAAAAGCGACTGCCTTTCCTGATCATGACCCGCAACCAGAAAACATATGTTTCAATCCTGGTGGTCTTCGCTCAAGCAAAAACAGTCAGTATGGCTGGAAGGTCAGGAGCATTGGATGCTTACAGAGGCCCACACCTCTTCACTGGGATCTTAGTGCTATCCGCAGTCATGCTTCGAGTGCCAGCAATGACTCTGTTGTTAAAAGTAGCAGCCGTGTGAGTAATCTTGAGTTTATAAATTCTGTTCATCAAAAGGCAAGGAAGTTATTGGTCGTTCAGAGAGATGGTTCACAACATAGAATCCCAGTAAAAAGCTATGAGGAAAAGTCTCTGCCTGTTGAAGCTTCGGAAGTGGCAAACAATTATCCAGAAGCTAGTTATATCCTTCCAAGTGTTGCTGAAAACAAGTTTGACAAGGATTCACATAGTCAGAGTTCTTATGAGATGGTTACTGATGGAGAAACCGATTTTGTAAATGAATCCTCCCTAGCACTGGATGATCAGCAGTCATTGGAAATAGGAAATGGGGATCTTTCTTTGAGAGATCAGGACGATATTCCTGATACTATGGCTACTTCAATTCAAAAGGTTTGATGCATCTCAATACTAAATGATAAGCGGTTTCATTACAGGATAATCTACTGCTTTACTCCGTATCTTACAATTCTATTTTTTCAATTTGCTGATATGACTTGCTCATTAGTCCATTCCATTCCGCAGGATGTATCAGCTGTTTCATTTGAGAAGGAGCACATCTCGACTTATTGCTCGTGCACTGACCCAGAATCACTAGTGAGCTCAGAAGATTCCTACTATCAGTCCAGTCCTAATTCAGTATTGGAGGCTTCATTTAGGAAAGATATCTCTTCTTGCTTCGGTTGCTGGGATGATGACGGTGATTCTTTGCACGGTTAGCATCAGCTTCTCTTCTTCATCCACCTTATCTATTTTGATGTTTTTGGGCCTGAGCATTTGACTAGACCTTTTTTTCTTCTTTCCCTTCTAACCTAGGCTTGCATAATCGACTCGAACTCCTGAAGTCGGAGATATCAGATGGAAACTCAGAAGACTTTGACACAATGGTCTCTAGCGAAGGAGACCCGCGAGAAGAGTATTCAGTAGGCGATTTTGAATCCAATGATGATGAAATTAGGCTTTTTAAAGCTGAAGAGAGCAGGGATTTCTCATACTTGGTCGATGTGTTAACCGAGGCAGGACTGATTAACAGAAGCTCACTCTCGATAGGTCCTAACTACTCATGGCACTCTGATGAATGCAATATTGTCAGTCCTTCGGTGTTTGACACACTAGAGAAAAAGTATGGAGATCAGATATCTTGGAAGAGGGCCGATAGAAGGTTACTGTTTGATCGTATTAACTTGGGGTTGGTGGAGATTCTGCAGTCATCTTTGTACCAGCACTCAGTTTCATGGTCGAAACCTGTGGCAAGAAGGTTCATGCTTAACTATGGTGGCCAGGAAGATATTGAGGAGGAGGTGTGGATGTACTTGGCCAGCCAGGAAAATGGAAAGGGAAAGAATTCTGAGAAGGTGATGGGGCAGGATGATAAGTGGTTGGAGTTGGGTGATCATGTTCAGGATGTTAGTAGAGATATAGCAAATTCTTTGTTTGATGAGTTGGTAGAGGATGCTGTTAGCAGCATGGGGTGATATACCTTTACAAATCTCCGGAAAAATTCGTATTTAGTAAATACAGATAGTTGGTATAGATAGCAATATGGTTTTTGAAGAAAGTAGAAGGTTGATTGTTGCTTGTTGTTTGTTCCCTGCCAAGTCCACTTGTATTCTTTTTGAGTAAATCAGTGAGTTCTCATGTAAGATATGGTCATTTGCTGGAAAAGCTATTTTTGTAAAACTGCTGCAGTTTTCCTACTGGTTTGAGAGAATCACGAATGCAACCATTTTTGCTCCAGCTTGCAAAGAATTGCAGTGTCCTGAATTTGCTGTTCTCTTGGTTGACTCTTCAGTTCACTGATTTCCAATACAAGGAAAATGTCAAGATGACTGTATCTGCTGGTAAGACCTCAAATTCTGTCCAGATAATAATATAGTACCCTTAAGAACATTGTCTGTTTTGTGAAAGACATAAACAATGGCACATTGGCTGCTGCTGGCAAAGCAGCATTTGAGACTATTTGGTTCACAACCAGTAAAACCTGTTGGAAGGCCAACAAACAATTTTGTCTAAAACCCTAGTGCTAAATGACCCTTAATTCCAATTTGCCTTCAGGTCACCTAAACCTCTAATATGTTGACCAAATAAACCAATCCTAACAATTCCTCTCATTCCCTTTCCTTTTACGCCAACCAAAAAGCGCTCAGAATCATCAAACCACTCCATCTCACTAACTCCTCACCTCCAAAATGCAATCTATTAGCTATATATACTGATCCAGTAACCCACCCTTCATTCAACCACATCCAGCTTCTTAACAAAAACCTCAAAACAAACAGAGTCTCCTCTCCCATCTCACCATTTCTGGTAACCAAAATCTCCTTGACTCATGGCAAAACTCAGAACCCCTTTGAGTCCCACCCAAGCAACATCCTACCTTCTGTTCATCATGCTCACAATAGCACTCACCACCACCTCAGCAGCCCGATTCCTCGTCGACGAACAGCCCGTGGACCCCACTGCTGACTCGTCATCATCCCCATTGCCAGCAGCACCCATACCACCCACCATCCCACAAATCGCCACCTCTGCATCCCCTGCTACAGCCACTGCAACCACCACAGGTGGTGGAGGCGCCATTGACCCTGACCACACATTGACCTTCTTCATGCACGACATCCTCGGCGGATCGAACCCGACCACAAGAGCCGTGACAGGAGTGGTCAACAACCCTGCAATCAACGGCCAAGTCCCCTTCGCCAAGCCCAACGGCGCAGTCCTCCCGGTCAACAACGGCGTCCAGCAGAACAACAACAACAACGGAGTCATCAACAACAACAACCTCCCCTTCCTCACGGGCCTCGGCGGCACAGCGTCAGCAAACGTGATGCAGAACAACAACAACAACAATGGTAACAATTTCAACAACTTCCCAGTAGGCAACGGTGGCCAGCTCCCCACGGGCTCGGCCCTCGAACAGCTCATGTTCGGGACCATCAATGTGATCGATGACGAGTTGACCGAAGGGCACGAATTGGGTTCGCAGCTGCTGGGGAAAGCTCAGGGCTACTACGTGGCTAGCTCGCTGGACGGGACGAGCCAGGCCATGGCGTTCACTGCTATGTTCCAGAGCGGGCATTATGAGGACAGCCTCAACTTCTTTGGCGTCCACAGGTCTGGGGTTTCCGAGTCGCAGCTTGCTGTGATGGGCGGGACGGGCAAGTATGTGAATGCTAGAGGGCATGCGGTTGTGAAGACGATTCCAGTTGGTCCTGGGAATCATGAGACTGACGGGATCGAGACACTGCTCGAGTTTGCTGTTTATGTGATCTACTGATGGATTGATTGGTGATTTGGGTTTGTTTGTGTGAAGGGATTTGAGGGTTTGGGTTGTGATGGGGAAAAAGATGTGTATGCTTGTATGTATGTTTACTTTTTCTGTTTGATTTGGTTTGTTGCTACCGGAGAATCAATGACAATACGAGGTCCACTTTCCTATCCAATCAGTCTGAGCCTTGAACTACTGGGAATCGGTTGGGATTGCCAAAGCCATGGCCTGCAAAGAATGGATATTAACTGGGTTCAAGCCAGGAGGTACACAGTAGAAAGTTGCAGTGAATTTGATGTGGAAGAAGAGGCACGGCCAGGGGATGATGCAGCCAGTGTTTGATTGTGCGTAGGATAGGAAATAGGCTGGGAAGGGGTTGGAAATAGTACCACATCGGCTGGAAGAGGAAGTTTAGAATGAGAAAGCAAGTATAAGTAGGGAGTTGGGTGCTTCTGTCCAACATACTTACCTGGACGGGATCAACGGGCGATCAATAAGGCTTGTGGTCTAGGCCAGTGACCTCCATTGCACTTTACGGAGGGGCGCTGGGCTAAGGTCTCCCCAATGAGGGAGAGCCTACGTCATAATTTGTGGCAGTGGGGGCCTGCGTTCGCGCGGCCCCTACCCAATTTCCAGTTTAAATATTTGGGCCTAATTCGGCCCATACGTACCCAAGTTTCAGACTAAGAATTTGGGCCTAATGCTGCCCTTACCAAATTTTCAATTAAACAATTAGCCTCGGCCTGATTACAATACAATTTTTCCGGCTCATTTTTTATTCTATATTTTTTTTATAGCATAGACACAACCGGTTCCTACCCAATTTCCAGTTTAAAAATTTGGGCCTAATGCGGCCCTCACCCAATTTTCAATTAAACAATTTGGGCTCGGCTTGATTACAATACAATTCTTCCGGCCCATTTTTTATCCTATATTTTTTTTAAATATAGACAAAACCAGACAAAAGTCCGGACACATTTTTGGTCAGAAATATTATCATGCTCAAGGTGTGTAGATTAACTGAACTCTACCCCTCGAAATGTGTTCACTTTTAGAACTGCAATTCCTGCCTTTACCCGATGTATAAGTAGAATACCAAACGAGAACATGTGTATACCCGATGTATAAGCAGCAGAATACCAAACGAGAACATGTGTATACCCGATGTATAAGCAGAATACCCAACAAGGTTTATAATCGACAAAGATTGGGAGTAACTTTATATAGGTTTATAGGGATTTCCTACGGTAACTTGAAGTAAGGTAACTTGAATTTTTTTACCTGCTATAGCAGGTTTTACAGGTCGTATTACGTAAAATACAATAGGCATTACGTAATGGTTACGTAACATATGATAATCTTACGTAACAGTTGTAAAAGATCATTACGGAAGCCTTACGTAATAGAATGTGTCTTTACGTAATGAGTATTAACCTCGTGTTACGTAAAATGCTAAGTCATTACGGAAGCCTTACGTAACGCTACTGATTTAACTGTTACGTAAGAAATAATTGTCGTTCCGTAACCTTTACGTAATGGAAGGTCTTTTTACGTAATGAGTATTAACTTGCGTTACGTAAAGTGCTAAGTCATTACGGAGGTCTTACGTAACGCTTCCGATTTAATTGTTACGTAAGAAATAACTATAATTCCGTAACCTTTACGTAGTGAATATGTATTTTACGTAACAGTTGTAAAATATCATTACGGAAGCCTTACGTAATAGAAGATTTCTTTACGTAATGAGTATTAACATCGTGTTACGTAAAGAGCTAAGTTATTACGGAAGGCTTACGTAACGTTTCTAATTCAATAAGAATTAAAAAAGGAAATGTTAAAATATGGAAAGACAACTAAATATGAAAAAGGAAAGAAAAAAATAGGAAAAGGTAACTTGGAATGGGTGACCGGCAACTCATGTTGCCATTTATTTTTTTAGTTATTTTTATTTATTTAATCAATGGTTGAAAATAACTTTGATCAATTTTAACGGTTTAGATCTATGCAAGTTACCTAACTTTAAATTACACCCAAGTTATGGTAGGAGATCCCTAGGTTTATATATCGTTTCATCCGTTTATTATGGATACAAAGTTACTCATATGATATCATATGATATGTCACTTGTCGCCCGTTTAAGTTCCAATTAATGCACATAAGTTACTCTTGTGATATCAATTTTTCGCCCTTTTAACGTAAACACGTATAACTCATAATGAAAAATCACGATCCCCAAATTGAAACGAAAAAGGAGCGGTCACTTGGTTCCTTCTCATGAACTTTCTTATATGTTCCTTCTAGTTTGTGGTAACTAAAAACTCACATACACAGTGTCATTTCCATAGATGAATCTACGTACAGGAGGTGGGAAGCCAACTCTTTCACATTGAACCAACCACACCAAACCACACAACTCCTTTAAAAAATTTCGAGCGTGTTCACCACCATGGTGGTCGCCTGTCAGCTATGGAATGCTATGCTCATGATTTCTGCAACTTTGACGGTGATCTGGAGGCCTGTTAGCTAAATCGAGTCACTCACCACCAGTTGCCTAGAGAGCAAGAAACATCAATATATATGTCTCATTAGCATCAATCCCACAAACCTCAACAGAGTAAAGGACATAGAAGGTGTAGGCCCCAACGGTATCCACACTTTTGATTTGTAGATGGTGTCAAAGAACAATTTAGTCTAAGCTTCTTATAGAACTCTCGAGGGCTGACTCTCCTACCAAAGAAACTACAAGAAAAGGGGGAAGCAATGTCATCTTTAACTTTCTATGTAGTAGAAAATGTCAACATGAACTCACCAATCCAACCAAATCTATCCAACCCTTTTGACCTATATCGATGGGGTAGGTGGGTTAATGAGTCGGGTCGATGCTTGATGGGTTTATGAAAAATTACTATGCATCGAGGTCTCTCGTCGTTAAAAAAAAAGTATGCATTACGCTAAAATATTTGATGCCTGGTACCTAAAGTTTCATTTTGTCGGGTCTATATATACTAACTCCAGTTTTACAATTTGAACCGTTCTATGGAGCATGTGTTGGTTATTGGTAAGAAATTAACAGATCTGCATTCTATAATACGATTTCGAATCAATATATAATGGTGTATACTACGAAGATGAAATCTCCGATGGAATCAATTCACCAGTAGCAGTACTAACGATCGAGATCAACAACAAGAAGACCGACTACTTTCAACTTCAAGATTGTTTGATTCAAGACATACAATATAATATAATGCAAAGTTGTAGCTTTTTTTTCTCTAACTAAGCCACTTAGCTTCAAAATACTGATAGTCGAGGAAAGAAACTCTAGCTAGAGAACTTTATTCCCTCAAGTTTCACTACTTTGATGCTGCTAAGGGACTTGCTAAAGAAAGCCTTAACTTTGCATTATACTGCAAGCCTTGAATTAAAAGTCTCGAATAAAGTCGGTCTAGTTGTTGCTGATCTCGGCCACTGGTATTACTGGTGTATTGATCCCGTTGGAGTTGTCATCCTTGCAATCTACACAATTGTAAACTGGTTTGTAACCGTTTTAGAAGATACAAGTTGGTTAATTTTTCATCAATAACTAATGATGGGCCATAGATTGGTGTACGTGTTCATATATTGATATTTTCTAGTACTTCAAAAAGTTAAATTTGAAGTTACTTTCACATTTTTGCAAGTTATTTGGCAGGACGGTGACTCTCCAAGGGTTCTATTATAAGAAACTAACATAATTCTGTGACATTATCACCCACAAGTCAAAAGAGTGGACAACATTCAAGCGTACACTTTTTATGTCCTCTACTTTGTTGAGATTAGTTAGATTGATGGGATATATAGATCGATGTTTGTTTTTCCCCAAGGAACTGGTGGTGAGCAATGATATTTGGTTTGACAGGTTGATATCGAGTTGGTGAAGATATGTCATTGAAAGAAACTCATTAAGTTCACAAATAGTTGTCAACATAGATTGAAGTACTACCAAAATTTGAGCCAGAGTTTATTCATCTAGAGTATGAGTGCACTTACTAAGGCAGAGTATGAGATCGATGGTTGGTGGAAGATCGAGTTGATTGATTCTGCAGAAGATCTCTGGCAACAGTAGTAGTTCACCAACTTCCACTCTTGATCCATCAATCTGCAAAGGCAATTGGGATCCACACCAGATAATATTGAAACTAAAGTCACCCTAGTTGTACTTGTAGAGGAAAACATATATAAGCTGAGAATGAAAAATGAGAACCCAACAAAATTTTCTTGCCTGCTCTTTTCTTTGATCCAACTAAGGCCAAACAAACCACAGTGTGTGTGTGTGTGTGTGAGTGAGAGAGAGAGAGAGAGAGAGAGAGAGAGAGAGAGAGAGAGAGAGAGAGAGAGAGAGAGTGAGTGAGCTTAAGCAAAGCATTCTGTGATGTGCATTAAGAAGAGGGGAGTGGGAGTGGAATTTATAGCCAGATTTGGAAGGAGACAAGGAGTTAGTTTTTTCCGTGGAACAAAGTTTAAATTTTTCCTCCAGTGTCCTCTTGCTTCCGTGGGGTAATGCACGATTGCTATAACAAACCCTTCCTGTGACCGGCAGGAGTCTTTTCATCTACCGCTTTCAAAACCATGTTATGGGATTATTAGCGGATCTTTAACTTTGTTTGGAAACGTGATAGTGTTGCATGCTATTATACACGTAACAATGAAGACACCCAGCTCCACTTATGGTATTATTCGCTTTTGGGTTCAACCCTAGCATGTGCTCTCCTTTCGTCCTTGGCTTTTGGTATGACATGAAATGACAATCAGGGTATGTAGAATTTGATGATGCGGAAATACGAAAGAACACAGACCACAGATTTTACGTGGTATCCTCGATCGATTGATTGATCGAGACTAATCCACGGTGAGTTCGGAAGAGCTCACAGCTGACGTTTTATTGAACGACTACATTGTGACGGCTTGCTTACGACATGTTCGTAGCTAAGCTTATATAGAGAGACTTAGGGTTAAAACCCTAATGACAACCAAGTTTCCTTCTTTTACTTGAACAAGGAAACTAGGGACTTGTAGGACAAGGAATTAATTACTTTTTGACTAAGTAATTAATATCCTCAACACTCCCCCTCAAGCGAAGACATGAATGACAAGAATGTCGAGCTTGAAAAAGGAAATGTGACGAACAAGCATGACAAGCTTGAACAACATAACTCGAGATGAATAACATCTCGGACGAGACTGATTTGGAGACGACTGACTCTCTCCCTTGAACAACCTGATGAAGATGGTTGACTGCATCTTCTTGAACGTCGTGACGAGACGGTTGATTGCGTCTCTTGAACGACCTGACGGAGACGGTTGACTACGCCTCTTGAATGACTTGAAGGAGACGATTGACTACGTCTATCCGTATGATATGGTGGAGATGGTTGACTGCATCTCCTGAACGACTTGACTCCCTATTCTCCCCCTCAAGCTGACGCATGAACGATGTGAATGCCCAGCTTGAAAGTTAGAATGGTGATGACTCAACATTGACCGATGCTGAACGCAGAGGGGACGATCGGTTCTTTGATCGTGACTTCCTCGCTTGATGACTTGAAAATTTAATTTGTTGACAGTAGCTGTTCTTTCTCTCCAACACTGACTATTTGAAGAGATGACCAATGCCGATCATGATTGCCTTCAACGCCATGACTGTGATGTTGGTGAAGATTGGCTTGCTGCCTGACTCTGCAGATGACTTCTTGTTGATTATCCATCAGATTGACAGCTTGCTCTTTGAGATGGAGATGCGTAGAACTACACAAGCTTTGGCTGAACTTGGATTGAGACCAAAACAGTATGCATTGGAAATATTTGCCTCAGCCTTGTTGGAACATGGACGAGTAGCATGGACAGGTAGCAACAACTATAATTGTTGGCACCAGATGGAGCCGTGATGGAGAGAGCTAGCTTGTACTTGTTGACCTTTAATGAGTTCAGGGAAGCGGACCCAAAAAAAATCCCACTGGAACCTACCATCAATTTTCGAGACGTGAACTTTGGATTGCCTTCTCTTCAAATGGATTGCTAATGAGTTGCGCCACAACATAATCCGCGAGGTTCCCTTGATTGTAGATGTTGACAGGGACGGACGGGGATGGAAGAACGACCTCGACAGCCTGCGACAATACCTATCTCATGATTCGCAAGGGCGCGCTGAACCGGAATCACAACAACTCTCTTGACTTAGGGTTCCTCCGGTGATGATTGATGGCGGTGAGATGACTAGTAGACGGCGGAGACTTGACTGCCGGTGATGACTGGGCGCCATGGACGATACAAAGCGAAAGTCGGATGCCCTCTTCTCTACTTCTGTTTTGTCGAAGGAGATGAGGTTCCGCCAGTGCAAGGGATGGCGGCGACTCCGACTAAGACCAACGATGTGAGACATCGGCTTGGCGGGACCGACAAAGATGGAGGATTTGCTAGACAACCTGGACACAATTGACCGTGAACCGATGATGTTGTCACGAAGAGGCAACGAAGGTGGACTGCGGAAGCTCAAAACTCTAGAAGGGATCGAGTTTCGCTCTGATACCATGTAGAATTTGATGATGCGGAAATACGAAAGAACACAGACCACAGATTTTACGTGGTATCCTCGATCGATTGATTGATCGAGACTAATCCACGGTGAGCTCGGAAGAGCTCACAGCTGACGTTTTATTGAACGACTACATTGTGACGGCTTGCTTACGACATGTTCGTAGCTAAGCTTATATAGAGAGACTTAGGGTTAAAACCCTAATGACAACCAAGTTTCCTTCTTTTACTTGAACAAGGAAACTAGGGACTTGTAGGACAAGGAATTAATTACTTTTTGACTAAGTAATTAATATCCTCAACACTCCCCCTCAAGCGAAGACATGAATGACAAGAATGTCGAGCTTGAAAAAGGAAATGTGACGAACAAGCATGACAAGCTTGAACAACATAACTCGAGATGAATAACATCTCGGACGAGACTGATTTGGAGACGACTGACTCTCTCCCTTGAACAACCTGATGAAGATGGTTGACTGCATCTTCTTGAACGTCGTGACGAGACGGTTGATTGCGTCTCTTGAACGACCTGACGGAGACGGTTGACTACTTTATGACTTGACAAACTTTGTTGACATCGTTAGTTGCAACTTTCAAGGATTGAATTGAACCGACCCGAAATTTGTCAGAAATCACGAGCATCGTGTTCATGAATAGAATTATTCAGCCCATTATACGTTGAATATAAATACATAAATCACATACTTAATGACACACCAGGGCATTTGGTCTAGTGGTATGATTCTCGCTTAGGGTGCGAGAGGTCCCGAGTTCAATTCTCGGAATGCCCCCTCTTTTTTCCCCTTGCTTTCTTTTTTTCGCAATCAGCGGGCCTAGGTCTTGGGCCACTTGCCCTTTGAACTTCCTAGCTGGATTATAGGTTTCAGATTGGGCCACCACTTCCGGCCCAATTTTAAATAAACACAACGTGTGACATTAGGCCCATTAATTTCCGCTATGAGCAGTAAAATATGGGTTGACCGGGCAGTTGAATTAGTTGGACTTGTTGGAGCATGGAGAGGAGAGTCAGGAGACCACTCGAGTCCACATCCAGGTGGACCATGGTCAGCAGGGGTTTGAGAACGTTTTCCTTTTTTTGGTAAGCTCACGGTTCCGTTGAGTGAGAACCTTCCAATTCCAGAGCTCGAGTTTAGCACCAATCTCCCGAAACAATCTCTCCGCGGTGTCGCTCCCCCGCATAATCACCGTCGCCTCCTTGCCGCCGGTGCCTCCTTCCCGTCCACCGCCGCATCTCTCCCAACTCTGTCAGCGAAAGCGACGCCCAAGCGGGATCGAATTGCCTGTTTGAGGTCGAGCATGGCGGAAGACATCGGAGCGGTGAATTTGATTTCCCGGTTTCGGCCGTGGATTTTGTATGTCAGTGTCACCGCCGTAGCCACTGCCTCCCGAGACGAATTGAGCTCATTGCTTTCAGATCTGCTGTTTAGGCATAGCGATAAACTTGTGGGCTCTTATAATTAATAATTTATGGTGATTGAGGGTTGGTGGAGTAGAACTCTCTTCGGAATTGGAATCCCAATTAAATATTAATTAGCAGGATAGCTAATCGGAATCCTCATAAAATATTAATTAGCAGATAGCTAGGGTTTCTGGCTTTCTGCAGAAATTCTCAAGGACGGAAGATCTTCGAGAATTTGATCGTCGGCAAAGAAAGTAACAAACCGCCAAGAAAGTGCGTAAACATACAATTTTACTTCAGCATTCTCAAGATCGATACAAACAGAGGAGGTCTAACAAGGAATTAGAGACTTACTACACCTTACACATAGAAAAGACAAACAAGATGCGAGGAATCGATAGGGGACGAGGGAAAGAGGAAACAGAAATTAGCTCCATTAATGTGATTCGGAATTCGGAGTTTAGTTGTAGAAGGAAGGAGGGAAAGTTTTCGGACCGTAGGTGTGACGAGACTGACAAGTCGCCGACGCAGCCTCAAACACCGTCCCTTCCGAGAGATAGCACTCGTACAGACTGATATCATTGTCATCGCCGTCGTGGTAGCAAGAAGGCAGCTCGATTCCGGCACAGCGAAATTTCGTCGGATACACGTCCTGGAATCTGCAATGGATCTTCCACTCCAAGTCGTACAAGGTGTCGGTCTCCCGCATGTTGAAGGTAGCCTTCTCGTTGCCGCACTTCACCACGAACGGGATCTTCTCTCCTCTCCTCTTCTTCGGCGGCAGCTCCACCGTCAGATCCAGATTCACAAACGACTCCTTCTTCTCTGCTTTCAGCTTGTACGACTGGATCGATCGGTCGTTGAGGAGCTCGCCGTCGCCTTTGTGGAAGAGCCTCTGCCTCGCGACGGAGACGCCGAGCAGGGACTGGATGGCCTGCTTCAGGTCGAGGACGGTGGCGGACGGCGAAGGCAGTTGGATCTCCGGCGCCAATGTGCGGCCGTTGATCTTGAATATCGTAGCGGTGGCCATGATTCGCGGCGGATTTTCGGCTGTGCTCGATTGTGTTGCTAAATTTCTGCAATGGATCAGATTTGGATTTGTTCACTGACTCGCTTTGATGATGTGTATATATAGTACTAGTAGCATGCTAGTTGACGGACGGAGTGTGAACCGTGAAGTAGGACGGTAGGAGTCCTAGGGTTTCTAGACTCTTCCTGGGAAGGACAAAATTGTCATTACGCATATTAATCAGTTACATTTCCGTCCTCCTCCTCCCGTTTGCCGTGCGCGTTTGGGCATGACTGACTTATCGAGCAAGTTTTACTCTGCTATCTGACAGTTTTTTGGCTTCTTGCTGTGCAAATTATTAATTATATATTTTCCATTTAATAATTCGTGCAAAATATTTAAGTTCTTGTTACGATAATGACGTTCTTGCTGACGAAATTATATTCCTTTTTCTATGTAGTAGTATTCTGTGTTTAAACAAAATTTGTAGTTTAGTGGAGTTATTATGCATAATAAATTGAAGTGATATAGTTATATATGGTTTACACTTCTTTTTTCCATTTCATATTGATCTAAAGTTCAAGATTACAATTTTAGGGGTCGTTTGCTTCAAGGATTTTATTATGAGGTTTTTGTCATGGATTTGCTAATTAAAAATCTTGGGATTTATTAGGAATTTTGGGCACCATGGATTCGAGGAAATCATTTGTTTGTTGAGCTAATTTTATCAAGGATTTGATGATTTGGGATTTATTACTGAAAAGTTTCAATTACCTTATTACCCTTTGTTTTCTTTCCTTCTTCATAAGCCCCCACGAAAGGTCGATTGGGAGGTCTGCTAATCTCTCGCTTTTTCAAGAGTAATAGCTCAAACAGTTCAAGCAACAATGACAAATAAGTCAACAGCAATCCTAAGACAACTCTAATTGCTGCCAAAGCTTCTCTGTTGCGCGCATTAGGCACCCTGTTCAGCCTAGCCATTCCTTTACATAACACAAAATGGGATAATAATTAGCTATAAACAAACAACTACTGAACTGTCTACTAAGACAGAAATCACCAAACCAGAAAATCATAACCTAACAGTGCTACAAATGAAGGGAAATAGCACGAAATCAAAAAGATTCAGAGGACACGAAAAGGGAAGCTGGGAATCATCCATCTCTAGGGTTGCTCGAAGAAGCAGATGGAGTTTGCAAAAGAACCAGAGACATGCTTACCTGGGTGTTAGGTCGGCCGTTTAAGGTTGACGGCGGCAAAGCTCTCAAGTTCAACCGGACGGAAGCAGCAGCCCTTCTTCGGCGGCGACCAACTCTCAAGTTCCAGGAATCGCGCGATGCATCTCGTCTGTCTTTTTTAGGGTTGCTGGTGCGGAGTGGGAGGAGAAGTCGATCAGCAGGAGGTTGGAGGCTAATAATATAAAAAAGGGCAAGGTTGGAATAATGAAAAAATGGGGATAGAGTAGTAATTTGGAGAGCATGGTTTTTTAGCTTATTTCCAAATCCCAGGGTATAAGGTGGGATTTGTAAAACCGTGGGCCCCACGGATTTGGAGAAAAAAAAAACAAAATCCGTGGGACCCACAGATTTATCTAAACACGTTTTGACAAAACAAACAATGGATTGTACCTAAAAACTTGATAGTTGGTTTTTTTATACCAAATCCATGTACCAAATCCTTGAAGCAAACGACCCTTAGTGATGTGGTACCGAAAATTAACAGGAATCGTGATTATGTTTTAGAGATTTCAAATAAATTGTTGCTTGCCATGAGTTAGGTAGAAGGATCGATGTCGGACTAATGGCCAGATCACAAGTTTGGTACTCTATTTATGACGGTTAACTATAGATTATAAATTTATAGACGAAAGATTAAATTAGGTTGTAAGTACAAACTCATGGCTCAATTATTTCTGGTACGTCAATTTAACTTACTGTGAAAAATACACACCACTATGGATTCGGTCATTCTCCGGCTTTGATCTTCATTCTTCACCCACGGCACATAGGAGGTACGACTAGTGCAAATGTTGGACGGTTGTGGTGAAACAATGAAGGATCCGAGAGGCATAGGGTGAAGAAACTGACATGGGACATGGCTATGATCGACGATGAAGCTAAAACATTGGCCGGAGATTTGGACCTCAAGAACTTGAAAATTGAAATTGAAGAGAACAGAGATAGAGAGAATTTGGGCGTTTAGAGCAGCCAAACAAAGTAACAAACAACCATGAAAAGCATATTAATTAGCATACTCTATTTTGATTTCAACATTCTCCATATCCATACAAGCACCAAGAAGCGTACGTCTAACAAGAAATTACCGAGTTCCAATCCTTGGGCCATCCATGAACAGACAAACGAAACGAACAAACGAACAAACAAGTGCGAGAATTGGAAAACTGGGGGAAGTGATAACAGGGGAAGTTACGTCGTTCCACTGCAATTTCAGACTCGAGAGTTGAGAGATTACTGAGAATTGTAGTAGGAAGGCGGGTAAGTCTTGTGAGCGAAACTCCAATACTTGCTACCACTGGCAACCTCAATCACCGTCCCTTCCGAGAGATAGTACTCATACAGGCTGATAGCTTCAACGCCGTCATCGTAAGTAGGCAATTCCGCACCAGCACAGCGCAATTTGTAGTCGCTAATCTTGAATCGGTCAAACATCAGGTCCTCCAGGTCACGGACGGTGTCGGTCTCCCGGAGATTGAAGGTGGCCTGCTCGTCGCCGAACTTCACCACGAACGAGATCTTCTCTCCTCTCCTCTTCTTCGGCAGCGGCTCAACCGTCAGATTCAGATTCACAACTGACTTCCCCTGCCCCTTCCGCTGCTCTGCTTTCAGTTTGTACGACTGGATCGAGCGGTCGTTGAGGAGCTCTCCGCTGACGCCTTTGTGGAAGAGCCTCTGCCTCGCGACGGCGACGCCGAGCAGGGACTGGATGGCCTGCTTCAGGTCAAGGACGGTGGCGGACGGCGAAGGCAGTTGGATCTCCGGCGCCAGTGTGCGGCCGTTGATCTTGAATTTCGTCGCGCTGGCCATGATTCGCAGAGGATTTCTTGCTGTGGCGTTGCTAGATTTCTGCAATGGATTGATCTAGCTCTCCAGATTTAGATTTTGGTGACTATCTTTCCTAATGTTGGTATATATAGCAGTATGCTTGTTGCCGGAGCGGGGAACGGATCGATTAGGGTTTAGGAAGGGTGATTTCTAGAACAACTGAAGAAAAGGGCAAAATTGTAACTATTCCCCTATGCCATTTGGGCAGGTAGGAGTAGGACTTTCTTGTTTAGCAAGTTTTATTTTCTCTTTTCAAATAAACCGTGCAATATATATATATATATATTATTATTAAAATTTATCGTTTTATGTGCAATGTAATTATATATTAATTATATAATTTACGATTTTATTTGTCAGGTTGTAGAATTTTGTTTCTGCGACAATCATCGTCAATTGTTTTATGCGACGTATTTGAAAAATTTTCTTCAAATGTGGTCTCATTTTCAATTAGGACATTCTTGGAATGAAATTTTGTTATTATGCCAACGTAACCATAAAAGTATGAAACTAGGTATTAGATTTAAAAAATGAGGGTTTTGGTAAAACCTGGGTTTTGGAAAACCATGGATATATGATGGATTTGGTGGCATTATGGATTTGAACAAGTCTATTGTTTGCTTGATGGATTTGATTATGGACTTTGTTTGATTAGATTTGTGGATATTAAATACAAATTACCTAGTTACCCTTATTTAATTATATTTCTATATTCTAATCCAAATCTTTCATTTAAAACTAATCCAAAACATAGAAAGAGATTTTAAACTCTTTACCACTATGTGGATTAATAATTCAACTACAAATATAGAAATGTATTACAATTTGGCACTAATTAACAATTCATCTAATAATGTACGCAATATTATGTATCAATTGCAGCCAATTGCTACAACTCATCATCTTCTTGCTAACTCACCAATGTGGAATCCGACAATCAATCAAATAATAATGTACAAGATGAGCATAAAGTGTTTCTAGGTGAATCTAACAAATCACATATACATTCATATTTAAATAAAATATGATATTACAAAATGAAATGATAAATTCTCATATTTATAAAATACGAAATTATAAAAGTTTACAGTTGCATGACCATTGAATTAAAGTAGGACAAATTTGTAATTAAAGAAATAATTAAGGATAGAAAGGTAATTTACCATCATGGATTTTAATCCATCACCCAAATCCCACCTCAAGAGGTGGAACTTCCAAGTCCGTGGGGTCCACGGATTTGGAACCCCAAAAGAGGTGGGGCCCACAAATTCCATCTCCCTAATTCCCTAAGACAAACGATGGATTTCGGTTCAAGTCCATGATGGATATATTTCCATGACCAAATCCATGACCAAAACCCTCAAGCAAACGACCCCTTAGTGCAATGGCAACAATCTTGAATATAGGTCGAGATAAAGCGTATTGTTGTTGTCACCAACAAGTCTATTGAGAGAGCAATAAGATATTAAATCAATTAAAAATTTATCGAATCTCTATGATAGGATGCCAACACCAACAAAATATGATCAATTCAATCTCAACATATATGACACAGTAAAGATGAGGGAAACCAAAGAAATAGAGTGGACACCACATCTTTTGGTTAGTTATGTGAGTCGTGACAAACCTAACCTCATTTTTTATACCTTGCTCTCCTTATTTAACCTTGTTTTGAATTTTTTCGCTCTCCCTTCTCTCTAAAAGCCACCGCCTTTTCCCTTTTCATCAGGGCTGTCGCCGGCTTTCTTTTGGTGACCGGCGGTGGGCCAAGGTTTTCTTTTGCTGTTTTTTTTCTATATTTTGTTGGTCCTACGTTTTTCTCCAGCCCATGGTGACTTTTTCCGGACCTTCGTGGTCATTTTCCAAGTGGTTTTATCCACGGTGTTCTTTCTAGTTTCTAGATTTCGTCTGGCTTTGCTACTTGGACCTGAAAATTGCTACTTGGAGTGCTTCTAATGATGTTTTATTGTTGGGGGTTCTACTCTTTGTTGGTGTGCTCATATCTTTTGGTGAGCAGATTCACTGTTCCTCCCTTCTTCCACTGGTTTTCTTGCAGACTTTCAGTCGACTGAAGTGGGGGTGTGGTGTCATTTTTTGTGTTGTTGGCTTTGTTTCTCTGGCTTTCTGGAGATGGTGAAGTTGATTCTTCATTTTTCCTCGTTCATGGTCATCCTTGCCTCCGGCTTCCTCGAGCTATTTAGCTAAGAGCATCCTGGTTTCAGACTCCCCACCGCCGAGTAATCCCTCCCATGAGATTCACTGTGATGAGTCGTCTCTGAACGATCCCCAGGTGGCGGCTTATGGCGTTGCAACCTTGCTTGTGTTGTGCTGAATATTGTGGAAGCACGGGTTTTGGGTTCTCAATGTTATCATCTTGTTGTGGAGATTCTTTTGTTGGAGGTAAATCTATTTCTTGTTCATTTTCTGGCCTTCTCTTTTGATTTAGATTGCTTTGACAATTGGCTCAATTGTTGCTCTGTTTTCAGCTTTCATTGTGGTTCTTAGTTCTCACCCCGTGTAACCGTGACTCTTATTGCAATACAAGTGCTCCTCTTGTAAAAAACAAAAAATGGTTAGTTATTTGAGTGATGGGGAGTGGGAATATTGGTATGGCTTGAAGCACACAAATGGATTGTGATTCTTTTAAAATTATTTTCACTTTCTTACCTTACACCTATGTGTTATCAATGTCAGGCTATTCGATATGATAGCTCGGCAGCTCGCTCCTCTTTTACTTCGTTATTACTTATTAGGTTATGTGGATGAAATTGTTTTAATAACAGTTTATATCGAACTAAAACTACTAAACATAACATTGACCACACTTCCACAAATGGAAATACTTAATATGCCTCAAATATTTTGTTGTTGTAATAAACAGAGTGCTGAGGGGCGTCCTGACACTTAAATATTAATAGTGCGCGTGGTTTCAAAATGTGCATGTGTTTCGGGAGAGCAATTATGTTGCGGATTACGTTGCCTCTGTGCATCAAATATTTCATGTGAATTGAAATGGTCCATTGCGTTTTGTATTTTGTATATACATTTGGTGTCGTAATAAAAAAATTTATTGCCAAACGCATTCACTTTACTTTTATCCGTTTATTTATCTCATTAATTTTTAGTGGGACATGATTTATATATATTCCATCACTAATTCATATATATTTACCGCGTTAATTAAGGAGAATATTTTTCATCAAAAAGAAAAAGAAAAAAAATACTTAACATCCAAGGAAATAGTTATCGCAAGTAGAAAGAAAATAGAAAACACAAATTAAACCCAAAGCTTTCCCTCTCTTCTTCCTCCTCCCTTCTACTCAGAGAGATAGACATTGATATGAGTAATGGTATCCACCCCATCGGTAACATGCTGATCCTCCTGCTGAATCGTCTCAATCGTCGCGTACCCTTTGGCGTCCTCATACTTCCCGGTCCCGCCCACCACCGCGATGTGCGACACCGGCGACGCGTTCCGATGAATCCCGAAGAAGCTAATCGTATCCTCCACCGCCTCATGCTCTTTCTCCCCGCCGTGCAGCAACAAGCTCAACGACAGCGTGTGGCTGGTCCCGTCCAGTGAGCTCGCCAGGTAAAACCCTTGTGCCTTCCCCAAAACCGCCGACCCCAGCTCGTGGCCCTCCGTCAATTCGTCGTCGAACACCGTAATCGACCCGAACATCAGCTTCTGGAGGGTCAGCCCCGCAGGGAGCTGGCCGGCGGTGACGAACGGCTGGCTGCCGCTGGCCGGGTTGACGACGCTGCTGCCGCTGCTGCCGGCGTTCTGGAGGACGGTGTTGGTCTGTTGGGAGCGGGCGCTGCCGGGGTTCAGGCCGGTCATTAGTGGGGCGGTGTTTGGGTTGATTAGGTTGTTGATGTTGTTAGGGTTTAGCAGCGGGGTTCCTCCTTGGAGCGGGAAGATGTTGTTGTTCGGGGTGGAGAATGGGATTCCGTTGATGTCGGTTCTCGCGATTAGGCCGGCGACTACTCTGGCCGACGGATGGCTCCCGCCCAGGATGTCGTGCATAAAGAAGGACAAAGCTGGTGCGGTTGCCGCCGCCGTGGCTGTGACGGTGGTAGCTGCGGTTGCCGCCGCCGGAGCTGCTGGAAGAGCGGTGGGGCTAGGAATTGGGGCTTCCTCCTCTGCGACGGGAGGAGGAGTAGTAGCAGGCGGTGCTTCATTGGAAATTGGGGCTGTGACGGCTGGAGGGGTGACTTCGGTGTCTGGAAGTGGTGGGTCAGCTGCTTCGTCGGAGTCGTCATCATCATCTACCGGGGCGGCGGGGATTGGGCCGCTTGGTAATGCGGTGGTGGGAGCCAGAGTTGATGCTGAAGAGGGAGTTGGGTTGAGCTCGTCTAGGAGTCTGGCAGCATTGGCAGCACAGGAAATTGCAGCAATGACTGCCAGAAGGATAAGGCAGAAGCAACTGGCTACAGGTTTCGCCATTGGATTTGCAGATGTGTGTTAGTCGGGATCTTTGTGTGAAGGGGAGTTTTGATTGTGAAGGCTTTGAAATGGTAAGCTTGATGGTGAAGGATTGGTGGAGTTGAGCATATATAGCTATGCTAGGGATGCTTTTGAGCCTCTCTGATGGACCTGTGGAGCTGTTGAGATGGAGTTGGTGGACACCTGAACTGCAATTTTTCAACTAAACCATGAGATTCAGGTTAGTTGATCTTGATCATAATTGAATCTGGCTTTAGTCGCTGCTCCCCTTAACATCAAAGAGCAGGTACTGATTCTGCTGGATGGTTGAGTAGTTTACTTGGGTGGAACAGATGGGTATTTTTAGGAACCTCCTGCTGCAACTATCCCAGGAGAAGTCTCAGAATGTAGTTCTTTCTTTATTCAATTCGTTTGGGTCTCAGCAAGAGTTATGCTTACTGTATTCACACGGCCTTGTTTGTTCGTTGGTCATTTTGAAACTCTTAATCAATTACAAGAAATAGAAGCATGAATTGAATCACCCATTGAAGTTCCACCTTCCTTTTCAGAGTCTAGTTTCGTTTTATTGTTCCATTCAACTCCAATTAGTGCAGATGTTTTTAAATTTTAATACTTTTGAAGACTGAAAGGGCAAGTTATATGGGTATATGGGCAACAGAGCAAGAATCTCTAAATTGCAGTTGTGAATTCAGTTACTAACAAGGTTCATCTCAGAGTGTGATCAGTCTTCTTCCCTTTACTCAGAGATCTTTAAGAAGGTTGGACTATACCAAGTCTACTAAGTGTTTTCTGCTATGTTGATGACTAGTACAGTCTATAATCTGCATCTAAAATTATTTACCTGGAGGACAGTCCCCAGTTATGAACTTGATTAGCATGTCGATCATAGTTCTTTGATCCCACATTGTTATCTGCTGCTACTGCTACTGCTACTGCTACTGTGTTTTAGCAAATTCATCAGTCGATCATGATAGTTGTTTGGAATATAGAGGCAATTTCATCAGTTCCAGATTGTCCAGATATTACAGACTTGATTAGCATGTCGATAGTCATCCTCCATAGGAAAGCAATCGATTTATTTTTTTCTTTCTAGCAGACACTTTGATTATATCAAGTACAAAAACTAGCCGAGATACACACTGAACAAAAGGAACTCATTGGTTCTGTACTCTTCAACAAGAGCAAAGTTGGAACCTAAATCCACAACTTCCATTACTGCAAACCCATTAGCACCCTCATACTTCCCCGTCCCGCCGATCACAGCGATGTGAGACTCTCCCTTATCTTTCTTACTATGCACTCCAAAGAACCTCAACCCATCGCCATTGATTCCCTTCTGATCACCACCATCACCGTTGAAGTTCGCAGCCATTGCCACCATGTGGCTGAATCCGTCCTCCGAGCTAGCCACAAACACTCCTTGTGCTCTCCCAACAACAACTGGCCCATAACTAGTGTTCTCAAACAACTCCTCGTTGATCTCTGCCACGCTCCCATATTCAAGCTCCTCCAGGGTGGCTCTGGCTGGGAATGACAGCAACCCAATGGTGGAGTCATCAAGGGCTTGCATAGTGAATCCTGCAGCGGCTGAAACCGTAGGAACATTGGAAGGCTGTGGGATCAGGATGCCTGTGCTTGGAGGGAAGAAGCCTAGAGGCTTTGGAAATGGGATCTGGCTGGTGAGCTTTGTGGTGGCTGCATGGTGTGTGGCATTGAGAATGTTCTGCATTAGGAAGGTGAGGTTCTTGTGAAGATGGTGGTGATGATGGCTGTAGGTGGGAGGCGGAGTTGGGTCGGCTATGGTTCGAGCTAAGGAGGTGGAATGGTTGATGATTGTGGTGATCAAGATGGAGTAGCAGAAGATGAACATGGTCAGGGATGAAGGGAGTTTGAGGGTTTTCATGGTTGGAAGATTATTGATGTTGGTTTCTCTTTTTTTCTGTGTTGCTACCAACTTCAGTTTATAAAATGGAACTGTGGGGGAAGATTGGAATTTTGAATGGGCACTTTTTCGTTTTGTGTTGGGGTTGTTATTATGGTGTAGTTGGTGGCTTAGATATGTGCTGATTAGGGATATAGACATAGAGAATACAAAAAATATTAGTCGGAAATTTGTCATCTCTTAGTTTATTAATTTTTGTACTTGTGTATGTGCTGTGTTTAAAAAATCATAGGATAACATGTCACTATAGTTTAAAGTTGATTTGATGTATTTTTCGTTGAATGTTGGTCACAATGTTCGAACTTAGAATGTGATGGATATTCTCATTCCCACGTTATCATTAAGCCCTTTAAGTTTTTTATTTGAGTTATTGAGCCAAATTAAATGTATATTTTTTATGAATTAATTTACTTCATACTGTTAATATTAAATTATTAATTATATTTCTCACTGATGAAGATCATATAAACTATAAAGAGATAAATAACTGATTTTAGGCAACTTAGGAACAAAATTGAAAAGGAAAAAAAGCCGTTTACTGGACTCCGTAGCATATTGGGTTAATCAGTGCCAGGCCATGGCCCATAGCATTGGGCCAGAAGTCCAAAACTCTTAGCAGTTAGCGCCGTCGAAAGAAAATAAAAAAACCAAAAACTTTCTCAAATCGAAGTATCGAACACCGCCAGTTCCACTAGTGCATAGTCGGTCGGTCCGTTAAACCCTAAAAAACCTTCGAATCCAGCTCTCAGCTTCGCTGACTCCAGCACCATTTCCCTCCTAATTCTTCCTCACTGCTCTCTCCATTGAAATTCTCCCGACCCTTGGGGGCAAGCTTACCGCCATGTATCTCTACAGTCTCACGCTTCAGCGAGCCACTGGCGTGGTGGCCGCCATTAACGGAAGCTTCTCCGGCGGAAAGTCCCAGGAAATCGTCGTTGCGCGGGGAAAGCTTCTCGATCTCCTCCGTCCGGACGACACCGGTAAGCTCCAAACCATTCTCTCCGTCGAAATCTTCGGTGCTATTCGCTCCTTAGCTCAGTTCAGGCTTACTGGATCTCAGAAGGATTACATCGTCGTTGGCTCCGATTCCGGGAGGATTGTGATTTTGGAGTACAACAAGGAGAAGAATGTGTTCGATAAAGTTCACCAGGAGACGTTTGGAAAGTCCGGGTGCAGGAGGATAGTTCCTGGTCAGTACTTGGCGGTTGACCCCAAAGGGAGGGCGGTGATGATTGGAGCTTGCGAGAAGCAGAAGTTGGTCTATGTATTGAATAGGGATACAGCAGCTAGGTTAACCATATCCTCGCCCTTGGAGGCGCATAAGTCGCACACCATTGTTTACCACATTTGTGGGGTTGATTGTGGGTTTGATAATCCAATATTTGCGGCTATTGAGTTGGATTATTCGGAGGCGGACCAGGATGCAACTGGGCAGGCTGCAAATGAGGCACAGAAGAATTTGACTTTTTATGAACTCGATTTGGGGCTTAATCATGTTTCTCGGAAGTGGTCTGAGCCTGTCGATAACGGTGCTAATATGCTTGTTACGGTTCCTGGTGGTGGAGATGGGCCAAGTGGAGTGTTGATTTGTGCTGAAAATTTTGTCATCTACAAGAATCAAGGACATCCTGATGTGAGGGCAGTGATCCCTAGGCGTGCTGATTTGCCTGCGGAGCGTGGTGTGTTGATAGTTTCTGCAGCAACTCATAAGCAGAAGTCCATGTTCTTCTTCTTGTTGCAGACCGAGTATGGGGACATTTTTAAAGTTACCCTAGAGCATGAGAATGACAAGGTTTCAGAGATCAAAATCAAGTATTTTGATACGATTCCAGTGACAGCCTCAATGTGTGTGATGAAATCAGGCTTTCTATTTGCTGCATCGGAGTTTGGAAATCATGCTTTGTATCAGTTTCAGGCTATTGGTGAGGACCCAGATGTGGAGGCCTCTTCAGCTACTTTGATGGAGACTGAGGAGGGCTTCCAGCCTGTGTTTTTCCAGCCAAGGGGGTTAAAGAATCTTGTTAGAATTGACCAGGTTGAGAGCTTGATGCCTATTATGGACATGAAAATCGTTAATCTTTTTGATGAAGAAACACCTCAGATCTTTACCCTTTGTGGCCGAGGACCTCGGTCATCCTTGAGGATTTTGAGGCCTGGTTTAGCTGTAAGCGAAATGGCTGTGTCTCAGCTTCCTGGTGTGCCAAGTGCAGTTTGGACTGTGAAAAAGAATGCCAGCGATGAATTTGATGCATACATTGTTGTGTCATTTACTAATGCAACTCTGGTTCTCTCTATCGGTGAGACAGTTGAGGAAGTTAGTGATAGTGGGTTTCTTGATACTACTCCTTCCCTTGCTGTTTCTCTGATTGGTGACGATTCTTTAATGCAAGTTCACCCAAATGGTATTAGGCATATCAGGGAAGATGGGCGTATTAATGAGTGGAGAACTCCTGGAAAGAGGACGATTGTGAAAGTTGGCTCCAATAGACTTCAAGTGGTTATTGCTTTAAGTGGTGGGGAGCTTATTTATTTTGAGGTGGACATGACGGGTCAACTAATGGAGGTGGAAAAGCATGAGATGTCTGGAGATGTGGCTTGTTTGGACATTGCCCCAGTTCCTGAAGGAAGACAGAGGTCAAGGTTCCTTGCAGTTGGTACATATGACAACATTATTCGTATATTGTCTTTGGATCCTGATGACTGCATGCAGATCCTGAGTGTGCAAAGTGTTTCGTCAATTCCAGAATCTCTTCTATTCCTTGAGGTGCAGGCGTCTATAGGCGGTGAAGATGGAGCTGATCATCCAGCTAATCTCTTCCTCAATGCTGGATTGCAGTCTGGGGTTCTGTTTAGGACAGTGGTGGATATGGTGACAGGCCAGCTTTCTGATTCTCGATCCCGATTCTTGGGATTGAGGGCTCCAAAGCTCTTCTCAATAGCTGTGAGAGGTCGCCGTGCAATGCTATGTTTGTCAAGTCGACCCTGGCTTGGCTATATTCACCAAGGGCATTTCCTGTTAACGCCACTTTCGTATGAGACTCTTGAATATGCCGCTTCGTTCTCATCTGATCAGTGTGCAGAAGGTGTTGTTGCTGTTGCTGGCGATGCACTCAGGATTTTCACTATCGAGAGGTTGGGTGAAACATTTAATGAAACTGCAATTCCTCTCAGGTACACTCCTAGGAAGTTTGTAATTCAACCCAAGCGGAAGCTTCTGGTTATCGTTGAGAGTGATCAGGGAGCCTATACAGCAGAGGAACGTGAAGCTGCTAAAAAAGAGTGTTTTGAGGCTGCTGGTATGGGGGAAAATGGAACTGCCAACGAGCAGATGGAGAATGGTGATGATGAAGATAAAGAGGACCCCCTCTCGGATGAGCAATATGGTTACCCCAAAGCAGAGTCTGATAAGTGGGTATCTTGCATTAGGGTTCTGGACCCTAGGTCAGCTACCACGACCTGTCTGCTTGAACTTCAGGACAGTGAAGCTGCATTCAGTGTATGCACGGTTAATTTTCATGATAAGGAACATGGTGCTCTTTTGGCAGTTGGTACAGCAAAGGGGTTGCAGTTCTGGCCAAAGAAAACGTTAGTTGCTGGATTCATTCACATTTATAAATTTGTGGATGAAGGGAGAAGCCTAGAGCTTTTGCACAAGACACAAGTGGAAGGCGTCCCAGTTGCTTTGTGCCAGTTCCAAGGTAGATTACTGGCTGGAATAGGCTCTACACTCAGACTATATGACTTGGGTAAGAAGAGGTTGCTCAAGAAATGTGAGAACAAGCTTTTCCCAAACACGATTATTTCTATTCAGGCCTACCGTGATCGCATTTACGTGGGCGACATCCAAGAGGTATGACGTTGTTTACATTGAACTGGTTGCAACTGCTTACATTCGCTGTTTTCCCCCTGTTATCTTATAGCTTGCCTTGAATAATATTCACTTGTTTGTTTCTTTTCTGCTGCGGTAGTCTTTCCACTTCTGCAAGTATAGGCGGGATGAGAATCAACTCTACATATTTGCTGATGATAGCGTTCCAAGGTGGCTTACAGCATCACAACATGTAGATTTTGATACCATGGCGGGTGCAGACAAGTTTGGGAACATCTATTTTGCAAGATTGCCACAGGATGTGTCTGATGAGATAGAGGAAGATCCAACTGGTGGGAAGATAAAGTGGGAGCAAGGAAAGCTTAACGGAGCTCCTAACAAGGTCGAAGAAATAGTCCAGTTTCATGTTGGTGATGTGGTTAGTAGTGTCCAGAAGGCATCTTTGATTCCTGGTGGTGGAGAGTGCATCATATATGGCACAATGATGGGTAGCTTGGGGGCATTGCTGCCCTTCAATTCTAGGGATGATGTTGACTTCTTCTCACACTTGGAAATGCACTTGAGACAAGACCATCCACCATTGTGTGGAAGGGACCATATGGCCTACAGATCTTCGTATTTCCCTGTTAAGGTAAAGTTGAGTCATAAGTTTTATTTGCTTTTCCATTGCTGATTCAGATAGTAAAGAAGAAATAAAGGGTTTCTTGGCTATTCTTTTGCAGGATGTGATTGATGGTGATCTGTGTGAACAGTTCCCCACGTTGCCTATTGATGTACAGAAGAAAATTGCGGATGAGTTGGACAGAACTCCAGGGGAGATACTGAAGAAACTCGAGGAAGCCCGAAACAAGATCGTTTGAGGCATGTTTGTGCTTTTGTATGGATATGTACGAGTTTGTTATCTTGGACACGATGTGCTGCTGGGTCATGTTATGCGATGTATTCTCATTTAATGAGTTGCTGCACCACAATCATAGTGGTTTGGAATCACTTCCCAGAATGGCTCGAGGATCAGGTAGGTAGTTTAGTACAAACTTGTAACCCAGGAATTGGCTGATTCAAAAGGAATAGCTTGGGAGGACCCTCACTTGAGAATTAAGATGTCATTGCTAGTGTTGTTGGAATTGCCAAAATTTTCTTTTAATCTCTCTATTCTAGTCTACAAGATGTCAGGGTTTGTTACTGAATAGTCTCTTACATGATTCTGTCTTAAATCTTGATTACAGTATGTAAAGTACTTCTTTCGAAACAAACTCTTGCCTCGTAGGTTTCAGTGCTTCTTCCTCAGCCTGTTGTTCGGTTAAATGAGTTGGCTTCATGTTTTCTCTTCATATTTTTAGGCAAAATAGTAAAATAAGTACCCTCCCTCTTTGAGTTTTTTGTTCTATATGGCAGTTCTAAATTCTGATTTGGCGTAACTGTAAGTATTGAAGCTTTACATAATCTGGCATTGTACACAATCCGGACGAGGTCAATAACAGTTCTGGATAATGTGCACCCCTCGTTGGCAAATCGGCTAACTCCGTACAGAATATCACCTACCTCTCTTGGAATCACCACAAAATCTATCAAGCACATCGATACGGTCCGCGCTTACCTGTTCGATTCCTCCCACTACTTTGTGGAGGTTGACATCGTGTTGCCTGCAGATATGCCCCTGCAGGAGGCCCGCGACATCGGCGAGTCATTGCAGCCTGCAGGAGAAGCTGGAGCTGCTCACAGACCCGAGCATGCTCGATCAGCAGCAGCAGCAGCAGCCAGTAAGGCAGAAAGATGGGCTGTGGGAGCTGGAGAAAGGTGATTTAGTGTTAAACTTGAATCCTGCTGCTGCTTATGATTTAGCATGCTCGGGTTTGTTAGAGTCGAAAACTTTAAGGCGCGTAAAAAAGGCTGTACTTTCATAAACCAGCCCTCTTTTTTTTCATTCACTCTATGTAATCAGAGGCACAGACTTTCTTTTCCCTTATTCTTTGCTTAATTCAGAAGAGAGGGGGAACCAATTGTAGCCAACATAACTTACACATACATGCCTGCTTTATATGGTTGATCAAGCAACGATGAGAGGGGAAAGCAATTGATCAAGTTGCCAATGGTTTCCCAGCAAGAAATGCAGCAAATGAAGTGAGTGGTCTCTTTGGTGAAGTATAATGAGGCCATGTGTGAGGCTCTTCTAATGGTTTCATGCATATGCAAGCTTATTGTTCTCACCATAGACTAGTGCCATCCACCAACTTGAAAACATTCAGTAGGAGAGTGATTTCATGAACAGATACTTGATTTAGAAATGAAGTAATGCAGCAATTTCTGTAGTTGACCTGTTCGTCATGATCCAGACTTGTAAGGCACAGTAGTGTTCAATCCCGTCTGTTCGTAGAGCTGGAAGACTAGATCTCTTGTCCTTGTGAATGGGATTGCTGCATCTTAATCACCGCTGTAAACCGGTACTCGAATGCCTGAATCCACCAATGACCCCAGCACTCCAATGGTTTGATTCTCAAAGTTGCTGTGACCATACTTAATGCGGTTGCAGTATGATTAAAAGTATCAATGTCCAGTTTTCATGAAGAGCAAGACAGCTGAGTGTAACAATAATCATTAAGAATACTCTGTTGTAGGTGACAAGATTAAGTTACTGTTCTATACTGGGAGCAAGCACTCCAATTTCTGATGGCTACAATTACTTGAAAATCTTTCTTGTTCAATTACTTGTTCATCTCCAACACGAAGGTCCAACACGGTGGTTGAATGTGGAAGAAATTGGCTTCGCACCTTCTGCTATTTACAGATGAATTTATCTATGAAAACGGTTGTATGGGAGTTTTTACCACACTGGAAGGAACGATATATGAAAATCCATGAGAAGGAACCAGAATTAGTAATTAGTTCTTCTTGTTTAGGACAATTGATATCACGAGAGTATATTGTGTGTATTTACTTTGGACTTCAGAACAAGTATTCAGTATATGCTAACTAGGGTATAGATAGCTGATAGAAGTTACACTGATAATGGATCAAGCCGAATTCATTAAACTGAGAATTGGGTAGGGGCCGCGCGAACGCAGGCCCCCTCTGTCACAAATTATGACGTAGGCTCTCCCTCATTGGGGAGACCTTAGCCCAGCGCCCCTCCGTAAAGTGCAATGGAGGTCACTGGCCTAGACCACAGGCCTTAATGATCGCCCGTAGATCCCGTCCAGGTAAGTATGTTGGACAGCGGCACCCAACTCCTTACTTATAGTTGCTTTCTCATTGTAAACTTCTTCTTCCAGCCGATGTGGTACTATATTCCTATCCTTAAATGTACAATGAAACACTACATCCCCTGGCCGCCCCCTTCTTCCACATCAATTCACTGCAACTTTTCACGGCTGTAAAAATCTAGATTTTCACAGCTCATCGTTTCGAAACTATCAATAAGTAAGAAGGGTGACCAGCCTGGATTATCATGTGAGCTGTACTCTTGCTGCAAGCCCTTCAGAGCCTTGGACAGCTGACCTAGAAAATGGACCTGTGCTCAGTGAATGTGAAAGGGCTTAGCTGTCCGTTACCAAGTGATTGAGACGAGAACATGCTTTTGTGGGCAGAAGCAAGATAATCTCAACATGTTAGAAAAATGCTGAAGGTCCCAGGTCATTGTATCTCTCACCTGTTGAGGGACAGGAGGAGGAGGAGAAGAAAGAGCCAACTAAATTGGCTAAACCAAGACCAGTCACCTGGGAAAAAAAAATGAGAAAAAGTTAGATTTTTCATGCAAGGTAAACCAGCCAAGCTAATGATGAATGCATCAATAGCAATGGCACATCTCTAACCAATACACATCTCTCCTAGCTTTGATACTTGTCAAACTAGAGGGAATGCGCGCAGCATTCATACAGGAACGGATTGACTTTGGCACCAAAAAATTTAGCAGCAGTATCCCCAGGAAGATGATTTTTGACAGTTTGTACCTCCTGGCTTTAATCCAGTTCATATCCATTCTTTGCATCCAAGGTTTTGACAATCCCAACAGATCCATAATGGTTCAAGGGATCAGACATTGATTGGATTGGACAGTAGAACTCGTACTTCAGAAGCGAAATATGTAGGCTACTCCAGTAGTGAGAAATGCCGTGGGTATTAGTTATTAGAAACTTTGCATATCCAAAATTCTTTGGAACTGAGAAGCTTGGTAGACCCTGAGGTTTCTCTCCTGTCTATGACGACTAACAAGACCAATTTCCTCTGTCAGCCAGAGTCAACTTCATGCTAAGTAACCAACACATCACAGGCAAAACTCAATATAATCATGTATGTTACTGCCTTTATTCCAACTGTGGTCATTTTTGACAAGATAGCCTGCAGCATCAGGCTTGAACGGGCCATGCTCTGTGAAAGTAACCACCGGCACCAACCGACGAGCAACCAGGCCCTGGTTCCATCACACGAACAAACTGGACTTGGTACCACTGCCTTACAGTTAACACCAAACGTAGCCAATTAATACCAGGTGATGAATTAATTACCTCCATTTAGCCAGAGAACGAGAGGCTTTGGGAGTGGTTGGTCTCAGCTTCAACAAAGTGGTAATAAGTTCCCTCTGCTGGGGCTCATCAATAGTCACGTACCACGCATACTGTTGGAAAATAGAGCCCCTTTTTATTTACAACATTGTGAGCATGATTTTCGTTGTCGTTAATTTATGATACTTGCTTATGTAAAAAAACAGCATTGCCGACAATTTGCAACCCTATATTTGTGCATTGCTTCAGTTTTGAGTAGAATGCTTATTTTTGTTTTAGCAACAACAAAGCATTATTTCATTCGTGGTTAAAAGCTATATTTACATAATCGTGCTTGATGTTGAACTGAAAAGTTAGTTGATTATGGTTAAGTGGTTAACTGTTATGAAATTGTTGGTTACTTATTAATAAAATTTGTTTATACGTTATAAAATAGAATATACAAGTGCGCGCACTCACAAAATGAGTGCATTCTATGCACCTCATTCTATGCACCCACGGCCGGGGTCTTCTTTAAGTTTATTTTTATTTTTTAACATCTAGAAATGATGTGGAAAATTCAAAAGATTAAAATTTATTTTTTTAATATTCATGTAATTGCCACGTCACACATTTAACGGTCAACTATGAGAGTTGACTGCCACGCCAGCAAAAGTTAACGGAGTTGGACGGAGAGTGACCAAACTTGACACGTTTGACTAATTAAAGTGACCACAAATGGAATTAAATATTTTTAGTGACCAAACGTGAACCTTTTTTTAATCTCAGTGACCAACCTTGCAATCTACCCACATTAGAAGTGATGAATGATGATCAAAAGTTGTTGAGGCAAAAACACGAATGGTAGGCATAAATGGCGATCAGTTCGGAGATCAAACTAATTAAGTAGATATGGCCCAAAAAGTCCAAGTGCTACAGAGCCAGCAGCCAAAGGGGACCGACCAGCCGCCCAAGTGTCCAAGTGGCTTGACTTCAAGGCCGCAGAAACCTTTAGTAGCGAGTCCTTTTCATTTAGTGACAAAATATGTCGTCACGGTTTCCTTCAACTTCCAACAGCACACTGTTACAACACCAACCTCTGGTGAAGATCTCTTTTGTGACGAAATTTTTCGTCACTAAATGTGGTCACAATGCTGTATGCCATTATTGGCCATATTATTGGAGTGGAGAATTTGGAAGGAGGAGGAGACTGGAGAGGGAGGGCAGAGAGAGGCCTTGGTCGGATCTAATTGTTTGTCGGTTATTCCTTTTTCTTTTCTTTTCATTGTAATTTTGTATTTTGTTGTAACGGTTGAAATAAATACAATTTAACGTTTTTTTTTGTTTCATTATCAACTGCAAGTTCTCGTTCTCGTTCTACCGCTCGCCGGCTACAATCGGAGAATATCATGGTGTGTTGCGACAAGAAATTATTTTATTGTTTCAATACAATTATTGTACTCTCGGCATGCAACCGGCCCAGGACAAGATTTTGGTATCATCTCTACTCTTATGGGTTTAATTTTCATGTCGTAACTATCGTCTTTTGTGGGGGAATCATCGTGTTCAGCAAGTACCGACTATCCCCATATTAATCTTAGCCATTATTGCCACAAATTATGATCGTATACTCGCACACAATGCGATTATGGGATGATCTTAGCCCAACACCACTCCTAAAGTGCAATGAAGGTCATCCAAGAGCCTACACCCCTCACTCACTACTCACTATAGTATCTTTGTTGTTCTCATCTAATATTGCTTCTGCAATCTGGAGTTACCCATATAAAAACTAAAAACTACAGTTCGTAGAAATCACGGAGAGTACATATTTTAGGTATTAGAATAAAATTGCCATCGCCGCTGATGTCAAGAACGTAGCCGGACAACTCGACGGAGTGGGTGGCAAGTGGCCCATCCTTATCTAATATCACTCTCCGGCTATAACGGCCGGTGACGAGTTACTTAAGCAGGAAACACATGTCAATGTCGACCATCAGGCCAGGAAACAAGAACGTAAAAGGTAAGGAGAAGATGGGGAATCTCGAGAGAAATGCAACTTAAACTAATTAATCAAATCGACAATGGTGTCAGCTCACGAGTCAAAATGATCGGAGTTGATTACTTGATGCGGATCAACGAAAAATCTGCAGCTAATTATAAAAATACGAGGGAGAATGATTACAAAATCTTCATAGTTCATACAAAAGTACCTGTTAGAGAGCCCATCTGGATAGTAAGGGTGGAAATCGGGATGATATTAGTACTATGAATATAAAATATCGAAATTATGAATACCAAATAGTATGCTAAATTCAATCTCAATATTAAAATAAATACCATAATTCGCTGAATTCTTGATGTTTTTGTTCGGTATCGGTATATACCAAATACTAAATAAATTTGATTATAAATTACCAATCAAATATATAAAACAACTTTTTCCATTTTTAAATTATATGAAACAAACGATTTTTTTTATAAGGGTGATATAGGTTTCATTTTTTTGTTATTAAGGTACTACTTAAAAAACAGGGGAGGAGGAATTGACGGCGGCGGCGGCGATGGCAACCAGTGGCGGAGGGAGGTAAGGAGGAGAGGGGTCCTAGGACCCCACTTGGCAAATAATTGGACAACAAAATCCTTTAAATACATAGGTTTTAGTACGATAATTCAAGTTTAGGACCCCATACTCTCAACGATGTTAGCTCACCAAGGACCCCGGTTAACTCAAAATTCATTAGGTACACAAGCATTTATGTTAGTAAGATTTTAAGGACCCCAGTAGACTCGATGGCTGGCTACGCCACTGATGGCAACTGGCTACCGGCGGGATTCGAGGAGAGGATGGAAGGGAAAGGGCTGATAATTCGGGGGGTGGGCCCCGCAGGCGCTGATTCTGGACCACTTGGCGGCGAGCGGATTCGTGACGCACTGCAGGTGGAACTCGACGCTGGAAGGGATCACGACGGGGTTGCCGATGTTGACGCGGCCGGTGACGGCGGAGCAGTTCTACAACGAGAAGCTGCTAATTGAGATCCTGGGGATTGGGATCGCGGTCGGGGCGAAGCAGCTGTACGGGGTGAAGGTGGGGAGCGGAGGGGTGGCAGATGCAATGGGGCGGATGATGGCGGAGGAGGGTGAGGAGGCGGCAGAGATGAGGAAGGCCGGCGAGCTGGGGAGGATAGCGAAGAGAGAGGTGGAGGAAGGCGGATCTTTATATGCGAATGTCAGTGCTTTGATCGGAGAGCCCTATCAATTTGATAATTACTAATAATTTTTTTATTTTATTTTTTTATTTTATGGTAAAAATGAGTTGGACATTTATATTAAATTTTAGGTTATTTATTATTTATTAATTGCCATAACGGTCAACCTTAAGAGTTGACTGTCACATCAGCCAAAGTTAACGGAGTTGGACGGAGTCGGAGAGTGACCAAACATGAACGATTTCAATAAACTGAAATACCACCAATGAATTTAAATATTTCGAGTTACCAAACTTAGAACTTTTTTTTAATATCGGTGACCAAGAACCATGCAATTAACCCTTTTAAAAAACGAGTTGAATCATTTCCCCCTCCATATATGGTACTCGACTCCTCGACCAGTTGACTATAAGTTATGCACTTATGCAACCTACACCACAACCCAGCCACCAACCAGAAGCAGCCATGGATGCGACTTCGTTACACCTCCCGGAAATCCTCGTCGCCATAGCGATCGCCGTATTCCTCCACCTACGGTGGTTCGGAAAAAGGCAAAGACGACAACCCAGCCACAAATTCCTCCCGGAGATCCCCGGCGCCCTGCCCTTGTTGGGCCACCTCCACCTCCTCGGCGGGAAGCAGCCCCTGGCGCGGAAGCTGGCTTCCTTCTCCGACAAATACGGACCCGTCTTCACCATCCGCCTCGGAGCCAACAACTTGACGGCGGTGGTCAGCGACTATGACGCCGTCAAGGAATGCTTTACCGCCAACGACCGGGCCCTCGCATTCCGGCCCGATTCCACCCAGGCCCAAATCCTCGGCTACAACTACGCCCTCTTCGGATTCGCCTCCTACGGCGACTACTTCCGCTACATCAAGAAGATTCTCATCTCCGAGGTCCTCTCCGCCAACCGAATCAAGGCCCTCCGCCGCGTCCAGATCTCGGAGATAGATTCCCTAATTCACGACCTCTACCAACAGAGCAAGGCCGGCGGCGGCGGGAAGACAGTGATTTCGGTGAGCGAGGGGATCCACAGCTGCGTCATCAACATAATGACTCGGATTATCGCCGGGAAGAGGTACTTCGACAAGTCCAATTACGAGGAGCAACATTCTGTCTCCAATTTTAGTGGCGGGCGGCCAATCAGTGAAATGATTAGGGAATTTATGCTGGTCATGGGTACTCCGGTTCCTTCCGATTTGATTCCGATTCTCCGGTGGGTCTTGCCCCGGGGAGCCGAGAAGGCGATGAAACGGCTGTTCAAGGAGCTGGATGTTGTCATGCAGAGCTGGATCGACGAGCACAAGGAGAAACAGGTTGTCAACGACGGCGACGAAAGTAATCGCGATCTCATCGACGTTATGCTCTCCGAAATTAAAGATGAAGTTGCCTTTGGTCACAAGCGCGAGACCATCGTCAAGGCCATTGCTCATGTAAGTGATTGTTTTTTTGAACAAATTCTGAGTCAGGATAATTGCATTTTCGGAAAGAGTAACCGTTCGATCCTAAGAAATGGTGACAAACAGATTGATCTTGTTTAATTTTTTCTCGTTTTTTTTTGTCATCAGGCTTTAATCTTTGGGGGCTCTGATACGACTGCGATTACGCTGACGTGGAGCCTATCGAACTTGTTGAACTACAAGCGAGCGTTGCATTTAGCTCAGGAAGAGCTCGACAACACAGTAGGGAGAGATCGATGGGTGGACGATTCCGACATTGACAACTTGCCATACTTAAAAGCTGTGATCAAAGAGACATTGCGAATGTATCCGCCGGGTGCACTTTCATTGCCTCGGATAGCATCAGAGGACATCACGATCAAAGGGTATCACGTGCCGAAGGGCACTCAGTTCTTTGCGAACTTCTGGAAGCTGCACAGGGATCCAAACGTCTGGTCCGACCCGAACGAGTACAAGCCGGAAAGATTCCTGACGAGCAATGCCGATATCGAAATATTCGGACATCAGTTCGAGTATCTCCCATTTGGGTCGGGCCGACGAGGATGCCCGGGGATCAATTTCGGGATGCAGGCTACACAGCTGACCTTGGCGAGACTATTGCAAGGGTTCCATTGGAGTACCCCTGGAGATAAGCCTGTGGATATGACTGAAGACTTGGGAATCATCCTTTCTAAGACCAATCCATTGCAGGTCGTCCTTACCCCACGACTTCCAGCTCAGTTTTATAATGCTTAACAGAAAGCTTGTCATCCAAAATATAGCCAACGAGAGTAATGCAGATGGTTCTCCTGTTATGAGAGAGCATCAACTTCCTTGTTGTAACTGCTGTTCTTTACTCTGGAGACAATTGGATATGCGGAATCTTTTTGTATACCCTTAGAACGAAACTTGCACTCCTCGAAAGATAAAAGAATGATCGAAATAATTACAACTCGGAGAAATCAGAAATCACAGTTGAAAACAGTTTGTCAAAGGCTGCAATGTTCCATGACCCAGTTGAGAGATCTTAAGTTGCCAATGGTTTCCCAGTTAAAAAGGTAGCAAACAATGAGAGGGATCTCTTTGGTGATGAGAACGGGGCCAGGTGAGAAGCTCCTCTTATAGTTGCAAATGCAAGCTTATTCCCACCATAGACTTGGGTCCATCCACCCACCTGAATCATGTCAACAGGAAAAGGAAGATCACAGATGATTGGTTATGTATCAGTCAGGCAGATTGGTGGAAGTTTAACTGTTTAAGCTCTTTTGAGTGTTATGTAACAGAAAAAATGATGGCAAGAAGTTACCTGCTTTTCAGCATCAAACCATGGCCTGTATGACACAGTTGTGTTCAAACCAATCCTTTTGGCCAGACGATTCACCAAAGTTCTTGTCCCAATGAATGGCAGCACCGAATCTTGATCCCCGCTGTAAACTAGTACCTGGATTCCTGAACGCACTAATGAGCCCACCACTCCAATTGTTGGATTCTCCAAATTGTTTCGGTCATAATTGATCACACTGCAAGCGAAGTTGGAGCATGGATATTCGATCAAGTTTCGATATATGAAGAAGCAACTCTATAAAGCTGGTCTAGTTGATAATTTGAAACTGGAAGATATTCAATCGACTCTATGGGGCTTACTAGCTGCAGCTTCTCCAGGTGGGGATGCCTACAAGCTGGGCATGCATAGCATTTTGAACATCTTTCCTGTTCAAGTACTTGTCGATTTCACCTTCTGCACAAAGGTCTATGGCCGACTCTCCAACTTTCTGCATTGACTGGACAATTCAAAAACCCAACAAAGATGAGTATGCTGCATATTTGTATCAGTGGTTCGGGTAGATTAGATGAGGAGTTGATCATAGTCAAGGGAGCTTATACCGGATTTCTGCTGGTACTTTGGCTGGACTTGAGGGATGCAAATGGGTGGAAAGTTGCTTCCAAGGACAGTTTGGATGATGACCCATCATTGTCTGCCAAACAAACATCTGAAGTGATGTCATATCTGTTGAAGTTCTGGCTAGGCATCTCTGCACTAAGTTGAGTTGCAACCATTTTACAGGGCTCAGAAAGAGAGCCTGAAGCAGCCTGTCTTCTGAGCTGGGAGCTGTTGCACATTTTGTTGAGAAGGTGATAGGTGTGATCTGATATCAAACCGTGAGACCAGAAGTACTTTTCTACGCCGTTGAAATCTGTGTTGAAATCCAACAATGGGTTCCCTATCTGAAAATTACAACACAATACAAGAAGATAATCAGTGAAACGTGAGTCACAAGTATCAGAATTTGCTGATGTGTCATGTAGATTTTGGCAGGTAATCTTACTGCTATGCCCTTCAACTTCAAGCTGAGATTTGATCGCGACTCCACAATTAGCTGGGCTAGTTGTGGGACATAGTGTCCTGTTGGGGAAAGAAGAAATCAGTATCAGAATTCTAAGATTTGAATCATGTGTGTTGTGAGCAATGAACTCAGAAACTACATACCGGCATAGCTTTCTCCGGTGAGATAAAGATCTCTGTCCTTGTATTCAGGAAACTTGATTAGCCATTGTTGTAGGAATGCCAAGTTGTCTTTTGCTGATAATAAGAAGTGGATAGACAACCCAGTCGGATTCTGTTTATCTGACAAGTCAGTTTGAGAATATAAATATTGGTCTATGTTTCAGACTAACCTGTGATGGTGTCATTTACTAATTTATAGAAAGAGGTATTGCCAGAATACGAGAATCCAACTCCTGCTGGCGATTCCAGGTACAACATGTTTGCTTCTGCAGCAGCAAAAACAGTATCAGTCAGCTGCTAGTTCATAACAAGAAAAGAAATGAGAAGCTCAAAAGAGAGGTATGTAACTTTATGCCAAGTTTGAGATCAATGCAAAGGCACCTTTGTTCCAACTGTAGTTATTTTTCAGGAGCGCCTCTGAACCATTTGTCTTGAAAGGGCCGTGTTCGGTGAAAGCTCCAGCTCCAATAGAGGAACACCCTGGCCCTGATAGCACAATACACCAACCCAAAGTCATACTTCAAGTGGAAGCCAAAATAAGTCAAAGCTCCGAACTTGGGAAGTGAAAGTTGACAGAAGTTTGTGTAAAAAACGTAGGTAATCAAATCTGCTGACAACATACCACCATTTAGCCAGAGAACAAGAGGCTTGGAAGTAAAGTTTGTCTCAGCTTCAACAAAGTAGTAGAAGAGTTTCCTCTGTTGGGTTTCATCCACAATAACATAACCCGAATACTGCTGGAAGCTAACCTCTGGCTGGCCAGGCAACTTCACAATCTTATCAGCCTCGTATGATGACTCAACAATTCCTAAAATTGCGGTGCAAGTTGCAGATATCATCAACATGACAATCCATAAATGAGAGTTCATGGTGGTGAAGAAGCTCTTTTGATTTTGAGGGAGCTGTATGGGTTGGTTACAAGGGATTTTCACCTTCTGTTACTTATAGATGGATCCAGGGTTTAGAGGTTTTAAACAAACACGGACAAACTGCTGCATCACTACATTACCTTTTTATTGCAACGAGAGAATCGTGATTATGATTGGTATTAACAGACTTGGATTGGATGAAGTCAGAGGAAGCATTTTGTTCACGCTTTAAGCGACTTCGCGCTCTAGAGTAAAGCTTCTGCAGTACCTAATACAGACAAGCGTTATACATTCTCCAACACACAGAAACAAGAAAGATCACTTTACTTTTGTTGTCTGCAGCAAAACCATGTGGCGTGGATGGTTCATGGACGCCATTTGGACACTGTACCGCTTTTCTGAAGACAAGTGCCTCATCTCATCTGGGTTAGTCAAATTATGGACTGCGCACAAGACAAATGGTAGACCACAACTGCTTGGTTTCCTCTTTATCTTGGGTTTTTCTCCAGATTCGTTGAACGATCCTTTTTGTGTAGAAACGGCTGTGTTTTAGCATTATCTCCCAGCCTCCTCCATGGATGGTGTTCTGGGTATCTCCCAGCTTCTCCCATCACAGTTCAACCAGCAAGCAAGCAAGAGAGCAGCTCAACTTTGTCCATAAGACCATAACCAATGGTTTAACCTCAGCTGGACAAATTACTAGACTGGTAACAACTAACAAGTGCTATCGTAATTGCGGAACTGGACCGGGCCCAGGACGTTGGGCCAAAACAGGCTGAAGACAAACTAATATAATGGGCCTCAATTCAGAATGTCTGGGCTCATGACGAAAATCAACCTCCCTTGCCAAACTTGAAACTCCAGTCCTCAGCCAAAACCTCAGCCGCCGGCGTACTAGACGGACGAATCCGTGAGAGGCCGGTGACGGAGGAGTCGGAGTTCCTCCGTCGGTAGGAACCATCCGGAGACGACGAAATGATACCGGCTTCAGGCGCGCCTCAACCACACTAGCGAAGGTACGAAATTATTGGCCGTGGCCGTAGAGTATCTTGATAGTAATAGGGAGATGATAACAATAGGGAATGAACCATTATCAGTCATTCACGAGCTGAGCTGAGCATCATTGTAGTGTACTTATAGCAGGGAGATTCGAAAGGAAATTGATTGCTTGATTATTCTATGACATTAAAGCATCCACAATTCAGATATAGGCATAGTTGGTTTTGCCTGGAAGATTATTGAACTTATTACATTTTGGGAAATCCGTGGTCCAAGTTGGAGGGAGATCAAGTTGCCAATGGCTTCCCGGCAACAAATGCTGCGAATAATGCGAGTGACCTCTTGGGAGAGGAGAATGGAGCCATGTGAGAGGCTCCTCTGATGGTTGCAAATGATAACTTATTGTTCTCCCCATAAACTTGTGTCCATCCACCAACCTGCTCCAGGATATGTGTGATTAGTTCAGAAATAGGCGAGGGAGGGTTATCAATCTAGTCTTCCAACAGAGAACTGAGGGAAATTAAGTTACCTGTTTGTCATAATCAAACCATGGCTTGTATTCCACTGTTGTGTTTAGTCTCATCCCTTTTGCTAATTGATCCACCAGAGTCCTCGTCCCAGTGGATGGGATCACGGAATCTTGATCACCACTGTAGACTAGTACTCGAATTCCTGAACCCACCAACCCACCAACGAGGCCAATTGTTGGAATCTCCAAATTGTCCAAGTCATAGCCCACCTCACTGCAAACCATCCATGGCAAAGGATACACAGAAAGTAATATTTATATTGTCCTGAAAGACCAAGTGGTTAGAACTAAAAATGCAGGCTTACATGCTGCAGATGCCCCAGCTGGGGACGTGTACAAGCTTGGCATGCATAGCTTGTTGGACATCTTTCCTGTTCAAATAGGTGTATGTCTTATCTTGTACACAAAGGTCTATGGACTCACCATGTGTCTGCATACCAATCAGTATCAATGAATCACGAGTCTTGCTGATATGGTAGCTTTTTTTTTTGTTTGAACATTATCCAAAGAGGACTTACCGTCTTTGTAAGAACACCTTGATTATTGGATTTGAGAGACGAAACTGGATGGAAACTGGCAGCCAAAGCCAGTTTCTGGGAACCGAATTGTGATTCAACATCTGATAAGCAAACATCAGAAGTGACATCATACTTATTGATGTAGCCTCTTGGAACTTCTGCACCAAGTCGAGTTGCAACGGTTTGACATGCCTCAGTAAGAGACCTGGAATCAGTCTGTCTCTGGAGCTGGGAGGTGTTGCAGATTGTGTTGATAAGGTGATAGGTTTCATCTGATATCAAGCCATGCGACCAGTAGTAATCTCCTTCCCCATTGATATCTGTGTTGAACTCCAACAATGGGTTTCCTATCTGCAAAGTATAACACAAGAGATTTGTTGTAACACTATAAATATCAGGATTGCTGATGAATGTCATGTTAATTGTGGCAGGTGAACTTACAGCGATGCCTTTCAAGCTGAGATTTGATCCCGACTCAACAATTAACTGTGCTAGTTGTGGGATATAATGACCTGTTGGTGAAACAAACTCAGGTTGGATTGAGGTCAGTAGTTTGATAGTGTGTATTTAGTGTTTATATACTTTGTTTGCTGTCCAAATGTTAACAATGAAGATAGAAAACTTACCAGCATAGCTCTCTCCAGTGATGAAAAGATCTCTCTTTTTGTATTCAGGGAACTTTACTAGCCATTGTCGTAAGAAAACGAAGTTGTCATTTGCTGATTCAAGGACAATCCAGCTGGATTATGTTAATCTGACAGTTGATTTTGGCCTGAGGCTACAAAGATGGGTTAAGTTTCAGATTAACCTGTTATGGTGTCATTTACCGAGCCATAGAAAGATTCGTTGGCAGAATACGAGAATCCAACTCCTGCTGGCGCTTCCAGGTATAGCATATTTGCTTCTGTAGCAGGGAAAAGTTAAATGCTGAATGTTGATTTCCAGTGAAAAATATGGGGAATTGCAATCTAAGAGATATGAGCAGAATGTGAAGTGCACCTTTGTTCCAACTATATGCATTATTGACCAGAATCCCTGCTGAATTTGGCTTGAAAGGGCCATGTTCAGAGAAAGCTCCAATTCCAACAGACGAACAGCCAGGTCCTGATGTCATAGAAAGAACCATTAAGCACACAAGAAACATATAATGTTTTATTATTATTTATAAAAAACAGTAAATAACCCTATAAAGCAGTCATGTATAAATAACCAATTGGTGAATCAATACCTCCATTAAACCACAGTACAAGAGGCTTGGAAGTGGAGTTTGTCTCAGCTTCAACAAAGTAGTAGAAAAGTTTCCTTCCTTGAATTTCATCAACAGTTACATACCCTGCGTACTGCTGGAAACTAACCTTTGGCTGCCCTGGTAACTTTACAATCCTGTCACTTTCGTATGCAGATTCAACAGTTAAGCAAAGTGCATTAAAAGCTGCAGAAATGAAGAACATAAAAGTCCATAACCGAGAGCCCATGGTGGTGAAAAAGCTCCAACTGAACTGTATGGCCAGTTGAGCGCGGGTAAAGGTACGTTCATTCTTGTTCTGTTTATATGGGATCCATGGTTAAAGGACTATATTGGATTCTTCACAGCTAGAGACAGAATTGAGCAATCCAATGAAAAGGGAAAAGGCATATACTAGCATTGTATATAGAATACATTTTAGTGTGATAAAGAAGACAAATGGAAGGACGCATCCTTGTTTCTTGCTCTTCTCTCAACTGCATTATATGCTATTCGTCCAGCTTTCTAGACTAGGATGATACTTTCCTTACACTACCTATGATGTGCATCTGTCCAGACAATACTTTGTCAGCAACCAATTAATTCACCACTTCTTAGCATAACTAGCGGCAGTATGACTCAGTTGTATACCTTGAAGCATGCTGAATCTGGCAGGTGGGTTCTGTAGATCTTGGGTGAGTGATGAAGGAAATTGATTTCTTTAGTACAATAGATGACATCAAACCCTCAAGTCAAGAATATAAGAAGTACATTTGTGGATAATTTGCAGATTAACGAGAGATCAAGCTCCCAATGGTCCCCCAGCAACAAATGCTGCAAATAATGCCAGAGACCTTCGTAGGAGAGGAGAATGGAGCCATGTGAGAGGCTCCAATGATGGTCGCAAATGATAACTTATTGTTCCCCCCATACACTTGTGTCCATCCATCCACCTTTTTGTCATAATCAAACCAGCCCTTGCATGCACGGTTGAATTCTTTTGTGGCATGAACAAACCACTATGGCTTTCAAGCTGAGATTTGATTGTGACTCCAAAATTAGCTGGGCTAGTTGTGAGACATTGTCCTATTGGTGAAATAATACATCAGTATCAGAATTCTAAGATTTGAATTACGAGTGTTTCTGAGCAATGGACTCAGAAACTACATACCGGCATAGCTTTCTCCGGCGAGATAAAGATCTCTGTTCTTGTATTCAGGAAACTTGATTAGTCATTTTTGTAGGAACGCGAAGTTGTGCTTCGCTGATAATAGGAAGACAACCAACGCAGTTACACTGTCAATCTGACAAGTTATTCCAGTTTGAGAATATAGAGATTAGTTCAAGGGGTGGTTTGGATGCAGAATTTTAATTTGAGAGATTTAAGAGAGATTTGAGCTCAAATCTCTTGTTTTAAAAACCTAGGTTTTCTACATCAGGAATTTTAATGAAATAACTTGTTTGGAAGTAAACCTAGGATTTTAATATAAGAATTGAAAATACAATATTGTCCTGCTTCCCATCTTCCTCTTCCTCTGCCAACGTTGCTCTCCTTTCTCCACCAGACGATCGAACCACCAAAATTGACAAAACCCACCAGATTGATGGGATGCTGCGGTAAAATATCACCAAAACCCAATTGAAAATGAAAGAATAACACAGTCAGGATCAAGTTTTCGCATACTAGGCAGAATGGAAAACTTTTGCAAGGAAGAATATCACCAACCTGCAAGATTTAGGTGGAGCCAGCGACCAATCCATAGAAGACCCAGTGACCTCGTCATCCAGCGTCCTTCAGGGTCGTTGGCCTCGCCAGTCCTCATCAATCGGCATCCTCGCCATTTGCCGACATCATCTTTGGAAATGGAGGAAACAGAGGTCGATATGTGCGCGACCGTGACCTGTGCAACATCGGGGAGATTGAGCGATTTACGAGTTTCCAACTGCTCCGGTGGACCTGGGAGACTTCAAGGAGAGAGGTCGACGGCGAGATTGGACGAAATTGGGGAGAGAGAGCGACGGCGGCAAGGTTTGACCGGCGGTGAGGATGGGTGAAGAGAACGAAGAGGGTGTGTTGTAGGTGAAGGATAAGTTTGGAATAAATAAATAAAAAATGAGGGATTTCAAAATAGCTGACCCTCATCAGCTATTTCACAATCCCACATATGCAGGTTTTTAAAATTCCTAATAATCACAATTCTTAGGTTTCCCAAACGTGTTATTTGATTAAAATCCCTCATTGTGTGGGATTGTTTTAAAATCCTGCACCACAATCCTACCACATTCCCTCATCCAAACGACCCCAATAATCACAATTCTTAGGTTTCCCAAACGTGTTATTTGATTAAAATCCCTCATTGTGTGGGATTGTTTTAAAATCCTGCACCACAATCCTACCACATTCCCTCATCCAAACGACCCCCAAGTTTCAGACTAACCAGTGATGGTGTCATTTACTAATTTATAGAAAGAGGTGTTGGCAGAGTAGGCGAATCCAATTCCTGCTGGCGATTCCAAGAATCCAAGTATAGCTTGTTTGCTTCTGCAACAGCCAACATGAGTAACGCATCAAAATGCCGGTTCCAATTCCAGTTACAAAAAATTAAATAAAGTGGAGAACAGTAAAAGAGATTTGAGCACCTTTGTTCCAACTATAGTCATTGTGGACAAGAATCCCTGCTGCATTTGGCTTGAACGGGCTGTGTTCAGAGAAAGCTCCATCTCCGACAGAAGAGCAACCAGGTCTTGATGTCAAGGAATGTCATTAAGTACATACAACAAATACAAATTTTCTGTTCATCTTCATCAGTTGAAAACATATAAAACCAGTCTTCTAACAATATAATGAACTAATGATGGAAGGATGAGTTAGTTTGGAAGTTGAGTTGGTATCGGCTTCAACAAAGTAGTAGAACAGTTCCTGCTGCTGGGTTTCATCGACGGTTACATATCCTGCATACTGTTGGAAACTGACCTCTGGCTGTCCAGGTAGCTTCACAATTCTATCGAGTTCATATGCTGACTCAATTCTTCTGCAGATTGTTGTCAAGCAATCGAAAATCATGAACGGTACGATCCATACGTGAGGAGCCATACATGGCGGTGAAGAAGCTCTTACGTTCAAAGAATTGTACGGTTGTTAGGAAATGTGATTCCCATCTGCTATTTAGAGATGGGATTCCTGTTTAGAAGGCGGTAGTACTGCAGGCGGCTTCACCACTATGAGACAGTAGGATAGTGACCAAGCTTATATGTCATTCGGCCTCTAGAAAAATAGCAGTAAACTAATTAACAGCAAACTACAAGAAAGCACTATTATTTCTTTTGTTTTCTTGATTCCAATGTGACATTTGAGTCAGTGATAATACAAAGATAGGCAGAATAGTTGCCTCAAGGTAATTGAAATTACAGGTTGGACAGATTCAAAGTTTGAGAGATATCAAGTGGCCAAGGGTTTCGCAGCAACAAATGCTGCAAATAATGCGAGCGATCTCTTCGGCGAGGAGGTTGGAGCCAGATGAGAGGCTCCTCTGATGGTTGCAAATGACAACTTATTGTTCTCCCCATAAACTTGGGTCCATCCACCCACCTGTTTGTCATAATCAAACCATGCTTTGTAAGGTACGGTTGTATTCAGTCGCATCTCTGTAGCCAAACGATTCACCAGAATCCTTGTCCCCATGAATGGGAGAATCGAATCTTGATCCCCGCTGTAGACTAGTACTCGAACCCCCGATCCCACCAATGAGCCTAAGATTCCAACTGTCGGAATCTCCAAGTTGTTATGATCATAATTCATGACACTGCAAATTGAATTTCGAGAGAAATTAAGAGGATCCTGTCAAAGATTCTTCCAAGTGTGGCACAACTAGAAATGCATGCTTACCTGCTGCAGTCCTTCCAGCCGGGGATGCCTACAAGCTTGGCATGCATAGCTTGTTGGACATCTTTCCTGTTCAGGTAAGTGTGTGTCTCATCTTCTATACAGAGGTCTATGGACTCTCCGGCTTCCTGCATACCGATTCAGAATCGATCAATGATAATGAGTTCAGCTGGTACGTTTGGATTTCGAACGCAATTTGACTGAGGTCCAAGAATGACTGACCAGCTTTCTGAGAGAGCCTTGGTTGGATTTGAGCGATGAAAATGGATGGAAACTGGCTGCTAATGAAGAGTGCTCTTCCTGGGAATCACTGTCTGATATGCAAACATCAGAAGTAACATCATAAATATCAAAGTTCCTTGTAGGAATTTCTGCAGCAAGTTGATTTGCAACCAGTTCACACTGCTCAGAAAGAATGCCATCCGCAGCCTGTCTCCTGATCTGGGATGTGTTGCAGATTGTGTTAACAAGGTGATACGTTTCGTCGGATATCAAGCCATGAGACCAGTAGTACTCTCCCTGACCGTTGAAATCTGTGTTGAACTCCAACAATGGGTTTCCTATCTGCAAAATACAACAAAACACTGTATGTCAGGATTTCCGAACTTTCAGGACAATGTCATCTAAATTCTTCTGTGGCATGAACAAACCGCTATGGCTTTCAAGCTGAGATTTGATCTCGACTCCACGATTAGCTGTGCTAGCTGTGGAACATAGTGTCCTGTTGGTGAAAGAACACATCCGTATCAGAATTCTAAGATTTGAATCATGTGTGTATTTTGAGCAATGGACTCAGGAACTATATACCGGCATAGCTTTCTCCGGTGAGATAAAGATCCCTGTTCCTGTATTCAGGAAACTTGATTAGCCATTGTTGTAAGAAGGCCAAGTTGTCTCTCGCTGATAGGAAGAACATCAGCCCAGTTACATTCTGTCAATCTGATAAGTTGTTCAAGTTTGAGAAATATAGAGAATAGTCCAAGTTTCAGACTAACCTGTGATGGTGTCATTTACTAATTCATAGAAAGAGGTGTTGGCAGAATATGAGAATCCAACTCCTGCTGGGGATTCCAAGTATAGCATGTTTGCTTCTGTAGCAGCCAAACAAAGTAACCCATGAAATGTTGGTAGAAAAAAGAAAAAAGAGAACTGTTAAAAAGAGATTTGAGTACCTTTGTTCCAGCTATAGTCATTGTGGACTGGAATCCCTGCTGCATTAGGCTTGAACGGGCCATGTTCGGAGAAAGCTCCATCTCCGATAGAAGAGCAGCCAGGTCCTGATGTCAAGGAATGCCATTCAGTACACACAACAAATCTAAATTTTCTGTTCATCTTCGTCAGTTAAAAACACATAAAACCAGCCTTCTAACGGCGTAACGAATTAATGATGGAAGGATGAGTTGGTATATATACCTCCATTGAGCCAGAGAACAAGAGGCTTGGAAGTGGAGTTGGTCTCAGCTTCAACAAAGTAGTAGAACAGTTCCCTCTGCTGGGTTTCATCGACGGTTACGTACCCTGCATACTGTTGGAAGCTAACCTCTGGCTGCCCTGGTAGCTTCACGATCCTATCGGCCTCATATGCGGACTCGACTCTTCTGCAGACTGTTGTCAAGGACGCGAAAACCACGAACGTTACAATCCATAAGCGAGAAGCCATATGGTGGGGACGAAGCTCTCACGTTCACAGTATTGTACCGGTTGATAAAAAAATGTAACTCCCATCTTCTGCTACTTATAGGTGGAAATTCCTGCTTACAAGGAGCATTAGTACTGCAGGCGGCTTCACCACTATGAGACAGTAGGATAGTGACCAAGCTTATATGCCATTCGGCCTCTAGAATAAATAACAGTAACTACAAGAAAGATCTCTTAGTTCTTTTCTTTTTCTTTTCTCCCTTCCTCGACAGGAAGAATTGGTCATGACAGATGGTAAGCACACAACCTGACTTCCTCGGATGAAACCTTCGTTGCAATTCTTACAGCTGCATACCAACGGATTTTTTTTTTTGCGATAATCAGTCTGCTATTCACGAACAAGGGGAGCAACCTACGCGTAAATTTCTGAAAAGCAGAAATTTGCTCGATCAGTTCGAAAGCAGCTGCAAAACCAGGGACATGTTATTGCTATTCCAGCTTGTTGTTAGAGAGTGGTATAAGATCCAGCAGAACCTTCTCCCAACAACTCGAGTTATTGGGAGCAACTGGTTCTTGACATGGTATCAGAGCTGGTTTGACCAAGTGGTCGTGTGTTTGAATCTCCACGACCCCCAATATTAACAGTGGATTAAAGCACAAGGTATGGTGGGCCTGTGCAAACTTCAAGCCCATGGGTTGGCCCTCGTTTGAGGGGGCGTGTTAGAGAGTGGTATAAGATCTAGCAGAACCTTCTCCCAACAACTCGAGTTATTGGGAGCAACTGGTTCTTGAAACTTGTAACTGTGCATAAAGAAACGAGAACACAACAATAAATTCACCAAGTTGTCAATAGATTAACATTTCTGATCACTGTTATACTAAAAATAAACAATCATTTCGACACAGATAGTTACCAAGTTATGATTCAGAAGTTAGTTAGGATTGCCTATAAGTTTATTGAATTCTTAAATTCGAACTAAGTATTGTTGTTTCTACACAGATAGTTACCAAGTTATGATTCAGAAGTTAGTTAGGATTGCCTATAAGTTTATTGAATTCTTAAATTCGAACTAAGTATTGTTGGGGCGATCCAATTAAGGACCAGCCCTCCAAAAATAGACGTAAAGAATTCGAACTAAGTATTGTTGGGGCGATCCAATTAAGGACCAGCCCTCCAAAAATAGACGTATGCCTCTATGCGCAATGCGTACACGGTATTCTTTAGTAAAAGGCGAAAGAATAGTTCGCTATGTACTCATTGCAAGGCTGCGTGAGAAGACATGGATAATTAGAGTTTGATTATATAGCCTACTGTGCTGAGGCAAGGGGTGCTTTTGAGTCTATCACCGATGTGGTATTCGTTCTGAGGGAACTCCTTTGGCCATGATAACCCTTTCTGCTTGGGATTCATTCTATGTATACAAGTATGGCTTCTCATGTTGATTCAAAGAACAATGGATTGGAAGCAAACTGAGGAATGAATGGTCTTTACCTCAATGCCAAGGCATGTTACAGCTGCAACCTCATCTGCAATGTCCATTGTGAACATATGTAAATGGTATACAATAAACCGGAAAACCATAAACCAAGACGCGATTGAAAGGGAAGCTACGTGCAATGCTGTCAACGCGAGCAATCTAACAACACCAAGGATCCACAATCTGTAAATGTTTTCAGGAGATCTGAGTTTTCTCTTATTGACTGAGGATACATATATACAGCAGTACAATTAACAGAATAACAAAAACCTACGCAGCCTACGCAGAGGTTGCTAAAAGGCAGGAAACTAACTAACAGAAATACATAGTGGGAGAATTCTGTTCCGAGTGTTACTCTCCCTTATCACGCCCCCGCAAGTGGAACCTCGGTGAGGTGAAACTTGGAGCAGAACGACCGAAATGGTTGACGAGATAGTGGTTTCGTGAGTACATCAGCCAGTTGATCAGTGGCAGGGAGATATCGAACATTGAGCTGCTGCTTGTTGACCCGGTCTCGAACAAAATGGAACTCGATCTCCAAATGCTTGGACCGAGTGTGAAAGACGGGATTGTGGGCAAGGTACGTGGCCCCAAGATTATCACACCAAAGAACCGGGGCTGTAGACGGAGACTGACCAAGCTCATTAAGGAGAGCTTGCAACCAGATGACTTCAGAGGCAAGTGTGGCCAGCGCCCGATATTCACACTCGGTGGATGATCGAGCCACCGCTTTCTGTTTCCGGGTGGACCAGGATACCAAATTCTGACCATAGAACACTGCGAAGCCAGAGATAGACTTACGATCACGAGGACAGGATGCGAAAGACGCGTCTGAATAGCCATGAAGTTGCGGTTGAGGAGACTTCTGAAAGAGCAGCCCTTGAGTGCTTGTCCCGTGTAAATAACGGAGGATGCGTTTCACTGCAACCCAATGGGCATCTGTCGGCTGTTGCTGGAATTGTGAGACATGGTTGACAGCAAACGAGATGTCAGGACGGGTAAAGCTCAAATACTGAAGACCACCGACAATGCTTCTGTATAAGCCTGGATCATGAAACGCCGGAGATAAATCAGAGGCACTCTGAAGCAGCTGATCAGCCGTGCAGGGAGTGGAGATCGGCTTGGCCTGCGACATGCCGGATCGTTGGAGAAGCTCGAGAATGTACTTCCGTTGATTAAGAAGGAGACCAGCAGCTGTGTAATGTACCTCTAATCCAAGAAAATATGAGAGACGCCCCAAATCACGCAAGGCGAATTTCGCCTTAAGATGTACCATCAGACGCTGAATTGTGGAGGAATCAGTTCCTGTAATTACAATGTCGTCGACATAGACCAACATATATAGAAGTGCAGAAGCAGTGCGATAAATGAAGAGGGAGGGATCAGTCTTGGATGCAACAAACCCAAACTCGCAGAGAGCATGAGACAAGCACGAGAACCAGGCCCGAGGAGCCTGCCGGAGACCATAAATCGACTTCCGCAGTCGACACACATAATCGGGGCGCTCCGGGTCGATGAAGCCAACGGGCTGTTGCATATACACTTCTTCCTCCAAGGTGCCGTGTAAGAAGGCGTTGGATATGTCAATCTGATGAAGAGGCCAGGAGTGAGATACAGCGATCCCCAGGATAAGCCGTAGAGTCGCTGGTTTTAATACCGGGCTAAACGTCTGACCAAAATCATAGCCGGGAATTTGCTGGAATCCCCGGGCAACGAGGCGCGCCTTTTGCCGTTCAATGGATCCATCGGAATGGGTTTTCTCAGCAAAAACCCAACGGTTGGTGAGCAAATTGATGTTGGGAGGAGCTGGAACAAGGTCCCAAGTGTGGTTACGAACAAGGGCATCAAACTCGGTAGTCATCGCAGCACGCCAGATAGGTGACTTGAGAGCTTGAGCAGCGGTGGTAGGAACACCAGAGGAAGTTGCGGCGAGGTATTGGCGAGGCTTCAATTTGCCTGTCTGAGTCCGAGTGACCATACGTCGTGGAGGAGAGGGCGGGGCAGGAGGAATAATCCGGGGAGAAGTATTGAAAGGTGGGCGGTTGTGGAGGCTAGAAGATGGGCGAGGTTGAGGGTTAGTGTGGTGAGAGGAAGAATCTCGTCGATGATACTGAAGAAGCGGCGGCGAGAAAGGAAGGGCTGAGCGAGGGCGGCGGTGATACTGGAGATACGGGCGGGGAGGGTTGGGAGCAGTGGTGGGCTGGGAAGGAAGATTGAGGGAGGTAGCGGGCTGGGGGGGTAATGGAATGGGCTGCGGCCCAACAGGGGGGAGAATAATGGGGGAGGTAGGGGAGTCAGATGTAGGAGGGATAATAGTAGGGGTGGGCTGGAGTGGGCCGAGAGGAGTAGTGTTGGGCTGAGGTGGGTTGAGGGGAGTAGGGATGGGCTGAGGTGGGTTTAGGGGAGGAGTGGGCTGAGATGGACTGATGGTAGGGGTGGGCTGTGGTGGATCGGAAAAGAGAGGTGGGTTAGGAAGGCTGATGGGGTCGGGTAAGAAGCAAGAAGAGTCAAGTGTCTCGGGTGGGCCAATGGGTTGATCTGTAAAGGGAAACTTAGATTCATCAAATAAAACATGGCGACTGACATAAATACGACCAGTCGAACGATCAAGACACCGATAGCCTTTGTGTAAACGACTATATCCCAAGAAAACACAAGCAGTAGAACGAGGTTGAAGTTTATTAGAATTTTGTGGACGAAGCCAAGGATAGCAGAGACAACCAAAAACACGAAGATTGAGAAGATCAGGAGAGTGGTGAAACAAGGTAGTGAAAGGAGACGAATTATTAAGAAGAGGAGTCGGAGTACGATTGATGAGATAACAGGCAGTTTCAAAGGCGAGAGACCAATATTTGAGAGGAACTTGGGCCTGATGCAACATAGCAAGACCATTGTTAACAATATGACGGTGTTTACGCTCGGCACAACCATTCTGTTCTGGAGTATAGGGACAAGAAGAACGATGAATAATGCCATTTGTGGAAAGATAAGAAGTGAGTGCTTGATATTCACCACCCCAATCAGATTGAAAAATTTTAATGGGAAGACCAAAGAATTTTTCGACCATTTGGCGAAATTGAATAAAAACACTGAGAAGTTGAGATTTATACCGCACAAAATACACCCAGCTGAACTTACTATAGTGATCATAAAAGAGAACATAATAGGATTGATGATCATAAGAGAGAATAGGCGCAGGACCCCAAAGATCACTACAAATAAGTTCTAATGGAGCAGTGGCACGATATTGAGAAGACGGAAAAGGAAGTTTATGAATTTTACTAACAGAACAACCATGACATAGGGAAACAGAAGTATCATGATACTTTATTGAATGAGAAGACAAAAGGTGTTTAACAGCACGAAGATTAGCATGACCCAAGCGTTGATGCCATAGATCGAGAGAAGCAGTGAAAACACGAGGAGCTGCGCGACTTTGAATGTGAAGAGGCAGAGAATAGAGGCCATTTGTCGCAGATCCCCGATAGAGCTCAGCCTTCGTGCGGCGGTCCTTGATGACAAAATAGGAATCAAAGAATTCAATAGAAATGGGGTTAGAACGAGTCAAGGAACTCACGGAAAGAAGATTATGAGGCGCATTTTGAACACGTAGAACATTATGGAGGACATAATTGTTATCAGACACAGTGGCATGAGAAGAACCAGAATGAGAAATGGGAAGCTGTTTACCGTTACCAAAGGTGACTTGATCAGTGCCTGTATACTCAGAATGATGAACCAAATTGTCAAGATCAGAGGTAAGATGATGGTTGGCGCCAGAGTCGAGGAGCCATTGTTGAGATTGAGGGACTGGGTGAGAGGATTGGGCTAAGTGGGATGCTGGGCCAGAGGCATAAGTGGGCTGGGAATGATAAAGGGGACTTGGGCAATTGGGCTTAATGTGCCCCCTGCCTCCACAATTATGGCAGGTCACTGTTGGTGGGCCTAGAGGCCCAGCGCCGAGAACCCCTGGAGCAGTGGGCCGAAATCCGCCATGTGAGGGCCTGGGACCTGCAAAAGAAGGCAAATGAGCGCGGCCCGGAGAAGAAGGGCGGCCACTGAAACGCGAACCCCTGCCGCCGCGAGGAAAGCGACCAAAGCCGCGTCCCCTGCCGGAGAAGAAGGCCTGGGGATTGACACCGCCGGCAGTAGCACTCTGAAACCGGCGGAGCTGGAGCTCTTCACTCAGCAACAGACTGCTGAGATTAGCAAATGAAATAGGCTCCAACCGAGCCTCCAGATTCCGCGTGAAGGGGCGATAATCTTCATCAAGACCGTCAATCACATATGTTACCAGTTCTGACTCCTTGATGGGATCACCAAGAGCCACCATCTTATCAAATAGCGTCTTGGCCCTCTGTAGGTAGTCGTGAGCAGAGTCGTTCCCACGACGGAGATGACGAAGATCCCGACGAAGCTGACCGATAATGACAGGGGAGCCATCAGCATAAACAGAGGCGAGCGTGTCCCAGGCATCCTTGGCAGTGTGCTTATTGACAATATGGGGCATGACTGCCTCAGTCAAGGAAAGATTAATCCACATAAGGATCAGCTGATCATGCCCATACCATTCGCGATAGGCCGGATTCGGCTGATCAGCCACCATCTCAGGCGGAGCAGGAAGGGAGCCATCAATGTGACCAACAAGATTGTAGCAGCGAAGAAGAGGCTGAAGCTGCGCTCTCCATAAGAAGTAATTGGTGGGTGACAATTTGACGGACAATTGGGGGTTGGAAGGTAACGAGATGGGAAAGGAGGAAGAGGATGAAGCTGCTGCAACAGAAGAAGTGGAGCTGGAAGTTGTCGACATGGTGAAGCGACAAAGAAGAAGAACAGAGAAAAGAAATGTTGATGCGGTGAGAAGGAAGGAAAATTGGGAGTGGAGACAGGAAAAGAAGTCGAAGAAAAAGGGAAGAAAGGATCAGAGGAGCTGTTAGGCTATGAATGCTCTGATACCATGTAAATGTTTTCAGGAGATCTGAGTTTTCTCTTATTGACTGAGGATACATATATACAGCAGTACAATTAACAGAATAACAAAAACCTACGCAGCCTACGCAGAGGTTGCTAAAAGGCAGGAAACTAACTAACAGAAATACATAGTGGGAGAATTCTGTTCCGAGTGTTACTCTCCCTTATCACAATCAACCTATGGATAGATGTTTTGTGCATTATCCCCTGCAAGTGCTTCACTAGGTACTCTGAGCAACACCCTGTGCCACTTGTGAGGTCTGAGAAATGCCATTTTCAATCATCGAAGATTCCACCAGCTGTTCTCCTCCGCCATGGTTTTCATAGTCGACATCAAGCAAAAGCCAAATCACTAGAAACAAACTCCCAAGACAACCACAGTATACCATGTTCGTAGTGAGTTCCCAACTTGGTGACCTATCTACCGAAGGGCTTGTTCGACGAAGATTTCAGTCGTGAACCGCGAAAGTTGGGACATGGGAGTAACAAGTCCTAGACCTTTACTTGAAGACGCTATGTATGTAGTTGTCCAGCTTAAGTGACGAACGTCTACCAACCCAGAATGATGCAGTCTGGTCTAGTCTGCGATAGACTTCATTAGTTCAATCCTTGACTCCTTGTTAATCCTTTGCTTCTGAATGACTATTCGTTATTACTAGTCCAGGTGCAGTAAGTTGCTTTTGAAAGACTATTCATTAGTTCGAATCCTTTGCTTTTGGACAGATTCAGAGTGTAAAATAAATCATTGTGACTACTATCCAACTTCCAGATTACAGGGAAATCAATATCTGACAATGGAGCAAAAAGCAAGCAAAGTAGGTCTCCAACAATTTAACTGGAATGGCTCTGAAACAAAGATCAGGAAACCAAAAACAAGACACATAGTTTGATTCACTAAGATGACAAATACAAGGCATTTTATCACCCATGAATGATGAAACTACAATGAGTGATTCTGCGATGCCCTAACATTCAGCAGGGTTTATGAATACTCATGACATTTATTGATTGATTTCTTGATTCAAATGCGACATTAAATCATTGATAATACAAAGATATGCATAATCGAAACCCCTCGAGAAAAGTAAAACTACAGTTTGGAAATTTCGAGAGTGTGAAACCAATCATCTTCACGTTTCCATGTCTGAGAGAGATCAAGCTGCCAGTGGTCTCCCAGCAACAAATGCTGCAAATAATGCGAGTGACCTCTTGGGAGATGAGAATGGAGCCATGTGAGAGGCACCTCTAATGGTTGCAAATGACAGCTTATTGTTTCCCCCATAAACTTGCGTCCATCCACCCACCTGTTTGTCAAAATCAAACCATGCCTTGTATGGCACGGTTGTATTCAACCCCGTCTCTGTTGCCAAACGATTCACCAGAATCCTCGTCCCGATGAACGGGACAACCGAATCTTGATCCCCGCTGTAGACTAGCACTCGAATCCCCGATTTTACCAATGAACCCAGCACTTCAATAGTTGGAATCTCGAAACTGTTGTGGTCATAATTCAACACACTGCAAACGAATTGGAGATAAGAGACCCTACCGAAATTCGTCCATGGGCAGGTCTAGTGGTAACACTTAGTTTCGACGTTAAGATCTAAAATACAACCTTTTTTTTTCCAACCTGAAAGACTCAGAAGCTAGGAATGCAGGAGATATAGGAAGGGATCTATGTGTTTTTTCTTACTCGGTGCAGTCGATCCATCTGAGGATCCCTACAAGCTTGGCATGCATAGCTTCTTGGACATCTTTTCTGTTCAAATATGTGTAAGTCCATTCTTGTACACAAAGATCTGTTGACTCTCCACCAGCTTCCTGCATGCATACCGCCCAATCATCACCATCACACAACTGCTGATCATATGCCGGATAGATTTCATCTCGATTGGATCAACAAAAAAGGACTTACCTGCTTTATGGGAGGACTTTGGTTGGACTTGAGGGGCAAAAATGGATGGTAAATAGAAGCTAAAAATGAGTACTGTTTCTGGGGACCCAACTGCGATCCACTGTCTGACAAACACACATCAGAAGTGACATCGTAGCTGTCGAAGTTCTGGTTGGGCAGTTCTGCGACAAGCTGACTTATTACGAATTGACATGGCTTGGAAACGTTGCCTGACAAGCTTTCTCTTATGAGCTGGGAGAAGTTGCAGACAGTATTCAGAAGGTCATAGGTCTGGTCAGATATCAACCCATGAGACCAGTAGTACTCTCCTTCCTCGTTGAAATCTGTGTTGAACTCCAACAATGGGTTCCCTATCTGAACAATACAACACAGCACAAAAAGAGAAGTAATGAAACGTTGTTCAAGTGTCAAGATTTTGCTGATACGCCAAGTAAAAGCTTTTTGGCACGAGAAAACTAACAGCAATGGCTTTCAAGTTGAGATTTGATCCAGACTCCACAATTAGCTGGGCTAGTTGTGGGACATAGTGTCCTGTTGATACAAACAGAATCAGAACTGTAAGAAGCGAACCAGATTTTTCCTTCACAATTATGGACACTAGAGTTTACATACCAGCATAGCTTTCTCCGGTGATGAAAAGATCGCTGCTCTTGTATTCGGGAAACTTGACTAGCCACTGTTGTAGGAACGCCATGTTGTCATTTGCTGATAATAGTGAGAGGACAGACAACCCAGTTGGATATTTTAGTTAATGTGACAATTAAATTTCCATTTGAGAAATATAAAGATTAGACACGTTTCACACCGACCGGTTATGGAGTCGCTGACCATTTTATAGAAAGAAGTATTGGCAGAATACGAGAATCCAACTCCTGCTGGGGATTCCAAGTACAGCATGTTTGCTACTGTAGCAGCAAATAAAAGTTAATCTCCAGCTGAGAATGTAAATCTCTAGTCTAAAGAGATATGAGCAGAACTGCAGAAGTGTGAAGTGCACCTTTATTCCAACTGTAGACATTGTTGACCAGAACCCCTGCTGCATTTGGCTTGAAAGGGCCATGTTCAGCGAAAGCTCCACCTCCAATTGAAGAGCAGCCAGGTCCTGATGGCAGATACACCCATTAAGAGATAACGATTTCTAATTATTTTAAATCCTTAAACCCAGCCGTAGGACAAGATAATGATGAACGAATTTCAGTACGTACCCCCATTTAGCCACAGAACAAGAGGCTTAGAACTGGAGTTTGTCGCAGCTTCAACAAAGTAATAGAAAAGTTTCCTCTGATGGATTTCATCTACTGTCACATACCCTGCATACTGTTGAAAACTAACCTCTGGTTGCCCTGGCAACTTCATGATCTTATCAGCGTCGTATGCTGACTCGACAGTTCTGCAATTCGCAATGAACGAAGCCAAAATCACACACATAATAAGCCATAACTGATAGCCCATTATGGTGGAACTATCCTTTCTGTCTTTTGGGGAATTGTATGAATGGTTGAAGGTGAGGAAATGGGGTTTGCTCCTTCTGCTACTTATAGAAGAGATTATCACAGTAGACACAGAGCTGTACAAATCAATGAAAAGAACCATAGCATATGCTATGCCTATGCTAGCATGTCACCAAGCAACGCTTATGTCAACTAGTCGACCTCTACGATCATTCTCCTGCAGCAAAATCAGACAGTTAAACATTGTAAATTAAATCAATTATGGTTCCACTTCGACGGCATGGATAGTTATGGCAACTGAACTTTTGGCATATTGAACAAAGACAAAAAGGGAGGTACAAGATACAACCTTTGTTTAGCTTCAGCCTAATTTCCTATCAAGCCGGCTTCCTTGGATTATACCTTGGCTACATTTCCTATGATCATTTTCATCACTGTCCAAACAATACCGACTTAGGCACAGGAAACAACATAGTCGATCGGATTGTTCATGGTTGCTCTATGATTGATCTGAGATCAGCGAAACTGCCAGCTGTGAAATATTTTAGAGCAAGAAAGTTCCTTAATTCAACTATTCCAGGTACATAATTAAGCGACTGAATTGAAAAAAAATAAAAAAAATAGAGCACAGTATGATCAACCAGAGCAATGATGTGGCTTGAAGTTGAGCTGGTGTGTTTCTGGGGTGGCTTCATCATCTTCCTTCCACATCTTGATCGTCTTGTCAGCTTCGCACGTCACCAGTCTCGATCCCGTCACGTCGAACGAAGCAGCGAAAATCCCATTTTCGCTTTCCAGCGACCCAGGCTGCGCCACCGTCCGAGTTCGCTGGAAGCTACAACCGCTCTCCCAATCGCAAAAACACAAGCTCCCATCGTCTCCTCCCGCAACCAACACCCCATCCCCATTAACCGCCATCGCATTGACGATACCTCCCTTCTCCTCCTTCTCCCTCGCAATGTTGTGCAGAAACTCGCCCCTCGGAAGGCTAAACTTCTTAATGTCCCCGTCGCCGGAGGCAGACGCAAAACCACGCCGCCTTGGATGCGCCGCTAGAGCTCGCACGGACTTCTTGTGGTGCGTCAGGGTCAGCATCGCTTTCCCATTCCTAATGTCCCAAAATTTCACGGTCGAGTCGTGCGAACCGGTCACCACCTGTGGTTCGACCGGACGGGCCAACACCGAGCAGACCGTGTCACCGTGTCCGGTTAGGGCGAAGATTTGCTTCTTAGTCCGTATGTCCCAGACGCGGCACACGAAGTCGCGCCCGCCGGTGAGCAACACGTCGATGGTCGGGTGAAGAGCCAAGCAGTAGACTCCGCTGAGGTGGCCGTCGTAAGAACGAATGACCTTATTCCGTTCTAGGTCCCAACATTTGACCTGTTTGTCGTCGCCGGCGGAGAACATGTAGGTGTGAGTCTGGCTCACGGCTAGGCCTCGGACCTGGCCGATGTGTCCTGTGAGCGTGTGCTTCAGTCTCCCGCTCGCCACGTCCCATATCTTTATGGTCCGGTCGGCCGAACCGGTACAGAACCATGAGTTGCCGGGGTCGAAGGCGACCGATCGAACCGAACCCTGATGGCCGCTAATTACCCTGTAACTCTTCCAAGGTGCGTGCCACGTGTGATTTCGCGGCCCCGACGTGGTGCGAGTTCGTTTGCCGAGGGACATCGAAGAGGATAGATCGAGCGCCGCTCGCTTCAGCGACTGCGGCTCAACTGCCTCCATGCTTCCGATCGTAGCGTCGCCGGCGAGGAGTATGTTTGTACCGCGGAAGCAATAATGGTTTTCAGAGCTCCTGCAGGCTGTCGATTGGTTTGGATGAATTGATTGGAGTGGGGAGTCAGTTGTTATATAGGCAATTTTTTTCCCCCGAATCCAAAGGGAAATAGGAAGGTGCATTTGTCTCTTGTCCGCCATTATCAGTTTTCCGATTCCGAGACGGTCCCATTTTCTTTTCCGGATTCAACTTGGAATCTGGAATCAGGTATGAAGAAAAATTGCCTAAATGGTTACAGGAATTGTTGCGTAGACGAAGATGATTAATGAGAAGAACAAAGCTTGTTTCTTGGATTCACTCCACCTAATCGAAGCCGGCTTACTTGGATGGTAGCTTTGTTGCATTTTCTAAGGCTGCACACTGTCCTGACAAGCAACCGACCATCTCCAACAATCGATTTCTTGATTACAATGTGACAGTGGATCTTTGATAATGCAAAGATAGGCAGAATGGTTTCCTCAAGAGAATTGAAATTACAGTTTGGTGACAGGTTCCAAGTTTGAGGGAGATCGAGCTGCCAATGGTTTCCCAGCAACAAAGGCTGCAAATAATGCGAGCGATCTCTTCGGCGAGGAAGCTGGAGCCAGGTGAGAGGCTCCTCTGATTGTTGCAAATGACAACTTATTGTTCTCCCCGTAGACTTGTGTCCATCCACCCACCTGTTTGTCATAATCAAACCATGCCTTGTATGGTACGGTTGTATTCAACCCCATCTCGGTTGCCAAACGATTCACCAGAATCCTCGTTCCAATGAACGGGACCACTGAATCTTGATCCCCGCTGTAGACTAGCACTCGAATCCCTGATCCCACCAATGAACCAACCACCCCAATAGTTGGAATCTCCAGATTGTAGTGGTCATAATTCACCACTCTGCAACCGAATAAGAGATGGGAGAACCTGTCAAGACTTGTCCATAAAAGCTAGAAATGCAGGTAACTGAGGAATGGATATATGTGCTCTTAGTTCTTACTTGCTGCAGACACTCCAAGTGTTATTGACGCCGACAAGCTTGGCATGCATAGCTTCTTTTACATCTTTCCTGTTCAAGTATTTGTCCGTATGATCTTGTACACAAAGGTCTATCGACTCCCCACCAGCTTCCTGCATGCATACCAGATACCCCTACTATGCTGATCTTAATTCCAGATGGTTTTCAATGGGATCAATATAAAACAAAGACTTGCCTGCTTTCTGGAACCACTTTGCTCGGATTTAAGGGACGATACTGGATGGAAACGAGAAGCTAACAAAGAGTTCTGGTCCTGAGAACCAAATTGTGATTTACCATCTGACAAACAGACATCAGAAGTGACATCATAGTTGTCGAAGTTCCGGCTCCGCCATTCTTCCTTACTCTGGGCTACAACGAGTTCACACTGTTTGGAGAAGTTGCCGGACGCAGACAAGATTTCTCTGTACATCTGAGAGAAGTTGCAGACTGTGTTGACTAGGTGATAGGTTTGATCGGATATCACGCCGTGAGACCAGTAGTACTCTCCTTGCCCGTTGAGATCTGTGCCGAACTCCAACGATGGGTTCCCTATCTGCAGTATAGACACCACAAAGAAGAGAATCAATGGAACACTCTCGGTGCCAGGATTGCTGATGAATGGCCGTGTTAATTTTTGGCCTGTGGACTTACAACAATGCCTTTGAAGCTGAGATTTGCTCTGGACTCCACAATTAGCTGAGCTAACTGTGGGACATAGTGTCCTGTTGGAAAACCAGAATAATGAGGATGAGTAGTCGACAATTTGATTCTACCTCTCTTTCTTAAGGATCAATTGACTCTAGAAGTTACGTACCAGCATAGCTTTCTCCGGTGATGAAAAGATCTCTGGTTTTGTATTCAGGAAACTTGAGTAGCCATCGTTGTAGGAAGGCCAAGTTGTCTTTTGCTGATAGTAAGAAGAAGAAAGGCAACCAAGTTGGATATTTTGCTAATCTGACAATTGATTTTTGATTCAGAATGCAGTTTCAGGCTGACCTGTTATGGAGTCATTAACCAACTTATAGAAAGAGGTGTTTGCAGAATATGAGAAACCAACTCCTGCTGGGGATTCCAAGTACAGCATGTTTGCTTCTGTTGCAACAAAAGTAGTCGGTTAACACGTGAACTCTTCGTTTCTTAAAAAATTAAATGTAAGCAATATATGAGCAGAATGTGAAGTGAACCTCTATTCCAACTGTATTCATTGTTGACCAGAACCTCAGCAGCATTCGTCTTGAAAGGGCCGTGCTCGGAGAAAGCTCCAACTCCAACTGAAGAGCACCCAGGTCCTGATAATGGCAGAGAAATAGACTTAAGAAATCATGATGGATTGATAGCAGCTATGTAACAACATAATGATCAACTGATATTCAGTAGATACCTCCGTTGAGCCACAAAACAAGAGGCTTGGAAGTGGAGTTTGTCGCAGCTTCCACGAAGTAGTAGAAAAGTTCCCTCTGCTGGGTTTCATCAACAGTCACATAACCTGCATACTGCTGGAAGCTAACCTCTGGCTGCCCTGGCAGCTTCACAATCCTATCAGCTTCATATGCTGACTCAACTGTTCTGCAACTTGTTGCGAGAGTTGCAGCAATTATGACCATAAGAAGCCATGAATGAGAATCCATTATGGGGGTGAAGAAGCTTCTAACTTTCAGAGATTTGTATGAATGGTTGAGAAGGTGAATCAATATGGTCTGTGCAATCTTCAAATTATAGATGAGATTCACGTGTGAAGAACAGTATTGGATTCCTCTTCACACTATGATACATAGCTGAACAAATCAATGAAAATAAACAAATAATATAATGGCATTTTGATCGTGCCACGCTTATGTTAACTAGTTGACAAGCATTGTTTCCTGCTTCTTTCTCTCAACGAATGCATTGGGATGAATGGCACATATCAACGGCATGCTCGTTTTGCTGGCATAATGAACGGGACAAATGGAAGGATACAACAGAGTTTCCTTGTTTTATCTTGAGCCTAGTGTCCTAAAGTAACAAGCCGGCTTTGGATCATAGCTCTGGTTCATTTCCTTTGATTATTTGCATCACTAGGAACCTCCCCTTACCCTTGACGAGTGACGACTGTCCAAGCATTGCAGGACAAGTATCGGAAGAGACATCCTGTAACTAAGTCAAGGGCGTCTGGGATCTCTGCTGACAGCCGATCGTCCACCAGTTTACCAGCATTTGAAAAAGTTTGCAAAAAAGAAAGTGTGTATTCGAAAATGGCTAGTTAGTTAGGTTTACAGTGGTGTGGCAACTGGCAAAATGGAGCTTTGTTTTATTCTGAAGGGTAGTCTGTTATTCAGTTTTGGCGGGAGATGATTTACTCCGATTTGGGTGATCAGAGTTCAATTGGAGTTTGGTGCCTCTGCTCTACGACCATATTCTGGAGAAGGGCTTAAAGTGTAGGCCAATGGAGCTCTTCCAATTTTTGTTTATAGGTGAATTCATGTTTAGAATACAACAATGCATTGCAGTCTCACCACTATACGCTGAGCTGTTCAAATCAATGAACAGAATAACTCACATCCACAAGCCAGCAGCAGACAATAAAATATCCTTAAGAGCCCCAACTTACACTAAGCAACAAGAAAGCTGGTTTCCTTGCTTTTTTCGCTCATTTGGTTGGATTTAATTAAGGCTGATGGCAGCAACGGCAAAGTTAGTTTTGGTTACAGTAAATGTTGCCATAACGAAGAAGGTAAATGGGAAGAACACAAAGCTTGTTTCTTGGTTTCACTCCACCTAATGGCCTACCAAGCCAGCTCCTTGGATGCCTACCGAAGCTAATCGATTTCTTGATTCCAATGTGTCATTTTAAGTCTGGGATAATACAAGATTGGAAAAATAGTTGCATCAAGATAATTGAAATTACAGTTTTGACAGGTTCCAAGTTTGAGAGAGATCAAGCTGCCAATGGTTTCCCTGCAACAAAGGCTGCAAATAATGCAAGCGATCTCTTGGGCGAGGAGGCTGCAGCCAGGTGAGAGGCTCCTCTGATTGTTGCAAATGACAACTTATTGTTCTCCCCATAGACTTGTATCCATCCACCCACTTGTTTGTCATAATCAAACCATGCCTTGTATGGCACAGTTGTATTCAACCCCATCTCTGTTGCCAAACGATTCACCAGAGTCCTTGTTCCAATGAACGGGACAACTGAATCTTGATCCCCGCTGTAGACTAGCACTCGAATCCCTGATCCCACCAATGAACCAACAACCCCAATAGTTGGAATCTCCATATTGTTGTAGTCATAATTCACCACTCTGCAACCGAACCTGTCAAGACTTGTCCATGGGAAGCTAGAAATGCAGGTCATAGAGGAATGGATATATGTGTTAGTTCTTACTTGCTGCAAACACTCCAAGTGTTATTGACGCCAACAAGCTTGGCGTGCATAGCTTCTTGAACATCTTTCCTGTTCAAGTATTTGTCTGTCTGATCTTGTACACAAAGGTCTATCGATTCCACACCAGCTTCCTGCATGCATACCCCTACTATGATGATCATAATTCCAGATGGGTTTCAATGGGATCAATTATAAAAGAAAGACTTACCTGGTTTCTGAAACCACTGGATTTAAGGGACGAGACTGGATGGAAACGAGAAGCTAACAAAGAGTGCTGCTCCCGAGAACCAAATTGTGATTTACCATCTGACAAACAGACATCAGAAGTGACATCATTATAGTCGAAGTTCTGGCTCGGCCATTCTGCATTACTCTGGGCTACAACGAGTTCACACGGTTTGGAGTAGTTGCCGGACACAGACAAGAGTTCTCTGTACATCTGGGAGAAGTTGCAGACTGTGTTGAGTAGGTGATAGGTTTGATCGGATATCAAGCCGTGAGACCAGTAGTACTCTCCTTTCCCATTGTAATCTGTGTCGAACTCCAACCTTGGGTTCCCTATCTGCAGTATAGACACCACAAAGAAGAGAATCAATGGAACACTCTCGGTGCCAGGATTGCTGATGAATGGCCATGTAAATTTTTGGCATGTGGACTTACAGCAATGCCTTTGAAGCTGAGATTTGCTCTGGATTCCACAATTAGCTGTGCTAACTGTGGGACATAGTGTCCTGTTGGGAAAACCAGAATAATGAGGATGACTAGTCAACTATTTGATTCTACATCTGTTTCTTAGCGATCAATTGACTCTAGAAGTTACGTACCAGCATAGCTTTCTCCGGTGATAAAAAGATCTCTGGTTTTGTATTCAGGAAACTTGAGTAGCCATCGTTGTAGGAAGGCCAAATTGTCTTTTGCTGATAGTGAGAAGAAGACCGGCAACGCAGTTGGATATTTTGCTAATCTGACAATTGATTTTTGATTAAGAATGCAGTTTCAGACCGACCTGTTATGGAGTCATTAACCAACTCATAGAAAGAGGCGTTTGCAGAATATGAGAAGCCAACTCCTGCTGGGGCTTCCAAGTACAGCATGTTTGCTTCTGTAGCAGCAAAACGATTAGGGTCGGTTAACAACTTTTGGTTTCCGCTCGAAAAATGAACTGTAAAATATATACGAGCAGAATGTGAAGTGAACCTTTGTTCCAACTGTAGTCATTGTGGACCAGAACCCTAGCAGCATTCGGCTTGAAAGGGCCGTGTTCGGAGAAAGCTCCAGCTCCAACTGAAGAGCACCCAGGTCCTGATAATGGCAGAGAAACAGACTTAAGAAATCATGATAGATTGATAGTAGCTATGTAACAACATAATGATCAACTGATATTCAGCAGATACCTCCGTTGAGCCACAAAACAAGTGGCTTGGAAGTCGAGTTTGTCGCAGCTTCCACGAAGTAGTAGAAAAGTTCCCTCTGTTGGGTTTCATCAATAGTCACATAACCTGCATACTGCTGGAAGTTAATCTCTGGCTGCCCTGGCAGCTTCACAATCCTATCAGCTTCATATGCTGCCTCAACCGTTCTGCAAATTGTTGCCAGAGGTGCAGCAATTATGAACATAAGAAGCCATGAATGAGAATCCATTATGGGGGTGAAGAAGCTTCTAAATTTCAGAGATTTGTATGAATGTTTGAAGGTGAATCAATATGGTATGTGCCATCTTCTAATTATAGATTAGATTCATGTTTGAAGAACGGTATTGGATTCCTCCACACAATGATACATTGCTGAACAAATCAATGAAAATAAACAAATAATTAAATGGCATTGTGATCATGCCAAGCTTATGTTAACTAGTTGACAAGCAATGTTTCCAGCTTCTTTCTCTCTCAGAGAATGCATTGGGATGGATGGCACAGATCAATGGCATGCTAGTTTTTTTTTTTTTTTTTTTGACAAAGGACACAGACATTTCATATATAGAAACCCGGCCGAACGGCCAACGAACAGGACATTTGATGCTAGTTTTGCTACTGGAATTATGACATAATGAACAGGACAAATGGAAGGATACAACAGTTTTTCCTTGTTTATCTTGAGCCTAGTGTCTTAACAAGTAACAAGCCTGCTTATGTTACTTTACTGACCTCTAATAATAAGTCCCAGGCACCAGCAGCAGGCAATAAAATATCCTTAAGAGCACCAACTAACACTAAGCAACAAGAAAGCTTTGGTTTTCCTGCTTCTTCTTTCGTTCAATTGGTTGGATTTAATTAAGGCTGATGTCAACAAGGTAAAGTTAGTTTTGGTTACAGGAAATGTTGCCTTAATGAAGAAGGTAAATGAGAAGAACACAAAGCTTGTTTCTTGGTTTCACTCCACCTAATGGCCTACGAAGTCTGCTTCCTTGGATGGTACCTTTGTTGCATTTCCTATGACGCACACTGTCCTGACACTACTGAGTATTCAACAACCAATTATCTCCAACTCAAGCTAGCGCCGAAGCTAATCGATTTCTTGATTCCAATTTGTCATTTTAAGTCTTTGATAATACAAGATTAGAAAAATAGCTGCCTCAAGATAATTGAAATTACAGTTTTCATAGGTTCCAAGTTTGAGAGAGCTCAAGCTGCCAATGGTTTCCCAGCAACAAAGGCTGCAAATAATGCTAGCGATCTCTTCGGCGAGGAGGCTGGAGCTAGGTGAGAGGCTCCTCTGATTGTTGCAAATGACAAATTATTGTTCTCCCCATAAACTTGGGTCCATCCACCCACCTGTTTGTCATAATCAAACCATGCCTTGTATGGTATGGTTGTATTCAGCCCCATCTCTGTTGCCAAACGATTCACCAGAATCCTTGTTCCAATGAATGGGAGAACCGAATCTTGATCCCCGCTGTAGACTAGTACTCGAATCCCTGATTCCACCAACGAACCCACCACACCAATCGTTGGAATCTCCAGATTGTAGAAATCATAATTTATATTTCTGCAACCAAATAAGAAATGGGAGAACCTGTCAAGACATGTCCATCGGAAGCTAGAAATGCAGGTAACTGAGGAATGTGTATATTTTCTTAGTTCTTACGAGGTACAGAAAGTCCAGGTTTTATTGACGCCTACAAGCTTGGCATGCATAACTTCTTGAACATCTTTCCTGTTCAAGTATTTCTCGGTCTGATCTTGTACACAAAGGTCTATCGACTCCACACCAGCTTCCTGCATGCATACCCCTACTATGCTCATCATAATTCCATATGGGTTTCAATGGGATCAATATAAAAAAAAAGACTTACCTGCTTTCTGACACCACTTTGTTGGTATTTAAGGGACGAAACTGGATGGAAACGAGAAGCTAATAAAGAGTGTTGTTCCCGGGAACCAAATTGTGATTCACCATCTGACAAACAGACATCAGAAGTGACATCATAGCCGTCGAAGTTCTGAATGGGCCATTCAGCATCACTCTGGGCTACAACGATTCCACACGCCTTGGAATAGTCACCCGACGGCGACAAGCTTTCTCTGTTGATCTGGGAGAAGTTGCATACTGTATTCACAAGGTGATAGGTTTGATCCGATATCAAGCCGTGAGACCAGTAGTAATCTCCTTGCCCGTTGAAATCTGTGTCGAACTCCAACAATGGGTTCCCTATCTGCAATATAGATACCACAAGGAAGAGAATCAATGAAACACTCTCGATGCCAGGATTGCTGAAGAATGGCCATGTAAATTTTTGGTATGTGAACTTACAGCGATGCCTTTGAAGCTGAGATTTGATCTGGACTCCAGAATTAGCTGTGCTAACTGTGGGACATAGTGTCCTGTAGGGAAGGCCAGAAGAATGAGGATGAGCAGTTGGCGATTTGAATATATGTGTGTTTCTTAATGATCAATGGACTCTAGGAGTTACGTACCAGCATAGCTTTCTCCGGTGATGAAAAGATCTCTGGTATTGTATTCAGGAAACTTGAGTAGCCATCGTTGTAGGAAGGCCAAGTTGTCTTTTGCTGATAGTACGAAGACAAACAGACAGCCCAGTTAGATAATTTTTTGCTAATCTGGCAATTGATTTCTAATTAAGAATGCAGTTTCAGACCGACCTGTTATGGAGTCATTAGACAACTTATAGAAAGAGGCGTTGCCAGAATATGAGAAGCCAACTCCTGCCGGGGCTTCCAAGTACAGCATGTTTGCTTCTGTAGCAGCAAAAAAGAGTCGAGTCGGTTAACAACTCTTGGTTTCCGCTCGAAAAATGAAGAACTGTACAAAATATACGAGCAGAGTGTGAAGTGAACCTTTGTTCCAACTGTATTCATTGTTGACCAGAATCCCTGCAGAATTCGGTTTGAAAGGACCATGTTCAGAGAAAGCTCCAGCTCCAACTGAAGAGCACCCAGGTCCTGATAATGGCAGAGAAACAGACTTAGGATATCATGATAGATTGATAGTAGCTATATAACAACATAATGGTCAACTGATCTTCGGTAGATACCTCCATTGAGCCACAAAACAAGAGGCTTGGAAGTGGAGTTTGTCGCAGCTTCCACGAAGTAGTAGAAAAGTTCCTTCTGCTGGGTTTCATCAACAGTAACATAACCTGCATACTGCTGGAAGCTAACCTCTGGCTGCCCTGGCAGCTTCACTATCCTATCAGCTTCATATGCTGACTCAACCGTTCTGCAAATTGTTGCGAGAGTTGCAGCAATTATGACCATGAGAAAGCATGAATGAGAACTCATTGTGGGTGTGAAGAATTCAACTTCCAGAGATTTGTATGGATGGTTGAAGGTGAATCAATATGGTCCGTGTCATCTTCTATTTATAGATGAGATTCATGTTTGAAGAACCGTATTGGATTCCTCTTCACACTATGATACATAGCTGAAGGAATCAATGAAAAGAAACAAATAATATAATGGCATTGTGACCATGCCAAGCTTATGTTAACTAGTTGACAGGCATTGTTTCCTGTTTCTTTCTCTATCAACGAATGCATTTGGGATGGATGGCACATATCAACGGCATGCTAGTTTTGCTACTGCACCTATGACATAATGAACAGGACAAATGGAAGGATACAACAGTGTTTCCTTGTTTATTTTCAGCCTAGTGTCCTACCAAGCCGGCTTCCTTGGATTATAGTTCTGTTCCATTTAGTTGTATCATTTGCAGCACTGTCCAAATAAAACTGGTTGTCAACAACTAACTGCTTTTACTATAGTTATTTTTATGCGACATCCTGTAATATTCTAATACGATTAGTTCTATATTATATACATCACCATTAAGATCATTACGCAGATAGAACTGCAAGGTCATTAAGGTACACGAAACCTAAAACTTTTCATAATAAACCACAACTGTCCAGAAACACAGTAAACAGCATAAGTTCAAATTATTTACTACCAGCATGAACACAGACTAACACATTGTTTCAAGCTTTCAACACGAGTAATGGCTTCCTCGCTAGAAACGATCTCAACAATGATAATGATCTCTTCGGAGTCGTAGCTGATCCCCCTCTGATGGAAGCATAAGCCAGCATCTCACCATAAGCATCTGTCTATCCACCAAACTTCCCTGGGGAAAAAAACAAGCAAGTTCGAGGGTTAATCTATATGAGCTTAAAAGCACACTTTCAAACTTAAAACATGGATATGTACATCTATCATCAGACACTAAACGGTTAATCAGAGTCAAACCATCCTTGATAAGGCACTGTAGTGTTTCCCTACCTTGTTGACCAAGTCATTTGCGTGTCTCAAGAAACACCACAAATGTCGCTTCCTCAGTAGTGCGTCAATCTTGATTTATCCGAAGCAAAAGAAAATACTGCCATTAGTTTTGAATTCCAGTACGTTGACATGAGATTAGGCATATCATTTGGTCAATGTTTCTGAGAAATCAAAGGTCTCTTCTATAAAGTTGCTCATTCATAACTGGAAATCAGCACTCTTAACCAAGTCTGTCTGGGCAGGCATTCAAATTCGTAGTCCTGCCTGACATGGAGAGCTTCTTGCAGATCTTCTCTGTTCAATACTTCATAATCTTCTGTTTCACACACGCATCTGTCCCCTCTGAAAATTCATGTCCATCATCAATCAATGCAACCAAAATTGAATTTCTTGGAGAGTCACGAGCAGCTAAATTAACAAAACCCTAGGGCACTAACTTACTGCACGACTTGATGAAGCTGTGATCGAGCGAATTGACCAGAAAAGCTTGGATCTTTCGAACTTGGAACCCCCCATTTCCCTTGACGACGGTCCAAACATTGCAAGACAAGTACCGGAAGAGATATCTGGAAGTCAAGGTCAAGAATCTTTGCTGAGAGCCGATCATCCACTTCGTCACAACTCACAACCCATGGAAAATGGAGGCCAGAGTCGATCTCTCTCGGCCACTGAGCGCCACTGCAGAAAGTTCGCATTTATTCCATTGTCTGTCGAAAAAGAAAAGTTTAACCGGAAGATTGAGACCTGAGAGTTTACTGTAATTGGGCCGAAGCGGAAGATTGAGACCGGGCCCAGGACGCTAAGCGGAAGCAGGCTAAAGACTAACTAACCAGATGGGCCTAAATCTTGAATGCCTGGGTCCGTCGGAAAAAAACAAATTCCCTTGCCAAAACTTGAAACTCAGTCAAGCTCCGCCGGCGTATTAGATGGAAGAAGAATCAGAGAGAGGCCGGCGCCGACGGAGATGATGAAATGATACCGGCTCCAGGCTTGCTTCAACCGCCCTAGCAAAGGTACAAAATCTTGCTGTGATTTTCATATTCTGCTAAGAGATGTGATTTCCATATTCTGCTGTTTCTAGATGGAAATCACGTTTAGAAGACAGTAGTGGTATTGCAGTCTCCACCACTAGGAGACAGTAGGATTGTGACCACGCTCATGTGTCATTCGGCATCTAGAATAATAACCCTGGCATCAATAGCAGACTACAAATTACCCTTTAAGGAAAGCAACTAAGAATAAACAACAAGAAAGTGGTCTTACTTCTTGTTCTGTTTCCTTCCCTCTAAGGAGAGCATTTAGATGGATATATAGGTCATAACAGCAACGGTGAAGATAGTTTTGGTGTCAGGAATTTGTTGCCTGATGAAGAGGACAAATGGGTAGGACAGAAGCTTGTTTATTGGTTTCACTCTACCTAGTGGTCTACCAAGCCGGCCTCCATTGATAGTACCTTTTTTGAATTTCCTAAGGCTGCAAACTAACTTACCAACACGAGCAGACGGAACTTTATTGTGACAGTCGGTCTGCAATTCACATTGCATATAATCCGGTATCGCATGAACTTACTATGCAAATTGAAGTTGACGATGCTGTTCGACGACTTGTTATTTGATTAGCCCTTTGCTTACATAAAGTTTTTTCTTGGCTACTTATCTTATAGGTTGATTAGGCTACTGATGAGGAAATGGCCCTATATAAACTTTGTTTTTCTACAGATTTCAGGGGCAATGAAACAGTAGCCGACCATCTCCAACTCAAGCTAGTGCTGAAGGTAATTGATTTCTTTATTCAAAGGTGACATTAAATTATGGAACAGTAGAAAAGACAGGCATAATGGTTGCCTCAAGAATATTAAAATTACAGTTTAGAATAGATTCGGAGTGTAAAATACATTTTTTCGTGTTTCCAAGTTTGAGAGATCATCAAGCTGCCAATGGTCTCCCAGCAACAAATGCTGCAAACAGTGCGAGTGACCTCTTGGGAGAGGAGAATGGAGCCATGTGAGATGCTCCTCGGATTGTTGCAAATGACAACTTATTGTTCTCCCCATAAACTTGGGTCCATCCACCCACCTGTTTGTCAAAATCAAACCATGCCTTGTATGGCACGGTTGTATTCAACCCCATCTCTTTTGCCAAACGATTCACCAGAATCCTCGTCCCGATGAATGGGAGAACCGAATCTTGATCCCCGCTGTACACTAGTGCTCGAACTCCCGATCCCACCAATGAACCCACCACTCCAATCGTTGGAATCTCCAGATTGTAGTTATCATAATTCACCACACTGTGAAATGGATTAGAGATATGAGATCCTGTAAGTTTTGTGGTAATACTAAGTTTGAATCTTAGGACCATCATAATTTATTTTGGTCCTGAAAGATTCAGCAGAAGCTAGAAATGCAGGTAATCTAGGAACGGATATGTGTGTTCTTAGTTCTTACTCGCTGCAGAAACCCCAACTAGTGACGCCAACAAGCTTGGCATGCATAGCTTCTTGGACATCTTTCCTGTTCAAATATGTGAATGTCTCATCTTGTACACAAAGGTCTACTGACTTCCCACCAGCCTCCTGCATGCACACACCCATTATGCTGATCGTAATTCGAGATGGGTTTTGATGGGATCAATAAAAAGACAGACTTACCTGCTTTCTGAAACCAGTTTGCTTGGACCTAAGGGACGAAACTGGATGGAAACGTGAAGCTAATGAAGAGTGTTGTTCCTGGGAACCAAATTGTGATTCACCATCTGACAAACAGACATCAGAAGTGACATCGTAGTCGTTGAAGTTTCTGTGGGGCAATTCTGCTTTAATCTGAGTTGCAACGAACTCACACGGGTCGGAAAGGCTGCTCGATGGCAACAAGCTTTCTCTCCTGAGTTGGGAGAAGTTGCACATTGTATTCACAAGCTGATAGGTGTGGTCCGATATCAAGCTGTGAGACCAGTAGTAACTTCCTTCCCCATTGAAATCTGTGTCGAACTCCAACAATGGGTTCCCTATCTGCAAAAGACAACACAGGATACGAAGAGAAATAATGAAACGTCCTTCAAGTATCAGCATTTACTGATATGTGGCAGCTCAACTTACAGCAATGCCTTTCAAGCTGATATTTGATCCCGACTCTACAATTAGCTGGGCTAGCTGCGGGACGTAGTGTCCTGTTGGAGGGAAAAAGAATCAGGCACAGAACTATAAGATTTTTGAATCAGATGCTTTCTTAACTATCAATGGACTCTAGAAGTTGAGTACCAGCATAGCTTTCTCCAGTGATGAAAAGATCTCTGGTTTTGTATTCAGGAAACTTGAGTAGCCATAGTTGTAGGAAGGCCAAGCTGTCTTTAGCTGATAGTATGAACAAGACAGACAACCCAGTTGAATTTTTTTGCTAATCTGACAATTGATTTCCAATTCAAAATACAGTTTCAGACCAACCTGTTATGGAGTCATTAACCAAGTTATAGAAAGAAGTGTTGGCAGAATACGAGAAGCCAACTCCTGCAGGGGATTCCAAGTACAGCATATTTGCTTCTGTAGCAGCAAAAACAAGTAAAACAGATGAATTTTTGGTAACGGGTTGAGAAATGGTGAACTGCAAAAATGATAGATGAGCATAAAGGCGAAGTGAACCTTTGTTCCAACTGTAGTCATTGTGGACCAGAAGCCCTGCTGCATTTGGCTGGAAAGGGCCGTGTTCAGAGAAAGCTCCAGCTCCAACTGAAGAGCACCCAGGTCCTGATAGCACAGATAAACCCATTTAAGAAGTCATTATAGCTTATATTAAAACATAATAATGATTAACTGAAATTCAGTTCATACCTCCATTGAGCCAGAGAACAAGAGGCTTGGAACTGGAGTTGGTTGCAGCTTCGACGAAGTAGTAGAAAAGTTCCCTCTGCTGGGTTTGATCAACAGTCACGTACCCTGCATACTGCTGGAAACTAACCTCTGGCTGCCCTGGCAGCTTCACAATCTTATCAGCTTCATCTGCTGACTCAACTTTTCTGCAAATTGTGGTGAGAGTTGCAGCAATTATGAACATAAGAAGCCATGACCGCGAACTCATCATTGTGGTGAAGAAGCTTCTAACTTCCTTTCTTTGGATGATTGTGCAGGTGGTGGTTGAAGTTGAAGAAATGTGGTTTACCCTATCTGCTTTTTATAGATGGGGTTCATGTCTGAAGAAACAGTATTGGAGTCTTCACACTATGAGACATAGCTGTACAAATCAATGAAGCGGGACAAAAGCATATGGTAGCTTTGTGACCACGCCACGCTTATGTTCATTAATTGACCTCTATTAAGCATTGTGACCATAATACAGACAATAAGATGTTCTTGAGAAAACCAACCAAGCTTCCATTTCTTATCTTTCCTGTTTTTCTCTCTCAATCGAATGCATTGGTAAGGATGGCACATGGTGACAGCATGCTGGTTTTGGCTTCTGGAACTTTGTGATATAAGGAACAAGACAAATGGAAGGATACAAAGTTTGTTACCTTTTTTAGGTCCACCTTAATGTCTAGCAAGCCGGCTTTCTTGGATTATACTTTGCCTACTACATTTTCCTTAATGCTTTGTTGCATCGCTTTCCAAATAATTCCGAGTTGTCAACAACCAATTACTTTTACCATTCTATGGTCAGTTCTGCAGAGAAGGAGATTACAAATTTTACTCTCCATTTCATTATCCATACAGAAGCCATGGCCATGAGAAGTGTAGCTGATTTCCATCTAGAAATGGGTGCAAATCAAACAAGTTTGTGCCTGTTTAATCATATGATTACAGATCACTCAACAATGTTCAGAGAGCAAGTAAAATAATTTACGCAATGAATCCAATCTGTCGGGATAAAGCTTATATATTGCAGCTTCCAGCGTTTACATCTCCATTTGGTTCAGATGATGTTGCAGTGTCCTAATTGGCACTGCCATTGCTATGGAAATAGATCATGATATACCTCGGCATATTTGCACATGAGTAGATCAATATGCAGATAGACCTGCAAGTTCATTACATGATACTTCAAACTCCTACTAATAGACCACAACTGCCCAGGAAAGACTAAAGACCATCTGCTGAAGTAACTATTTACTGCAGCAGGGACACAGACTAACTGCTAGTTCCTTTGTTAAACAAAACCTTCAACTCCTGCTAATCCACATTTTCTCTGGAACACTAAACACCATCTGCTGAATTATTTAGTACCAGCAGGAACACAGACTGACAAAGTCAGCTCAAGCTTTCGACACTGGTAATGGCTTCCTCACTAGAAACGATCTCAACAGTGACAGCGATCTCATGGCAACCTTAGTCGATCCGCCTCTGATGTAAGCGTACACCAGCATCTCACCATAAGCTTCTGTCCATCCACCAATCTTCCAAAGAAAAAAGCAATTTATAGGGTTAAGAACTAAAGCAGTTCAAACATAAACCATGAATATGCAAACCATAAGGCACTAACCTGTTTATCAGTGTCAAACCATCCTTGATAAGGCACCGTTGTGCTCAACCCTACCTTGTCGGCCAAGTCATTGACCACCATCCCTGTACCAAGAAATGGCACGAATGTCACTTCATCAATACTGCATTAGTTTTGAAATCCAGTAAGTTAGACACAAAATTAGTCATGAAAATTTTAAGTCAAAATATGCTGATTGTCCAGCGACGTGGTGAGTTGACCGTTAGTCAACGATTTTGATCATCCAACATGACGGTCAATTTTTGGATTTGTCCAATTAAATAAATAGGGTTAGTTTAGGCCACGATATTATATATTGAAAAGATTGGTGAGGATAGAAATGAGAAAAGTTTGGACTAGGCAAAAAATATAAAAATAAAACCCATTAACCTGTGTTTAACAAAGTTAGGAATCGATCAACCCAAAGCAATAAAATTGACAAAACCTATTCTACCTTTTTTTCTCTCGTTCAGCGAGAGGGTTTAGAGCGGCGGAAACCCTAGGTTTTCCGGTGAAGTTTTGAGACGGTGACAACGATCACCACTGGAAACGTTTTTCTTTAAGCAAAAGGATTCCGTTTGAGAGAAGAGTTACTTACGGCATTTATAAAACCTTGGTTTATAAGGTTTTTTCGACAGACTATCTCTGGAGAACGTGGCTAGGGTTTGAGGATAAGGGAGTATCCCTTGACGCGAACGTTAATCACGAACACTGGAATACATAAAGTGGAAGTTTTCAACAGTCATGGAGATGGGAGAGCCGGATAGAGAGCGAGAAGAGCTCCAGAGTACAGCGGAGAGTATAGAAGTACAATTGAATCAGATAACTTTGGAAGAGGAAGATGATACGCCATTGGAGGTGGAGGATGAAGATGTTGATGTATTTCGCATGGAAGCAGTACGTCGACTGGGGTTGATTGGACGCCTTGTAGCTGAGAAACAACCAAACATCAAATCACTCAAAATCGCATTAGCAAAAGCATGGAATTTAAAGAAAAGCTTTCAGGTAACAGACCTGGGTGATATGCTGTTCGCGTTTCAATTTTTAGATGCTGATGACCGAGATAGGGTCTGCTTTGGAGGACCATGGCACTATGAAAACAACGCCATGGTGTTCATGGCTAGTCTGTTGATTAAAAAACCGGTTCCTGAGGCTCTGCATATGCTGGACATGTGGATACAAATTAAAGAATTTCCGGCGGAGCTAAGAACAAAGACAATGGCAGAGAAAATTGCAAATAGATTTGGATCACTAGTCTGGTTTGACGACAGCCCGAGATCAATGTGGGACTCTTATATGCGCCTACGGGTGAGCCTATCGATTTCTAATCCCCTAAAGAAAAAGATCAAGCTCAACATCAAGGGGAAATTGGTGGAATACATGGTGAAATATGAGAAGTTACCCATTTTTTGCTACTCATGTGGGAGGATTGGTCATCCCAAACTGCGATGCCCGAATCCCTCTGGTATCGACCCTGATCCGTTTGGGATGGAACTTAGAGCTGGAGCGCCAGGTCCCAGGAGCTGGCTGTCCCATTCACTGAAAAAAGAAGATGCAGAGATATGGACATCACTGAAAAAGAAATTCGATTGGGAAAGCACGGGTTCAAATTCTGATCACGAAATGCCACCAGTAGAGGAAGTGGCAGTCAATGGTACAAATAAAGAGAAGATTAGCTGTGAGAAGGAACCAGACATGACAGAGAAGACAGAACCTAAAAGAGATGAAACAACAGTGGCGGAAAATAAACAAACTCATGATCAGGAAAGAGGCTGTAAGGCACTGCCCCCAAATCATCCTAGAGGATTAGGGGCAGAGGGAGGAGCTCTATGTCAGTTTGTGATGGGAACGGAGATCACGGAAAAGGGACTGATGCAGCGAAATAATGTCTGGCGCAGAAGAGAGTACAACAAGCCACGGGCACAAGCAACAAATCCCCCAAAATTAACTCCCCAGAAGAGAACAGTGCAGATAGGGGGGGAAGAAGAACAACAAGTAAATGGCAAAGAGGAAAGAGTGAAGAAGGCGAAGGTCTTGGATTTTTCAGGACCAGAAGTGCAAGTTCAAGTAGTTGGTAACATAAAAAATAAGGATGGCGAAGTGGCGGACTCTGCCCAGGAGCAGAGCCGCCCAGCTCAATGAGCCTTTTGAGCTACAACTGCAGGGGGCTCGGGAACACCCCTGCAGTTGAGAAAATGAAGGCGTTACTACGCCAAACAAATCCCGACGTTGTTTTCTTAATGGAAACAAGGCAGTATGAGGAGGAATGGAAGCGCAAAATAAAGGAATTCGGGTTTCATGATGGACAAGGCGTGGCTGCTGGTGCCAACAGAGCTGGAGGGCTCTTGATGATGTGGAAGGAGGATGTAAACATTGAAGTGAAGGGGACAGATGATCACTACATAGATGTCAAAATAAGAATGCCAAACAGTAACACAGAATGGCGCCTAACAGGGGTATATGGATGGCCAGAGACGAGAAACAAAAGGAGAACGTGCGACTTATTGGAAAGATTGCACCAGCAGGTTCAGCTGTCCTGGTTGGTGATGGGAGACTTTAATCTGGTAACAGACTATTTAGAGAAGAGTGGATCAAGTGGACCGGATGCAAAAGAAATGGAGATGTTTAGGGACTCCCTAGACCATTGCAATCTACAGGATTGTGGCTATTATGGCAGGACCTTTACTTGGGAAAATAACAGAGCAGATGAGGATTATGTGGAGGAAAGACTGGATAGAGCAGTCGGAAATCAGGAATGGAGGGACTGCTATCCTAATATGCGTCTCTATCATTTGGAAAGATGCGGGTCTGATCACATTCCCATTCAAATGAGGCTGGATGTGGAAGAGGAAGAGATTACATGGGGGTGGTCTTTCCGGTATGAACCCTACTGGGAAAGACACGAAGACTGTGGCAAAATAGTTGAGGAAGCATGGAATATGCAGGAAGGGGACTCTATGTCTCGGATTAAAAATTGCGAGGAAAAACTATTAGCTTGGAGTAAAAGTGCCTTTGGCTCCCTAAAACAAAGAAGAAAGAAAGCGGAGAAGGCGCTACAGGCGCTGCAATTGAGAAAACGAACAAAAGCGATGTTGCAGCAAAGAAGATTATTAGAACAGGAGCTGAATGACATAATCTTACAGGAGGAAATGAAGTGGAAGCAGCGGTCTCGAGCGGACTGGTTGAAGGAGGGAGACCTCAACACAGGATATTTTCACCGGAAAGCCTCTGAAAGAAGAAGAAAGAACACCATTAAGAGGCTACAAGATGAAGCAGGTCAGACCTTCATAGGACAACAAGAAGTGACTACATGCCTAGTGAACTATCTGATAGGCCTTTTCAAGAAAGGCAGAAGGAGAGAGGAAAGTAAGATTCTCGATCTGGTCACCCCCAAAGTTACACCAGAAATGAATCAATTGCTGCTGGAACCCTTTACAGAGGAGGAGATAAGGTTGGCACTGAAGAGGATGGGGCCAAATAAGGCTCCGGGACCTGATGGTATGTCGGCCAGATTCTTCCAAAAACACTGGAATGCTGTGGGGGCAACTGTCCTAAGTGAGCTGACAACATATTTGGAGATGGGAGAGTTCCCGCTGCAGCTAAACAGGACAATGATAGCACTTATCCCAAAGAAGAAAAGACCAACTACACCTCTAGAATTTAGGCCGATAAGCCTATGCAACGTACTATACAAGATTCTATCGAAAGTACTGGCAAATAGGCTAAAGAGAGTACTGAACTCAGTTATTGGGGAACAACAGAGTGCTTTTGTACCAGGAAGGTACATCACAGACAACATCCTAGTGGCTTTTGAGTGTTTTCACACCATGAAGCAGAAAACTCGAGCTAAAAAAGGATTTATGGCTGCCAAACTCGACATATCTAAGGCTTATGACAGGGTCGAATGGGATTTCCTTGAAGCTATGATGACAAGACTGGGTTTCAATGAGAGATGGGTGAGGATGATCATGCACTGTGTGTCCACAGTCACTTATCAGATCCTAGTCAATGGACACAGGTCGGAGGAATTCAAACCAGAACGGGGATTGAGGCAAGGCGACCCATTATCGCCATATTTGTTCCTATTCTGTGTTGAGGGTTTGTCAACAATGATTCAGAGGTCAGTGGAGGAGGGGAAATTGCACGGCTTAAAAAACTCAGCCAGAGGCCCCTCGATATCTCACTTATTGTTCGCTGATGACAGTGTGTTGTTCACACGAGCAACAATGGAGGAGGGCAAGGAATTACAAACAATTTTAAGAGTTTATGAAGAAGAATCGGGCCAAATGGTCAACCTACAAAAATCAGAGCTCAGTTTCAGCCCTAGTGTAGCAAAAGAAAGACGGGATGAATTAGCTGGAATGCTGGGAATGAAGCAAGTGGATGTTCATCAAAAGTATTTGGGGCTGCCAACTGTTATAGGCAGGGAGAAGAAGGCGGTCTTTCAGGTTTTGGTAGATAGGGTCAGAAAGAAAATTAAGCACTGGAAGGGACAAACTCTGTCAATCGCAGCTAAGGAAGTGCTAATAAAATCTGTGGCTCAATCTCAGGCCACTTTTGCTATGCAAGTGTTCCTAATTCCAGATGGGGTGATACAGGAGTTGAGGAAAGCGATATCTAGTTTTTGGTGGGGGCAGCAACATGAAGAAAGAAGGATCTCGTGGCGAGCATGGCACAAACTTTGCAAACCTAAGGAGAAAGGCGGCATGGGTTTTAGGGAGTTACACACTTTCAATTTAGCTTTGCTGGGGAAACAAATCTGGAATCTACTGAACAATCCAGAATCTCTGGCAGCAAGGGTATTGAGAGCTAAATACTACCCTAATTCAAATGTCCTTCAGGCAAGAGTGGGGAGTAATCCCAGCTTTACTTGGCGCAGTATAATGGCAGCACAAGAGATGGTTAAAGCGGGGATTCGATGGCGAGTTGGAAATGGATCGGAGATAGATATTTGGGATGATAAGTGGGTAGCAGAGGCTGCAGACAACAATTATCGAGTCACAACCCCTAAACCACAAGGAGGAGGCTTAATAAGGGTAATGGACCTGATAGACCACGAGAATAGAGTCTGGAGATGGAACATGCTCCAAAATAATTTCAATGCTGAAGATCGAGCTCGAATATTTGCAACCCCTATACCCAGACAACCAGCAAGGGATGACAGGGTGTGGAGTGTGGAAAGAAATGGGAATTACTCTGTGAAATCGGCTTATAACAAACTAGCAGAGCAAGTCTCACAAGCAAACAATCCCACTTGGACAGAGGAAGAGGGTGATGAAGACACAGGAGAGGAGAATGTGGAGAACTACGATCCTATGGACTGGAAACGGCTGTGGAAATTAGGGATCCCACCCAAAATCAGGATTTTCCTATGGCGGGTTGTTCATGAAATTCTCCCTACTGGTAAGAATATGGAGAAGAAGAAGAGAGAAGCTGCTACGGAGTGCCCATTTTGCAACCTCGAAGAAACTCAAAATCATATATTTCGAGAGTGCCAATGGGCAATGCGTATATGGCGACCATCAAATTTCAGGGAATTATTCGAATTGGAACCCCAACTGTCTTGTGGAAGCTGGATTTGCGCAGTAATGGACAAGGTGAATGACGAAATGCTAGAGCAGATGGGAATGGTCCTATGGTCGATCTGGAATGAAAGGAATAACCAGATGTTTAACAAGCAGAAGGCGGAAGAGTGGGAGATAATAGGGAAGGCGCTGGAGTATTGGGCGGAATATAAATCACACCACACCAAGGAGATACAGGAGAGGACAGAGGAGGATCATACCTGGAGCAAACCACCGCCGGGCTGGACGAAAGTGAATGTCGACGCAGCAGTAATTGAAGGAGAGGGAACAGGGCTGGGGCTCGTGGTGCGCGACGCGGATGGGAATTTCCTCATGGCGGCGGTGCGTCGGGAGCGGAATCGATGGCCGCCGGAGCTTGCTGAACTGAGAGCGCTGGAATTTGGTGTGCAGATGGTGGAAATGCATGGTCTCCTACCTGCTGTGGTGGAGAGTGACTGTCTGAATGCGATACAGAAGCTAAAGGGAGAGGAAGAATCGCGTCTGGAAGGGGGAAGAGTAGCAATGGACCTGAAGCTAAAGGCAAGGGAACTGGGCCAGGTCAGGTGGAGTTTCACGAAGAGGGCCGGAAATGAAGTGGCCCATACCATGGCCCATTCAATGTGTAACTGGGATACTACTGAAACCTGGGCCTCAAGGCCCCCTATTTTTCTTCTTTCTCACCTTGAGAAGGATGGGCTGATCATTACTTAATAAACAGGTTGATTATCAAAAAAAAAAAAAACAAAGTTAGGAATCACTACATAGTTCGACCGGCCATCTCCAATTCAAGCTATAGACAAAAATTAACTGATTTCTTGATTTAAATGTGATTTCCACCTTTCTGTTGTTTATAGGTAGGTGAACTCATGATTACAATACATAAGTATTGCAGTCTTCTTCACTATGCGACGGAACTCTTCAAATCAATGTAAAGAGACGATGCATAATATGCTACCATTGTGACTACGCTTATGTTACTTTGCCGACCTCTAAGAATAACTCTCCGAGACAAGCATCAGGCAATAAAATACCCTTAAGATCACCAACTAACACTAAGCAACAGGAAAGATTTGGTTTTCCTGGTTCTTTTTCGCTCATTTAGTTGGATTTAAGGCTGATGTGGCAACAACGCTAAAGTTAATTTTGGTTACAGGAAATGTTGCCTTAATGAAGAAGATAGAAGGGAAGAACACAAAGCTTGTTTCTTGGTTATACTCCATCTAATGGCCTACCAAGCCGGGCTTGGATAGTACCTTTGTTGCATTTTCTATGGCTGCATACTGCGTATTATTCAACAACTGACCATCTCCAACTGAAGTTAGTGCCGAAGCTAATAGATTTCTTGATTTTAATGTGTCATCAAGTCTGATAATACAAAGATAGGCATAGTGGTAGCCTCAAGAGAATTGAAACTACACTTTGGACAGGTTCCACGATTGAGAGATCATCAATCTGCCAATGGTCTCCCAGCAACAAAGGCTGCAAACAATGCGAGTGACCTCTTGGGAGAGGAGGATGGAGCCATATGAGAGGCTCCTCTGATGGTTGCGAATGACAACTTATTGTTCTCCCCATAGACTTGTGTCCATCCACCAACCTGTTTGTCATAATCAAACCATGCCTTGTATGGTACAGTTGTATTCAACCCCATCTCGGTTGCCAAACGATTCACCAGAATCCTTGTCGCGGTGAAGGGGATAACCGCATCTTGGTCCCCGCTGTAGACTAGCACTCGAATCCCCGATCCCACCAACGAACCCACAACCCCAATCGTTGGAATCTCCAGATTGTAGTAGTCATAATTCACCACTCTGCAACCGAATAAGAGATGGGAGAACCTGTCAAGACTCGTCCATCGGAAGCTAGAAATGAAGTAACTGAGGAATGAGTATATATGTGTTCTTAGTTCTTACACGCTGCATAAACTCCAAGTGTTATTGACGCCGACAAGCTTGGCATGCATAGCTTCTTGAACATCTTTCCTGTTCAAGTATTTCTCGGTCTGATCTTGTACACAAAGGTCTATCGACTCCCCACCAGCTTCCTGCATGCATACCCCTACTATGCCGATCATAATTCCAGATGGGTTCAATGGGATCAATATATTAAAAAAAGACTTACCTGCTTTCTGAAACCACTTTGCTTGGATTTAAGGGGCGAAACTGGATGGAAACGAGGAGCTAATAAAGAGTGCTGCTCCAGGGAACCAAATTGTGATTCACCATCTGACAAACAGACATCAGAAGTGACATCATAGTTGTCAAAATTCTGACTGGGCCATTCTGCGCTAATCTGGGCTACAACGATTCCACACGGCTTGGAATAGTCGCCCGACGGCGCCAAGCCCTCTCTGTTGATCTGGGAGAAGTTGCATACTGTATTCGCAAGGTGATAGGTCTGGTCCGATATCAAGCCGTGAGACCAGTAGTACTCTCCTTGCCCGTTCAAATCTGTGTCGAACTCCAACAGTGGGTTCCCTATCTGCAATATAGACACCACAAAGAAGATAATCAATGAAACACATCCAGGATTGCTGATGAATGGCAATGTAAACTTTTGGCATGTGAACTTACAGCGATGCCTTTTAAGCTGAGATTTGATCTGGACTCCACAATTAGCTGTGCTAACTGTGGAACATAGTGTCCTGTAGGGAGAACCAGAAGAATGTGGATGAGCAGTCGGCGATTTGAATCTTCATGTGTTTCTTAAAGATCAATGGACTGTAGAAGTTACGTACCAGCATAGCTTTCTCCGGTAACGAAAAGATCTCTGGTTTTGTATTCAGGAAACTTGAGTAGCCATCTCTGTAGGAAGGCCAAGTTGTCCTTTGCTGATTTTAAGATGAAGACAGACAACCCAGTTGGATATTTTGCTAATCTGACAATTGATTTGCAATTAAGAATGCAGTTGCAGACCGACCTGTTATGGAGTCATTAACCAACTTATAGAAAGAGGCATTGGCAGAATATGAGAAGCCAACTCCTGCCGGGGATTCCAAGTACAGCATGTTTGCTTCTGTAGCAGCAAAAAGAGTCGGTTAGTCACAAACGAAGAAAAAAAAAAAGAGTCGTTAACATGAGGACCCTGGCGTCCGCTCAAAAAAATGAAGAGCTGTAAAAGAGATACAAGCAGAATGTGAACTGAACCTTTGTTCCAACTATATTCATTGTTGACCAGAACCCCTGCAGCATTCGGCTTGAAAGGGCCGTGTTCGGAGAAAGCTCCGGCTCCAATTGAAGAGCACCCAGGTCCTGATAGTGGCAGAGAAATAGACTTAAGAAATCATTATAGTAGCTATACAACAACAAAATGATCAACTAATCTTCAGTAGATACCTCCAGTGAGCCACAAAACAAGAGGCTTGGAAGTGGAGTTTGTTGCAGCTTCCACGAAGTAGTAGAAAAGTTCCCTCTGCTGGGTTTCATCAACAGTCACATAACCTGCATACTGCTGGAAGCTAACCTGTGGCTGCCCTGGCAGCTTCACAATCCTATCAGCTTCATATGCTGACTCAACCGTTCTGCAAATTGTTGCGAGAGTTGCAGCAATTATGAACATAAGAATCCATGAATGAGAACCCATTATGGGGGTGAAGAAGCTTCTAACTTTCAGAGATTTGTATGGATGGTTGAAGGTGAGTCAATATGGTCTGTGCCATCTTCTATTTATAGATGAGATTCATGTTTGAAGTACAGTATTGGATTCCTCTTCACATTATCATACATCGCTTCACAAATAATATAATGGCATTGTGATTATGCCACGCTTATGTTAACTAGTTGACAAGCATTGTTTCCTGCTTCTTTCTCTCCCAACGGCATGGTAGTTATGCTACTGCAATTAAATGAACAGGGCAAATGGAAGGATACAACAGTGTTTCCTTGTTTATATTCAGTCTAGTATCCTACCAAGCCGGCTTCCTAGGATTATAGCTCTGTTTCATTTCGTTTGATTATTTGCATCACTGTCCAAATAAAACTTTTTTGTCAATAACAAACTGCTTTCACCATAATTGTTTTTATTTGCGTCCTGCAATATTCTAAAATGATTAGTTCTATGCAACACACATCATCATTATGATCAAAACACAGAAATGGCACAAATGTGGCCTCATCAATACTGCTTTAATCTTGATCTATCCAAACGAAAAGGGTATACTGCATTAGTTTTGAATTCCAGTTTTGTTGTAAAAAAAAAAAAAAAAGAATTCCAGTTCGTTGACATGAGATTAAGCATGATTTGGTCAATGTTTCTGTGAACTCAAGGGGCTCTTGTAGATAGTTGCTCATTCATACCTTGAAATCAGCACTCTTAACCAAGTCTGTTACATGGGGCAGGCAGTCCAATTCGTAGTCCTAGAAAGCTTCTTGTAGATCTTCTCTGTTCAATACTTCATAATCTTCTCTTTCGCAGACGCATCTGTCCCATCTAAAAATTCATGCCCATCATCAATCAATGCAAACCAAAATTGAATTTCTTTGAGAGTCATGAGCAGCTAAACTAATCAAACCCTAGTTCGCTAACTTACTTCACGACTTGATGAAGCTTCGACCGACCGAATCGACGAGAAAAGCTTGGATCTTTCGAACTTGGAACCTCCCATTACCCTTGGCGACGGTCCAAACATTGCAAGACAAGTACCGGAAGAGACATACTGTCAAGAATCTTTGCTGAGAGCCGATCATCCACTTCCGTCCACTGCAGAAGGTCTGCGTTGGAGCATGAGACTACAAGAAGTCCGAATGGACCCGAAATCCATGTTGATATTTTGTAATCGGGCCGAAACGAAAGATTTAGATTGGGCCCAGGACGCTGAGCGGAAGCAGGTTAAAGACTAATTAGCTTTGAACCCGGCCGTTGGCCGGTTGGTTACCATTTAATCATTTTTGGGTACTTCAGGATAAAGCTGATATATTGCAGCTTCCAGCGCCTACAGCTCCTTTCGTTCAGACGATGTCACGGTGTCCTAAATGGCACTGCGATTGCTGATGGAAATAGATCTTGATATACGTCTGCATAATTTGCACGTTAAGATCAATATGCAGATAGAACTGCAAGTTCATTACATGATACTTCAAACTCCTTGCTAATAGACCACAACTGCCCAGGAAGACTAAAGACCATCTGCTGAAGCAAGTATTTACTGCAGCAGGAACACAGACTAACTACAAGTTCCTTCCTTACACAGAACCTTAAACTCCTACTAATCACAACTTCCCTGGAACACTAAACACCATCTGCTGAATTATTTAGTACCAGCAGGAACACAGACTAACAAGCTCAGCTCAAGCTTTCGACGCAGGTAATGGCTTCCTCTCTAGAAACGATCTCAACAGTGACAACGATCTCTTGGCAACCTTAGCCGACCCTCCTCTGATGGAAGCGTACGCCAGCATCTCACCATAAGCTTCTGTCCATCCACCAACCTTCCAAAGTAAAAGCAATTTCTAGGGTTAAGAACTAAAGCAGTTCAAACATAAAACATGAGTATGCAAATCATTCGGCACTAACCTGTTTATCAGTGTCAAACCATCCTCGATAAGGCACTGTTGTGTTCAGCCCTACCTTGTCGGCCAAGTCACTGACCAGCACCCTTGTCCCAAGAAACGGTACGAATGTCACTTCATCAATACTGCATTAGTTTTGAAATCCCGTGAGTTCGACACAATATTAGTCATGAATTCATGATAATCAATCTTCTGGCTTTGTATATAGTTTCTCATTAACCCAAACCTGTAAATCAGCACTCTGATCCCTTTCGTCAGCAATGAACCCACCATATCTACCGTCTGAGTCTCGAAGCCTCTCTTATCATAATGAATAGGCCTGCCCATAAACAGCCACAGAGAGAGAGAATCAGACAGACAGGTTAAACTTGGAGCAGTAGAAGGGAGGGCTCTGTTTCAATTGAGTCTTTTTTTCACCTGGGGCAGGCAGTCCAATTGGTAGTCCTGACATGGAGAGCTTCCTGCACATCTTTTCTATTCAAATACTTCATGATCTTCTCTTTCACACACACATCTGTCCCTTCTGAAACTTCCTGTCCATCATCAATCAATGCAACCAAAAATTACACTTCAACCCAAAAAAAAAAAAAACTTGAAGAATCATGAGATGCTGAATTAACTTACTTCATGACTCGGTGAAGCAGTGAGTGAGCGAATCGACGAGAAAAGTTTCGAACTTTCGAACTTGGAACCTCCCGTTACCCTTGACGACGGTCCAAATATTGCAAGACAAGTATCGGAAGAGACATCCTGCATGTCAAGTGCGTCCGGAATTTCTGCTGAGAGCCGATCATCCACTTCTTTACAAGCCGTGCAAAATGGAGAGCCGGAGTATATCTCTCTCAGCCACTTGGCGCCATTGCAGAAATTTTCCATTAGTTCGTGGGTTTTATCTGATATCAACCCATGAGACCAGAGGAAGTCTCCGATTGACCCCATATCAGTGTCGAAGTCCAGCAGAGGGTTTCCCATCTGAAACAAAATGTAAGCAAAAAAGGTTTACCATAGCTTCAGGGGAGCCAGAGAATTCCAGTTTTTTTTAAGAGTTACCATGATTCCTTTCAGGTTGATGCCGTTTGTTGTACTGCCACGGAGAATGCGATTGGCAAGAAATGGAACAGAACGACCAGTAGCATAGCCCTGTCCGGCGATGTAGAAGTCTCTGTTCTTGTACTCTGCATATTTCTGGAACCATCTGGTCAAGAAGATCATATTCTGCGTAGCTGCAACAGATATAACATAATAGATAGGTAAATCACTCCCAGAAAGATAAGTTTCAGAAGAAGAAGAAGGGATTTAAGAACCTATAACGGTGTCATTGTAGATGTAGGTGGCAGAAGTAGTAGTAGTATTGGCAGAGAACGAAAACCCAGTGCCAGTTGGAGAGTCGAGGTAGATTATGTTAGCCTCTGCGACACAATAATCATAAAACTGCTTCAGGATTCGTCTGATGTTTTAGAAAAAGGAAGAAAAGAAGAAGAAAGTCACCTTGGTTGAATGTGTACTTGTTCGTAGCCAGAACATTTCCACAGACAGGACTGAAAGGGCCATTCCCAGAGAATGCCCCAAAGTTAGAGCACTCCAACTCTGAAATACAGCAACAACAAAAAAAAAATGAAGAACTTTGCTAATATAGAAACACAACTACAAAACAGAATCCGAGGTTTGTAAATTTACGGTCGCCAAGCCAGAGAACAAGAGGCTTGGAAGCAGGATTGGTGGAAGCTTCAGCGAAGTAGTAGAAAAGCCTGGACTGAAGCTGGTCGTCCAGAGCTATGTATCCAGAAAACTGACCGAACCCAACCGGCTCGGGCTGCCCCGGCAAGCTGTTGATTCGGTCCGCCTCGTTGGTTAAAGATGGTGGACAAGCATCAGGTGCTGCCCTGATGAAGCTTGGCATCATAAAAAGACTTGCTGCCATGGTCGTGATGACCACCATGGTCACCTGATGAGTCTGCATTGTAGGTTTCGGAGTGATTATGTTACAAGTTCACTCTACAGGAAGATGACTGGAACTTATAGGGCTTGTTTCAGCTTGGTCAATTATTGGCATCCATCACTCTGTGGAGAGTAATGTTAGGGAGACGCACAAATCATGTATGCAGCTCAAATTGGTAAGTTGGTTAGGTTTACAGTTGTCCGGCCAATGATGGAGCTATTCAGTTTTTGGCGGGGAGATGATTTACTCGGATTTGAGTGGGATGGAGTCTGTTTCAGCATAGAGAGGGGTGAGCAGGGTTGATTTGGAGTTTGGTGCCTCCATGACCAATTTTTGGAGTAAGGTTAAAAAGCGTAGGGCAATGGAGCTATTTTGATATTTGTTCTTTCACTTAAAGAGGTCAATTTCGACATGTGATGTCCTTTTGGATTGGTTCAGGTTTGGTTATTCTCTGTGACCATCTTGAACCTGCTTTAGGTCATAGCTAGATTTAGGTGAATGAGAAGAGTCTGTAGCTTAGATACATGCATTTGAACTAGTAGTAACAACCATCATACGCTAGATATCTATTTTTGTACAGCAATTAAAAACCACCATCTGAGGCCATGAGCTCTACTGCAAGTGAGGCCTAACCTTGCCACCTAGAGGCTGCAAACTCTCGTCTTTATCATATTCTTCCGCGAATTGAGCTCGATCATTGGACAGAAAGCTCTAACTATGTTCCGTCTGGTTGTAAACACTCAAATCGGCATGAGTTTCCTTGTACCGCTGGCTCATGTACGTGCTGCATTTGATTGGTGGAAACCTATTTGACCAGTTGGATGTTTAACAGCATTAGACGAACGAACTGATCAAGAGAAAGGCATACATCTAGTTTTAGATCCCATAGGACTGAGAAAAAATGAGGTTATCAACTTACTTGGGAGGATTTCCATCTGATTTACACGTTGGCAGGCATTCGACAAGGCAATCGTGACTTGGATCAGCAAAGTATGCAATCTGAAAATCACGGTTACAAAAGTTTCACAAGTTGCTTTGGGAGAGCAGCTGGAAGCAGCAATATGCTTAACATGCCACCAACCGAATTGGCAGAATGGTGGACCAAAACTGAGGAACAAGATAGATACGAAAAGGAGGTCTTACGGAATATCTCTCTTGACCATTTCCTAGAACTCTATGCAATGTGGATCTGCAGAGACAACCATTTCAATCCATAATTGTCTCAACGAATGCAATTGCGAGTGATTATGTGTGAAATGCTGAGAAGCCTGAGATATGAAAGATTAACTTGAATGTACAGTTGCTCCACCGCTCCAGCATGTCTCCAAGATTTACTATGAAAGCTCTGTTCAACATGACAACAAATAGCATGCCATTATCTTTTGTGCATACAAGTGCTGGTGCTGCCATCTAGTTTTTACTCCACAAAAATGACATAGCGGATAGCTAACACAAGATATTTGATCAACCATATAATATAAGTAAATTAGTCCAAGATAGTATAATATCGCGATAGATAAACTCACAACAGGCTCACCCTTGCATTGGGGCTACATACTCCCATACTTGATGTTGAGCATCCTTATCATTGCATATCTGTAGGAAGATCGTATCGATACCAATTGTAAACTCAAAAAACAGTTATATCGATAGGTCAAACACATCAAATTCACTTGTATGTTCGTACTTGGAGGCCATAGACGTCATCTGTGGCAAGGAGGGTAATAAAACCATAGTCTGAATGAGCACCAGCTCCATATAAGCCCTTTGCTGGATCAGACACCTGACCTGGAACCATCAAAGGAAGCATCTCAGGAAGCCTAAGTGACATATCAGAATGGAAATAAAACTATTGAAGGCTGCAAAGAGCCAAGTAATCCAATGGATCAACACAGCAACCAGTACCCTATGAACTCCATTACCTCCATAACGCAGCAGTCGCATTATAGCAATAGGTTGCCCAAGCATCTCCGGTTTATCAAAGAAATCAGCTTCTAGATCCAGTGCAAGAGCTATAATTCTCGCAACTACTCTTGCTACCTCACTATATTGAGAAATAAGAGAATAAAAACAGCAAGAGGGAACGGAAACAAACATCAGACAAGAATCATATATTACGGCCTAAACACCCTAATTAATTCCCATGGCACAAATATATTCAGCAAATGAAAAACTCACAGAGCTTGCTGATGGAACTTCTCCATTGTTTCTCTCCAACCCGGCAAAAGGTCTATCAACATAACAACCGGTTTCAAATTCAAAGCTTGGAAACAGGGGTACCAAATCAACCATATCTAACCAAAAGATCGAATCGGTACCAATGGCAAAAACCTAGGTGGGAAAGAAGAACCTGATGATGGCCAAACATTAGGCCCATAGAAGGGTTTCTCTGCTTCGGGATCATCTTCTGGAACTTCTATTCCAATGTAGTACCCTTCCTTATAGTCTCCTACTCAAGAAAAATCATTTGCTTCCCATCCTCAACTCATCATTTCCAAACAAAAATGGTTAATAGCCTAGAACCAAAAGTCGATTAAATGGAAGGCAACAACAGCCTTACTAACCATGAACTTGATTCTCAGGATCCAATAGCTCGTCCAGCTCCGGAGTGTATCCTCGATTCTTCTCGTTCCTCAAAACCTTCATTTTCTCCTTCGCTGGCAACTCGAAGAACTTCTTGCTCTGAGCAAACACCTCCGCCATGAATTCTTGGCTTATCCCATGATTAACCACGTAAAAGAACCCACAATCCAAGCACGCCTGATGAAATATCAAACAGCCCTTGAAGATTATGAACGCTCAAATAAACCCAAAAGTCTCCCAGCAACTGAGAATTAAAGGAAAAACAGGAACCTTTTTGAGTAACGAAACGGAAGTTTGAGTGTCGGGGTTGGAGAGATCGATGCAGTTCAATACGGAGAAGCGATTTTGGGCGGGAACGTTTACTTCGTGCTGCTGATTCTCCATTGATGGAATCTACGCAACAATCACCTCTCAAATGCTATTTTTCTCGCTTTTGGCCTTTTTTTCTTTCTTCCGGGCGTTTTTAACGGTGGGAGAATATGGATAGGGGTGGAAGTTTGGGTTGCGGGTTGGGGATAATCTGCAAAACGCATCAACCCGCATCTATTGTGGGTAACTGATAGACCGATAATTATACATGTTTCCACCCCTATTCTAAAGCTGTTTGTGATGAGGAATCTCGTGTTTTAAGCCGATTTCACGCTAGGTTGTGTGTTTATGTCATATTTCAGGTCCCGGCGTTGGAATCGAGGCGGAGAAACGAGTTCTGGGTCGAAAGGAGCAAAGTTGGGACGAATAGGCTGAAGGAGGAAAATACCCGGTCAGGTGGCCAAATACCCGACCGGGTATTCACCACTTTTGGGCGCCCGAGAAGCAGAGAGGGGCCCGGGCACAGCAGCAAAATCCCCGGTCGGGGATTATGGCGATTGACCGGGGATTCTTCCCTTAAGCGAAACGGTGCGCTGCAGAGATACCCGGTCGAAACCCAAAATACCCGACCGGGTATTTCGACCGGGTATCGCGACCAAGCAGCTGATTTAAGGAAGAAGAAGGCCAACATTGAAGGGTTCCGAGTTTTTGAGAGAGAAATCGATTCCTAGAGAGAGAAAGCGACGAACCAGAGTTCCCAAGCGCCATAGATCGATCTTCAACACCATTGGAGCCCGTCTTGAGCTTGGAGAAGTGCGATTAAACGTCCAGGAGCAGGAATCCAACTTCACAGTATGATTTCCGCGTCTGAATCTGCTTTTGCTTCTTTCTCTATGGAGTAGTTTCCCCATTCATCTGGGTATGGGGAACCCTAGATTTGTATGCTAGGTCTGATTGTATGAACCCAAGTACAGAGTTTGTGAATTGATTATATTCGATTGAGGTTTGAATGATTGAATGACTTGAATCCTGATCAAATTCCTGTTGTTTCTGCTTTGACCTGGACTGAGAATATCTGCCTAGGTTGATAGAGTACCCTTAATCGAAGGTGGCGAATTGGTGACTTTAGTCGAGGAGCCAATTCGCTATTCTGTACCGAAGTTAATTCGGTAGTGGAGGTTTGGTTCATTAGGGCCTCAATCTGTTTACTCCGGTGGAGGTTAGTCGCCCGCTAGAGACTCAAATTGAGAGGGTCTGGAGACCTTTAGTCGAGACTTCAGGCTAATTGAGAACCTTCCGCAGTATAACTTTCATGAAAACTGAACTTGGTAATTACAATCCGACTTAACTGCAGTCTAGGGGGATCCATATCCGGGTGACCTCTCTTGACTTGACAACAAACCGTTTACTTGCTTTGTGTTTTGTTTGCTTGAGTTGCACTAAAAGTTCACCGCTAAATAACAAGAATTCACCGAGTAGTCATCACATCTAGGACCCGGGTTGACATTAAAACCCGACCCGCTATACTACGCTTTAGGAAGTGGTTATACTTGGCCATTTTCTAGGGTGACAGTAGGAGTGAGTCAAGTTTTTGGCGCCGTTGCCGGGGACGGCTAGGTTGTTGAAGAAAAGTGATTTCTGTTACTTTAGCATTTTCATTTTTTGCATTGAGTTTTTGTTCTTCCCACTTGTGCCTTCACGGGTTTGCATTGCTTGATTGTGTGCAGCTAGTGCATGACCCGTAGCCAGTCGGGAGGTTTACTGCCGTTGAATCCTGAGATTGAGCGCACCTGCAAACAACTTCGGAGACAACAGCGAGCTAGACTGGCTACGGTGGAGCGCCGAGACGGCCAATTGACCAGCGACTCCGAGGACGAGCACGAGATGGAAGGCGATCAGAACCCGCCTCCTCAGAACCAGATCCTGGGGAACGACCAACATCCCCAGGGAGCTGGCCACCATCATCATCCACCACCACCGGGTCCCACCTTGGAGTACTACTATACTCCACGGATTGCTGACATCCGCCCGGTCATCCTCTATCCGCCCATCCCTGCAAACAACTTCGAGATCAAGCCATGCTGGATCCAACTCATCACATCCTCTATCCAGTTCCATGGCTTGAAGGATGAGGAAGCCCGGGTACATCTTTCCCGTTTTCTGCAGCTGACGAACGGGTTCAAGTTGAATGGTGTCCCGGATGACGCAATCTGCCTTCATCTCTTCCCCCATTCTCTTGCGGGGAATGCTAAGAGGTGGTTGGAGACCCAGCCCCCATTGTCCATCACCTCTTGGGACGATCTGGCTGACAAGTTCGTGCACCGGTATTATCCGCCAAGAGCCAGATGAGTCACTTCGTGATGCATGGGAGCGGTACATGGGATACTTCTGGCAGTGTCCCCATCACGGTTTCAGCGATGCTTTCACAGTAGGGAACTTCTACAGCGCCCTCACTCCAGATAGCCAGAGGGTGATCGAGTCTCTATGCCCAGGAGGGGATATTCTCACTAAGACTCCACCCGAGCTGAACCAGATGATCAGTACCTTGGCTGCCCGCGATCATTCTTGGGGACAGAGCAGCAGGGGGCAGGAATGCCCGGGACCGGGGTGTGCATGCTATTGAGGCCAGATCTGGGTTAGAGCAGCAGGTGGCTGAGTTGGTGCAGACGTTGAAGCAGCCTAACAGTCTCCTTCCGGGCCGAGGTGTAGCTACGCCTCCAGTAGCTCAGTGTCAGTGGTGTGAGAGCCCGAATCACCTGGTGGAGGATTGTCAGTCTATGAGGGAGTCTTCTACTCCCCAAGAGCAGGTGGACTTCATAGCAAATGCTCGACGCCTGGACCCATACAGCAACACCTACAATGAGGGATGGCGCCAGCATCCCAACTTTGCCTGGAGCAGCAACACCAACAAACCACCTGGTTTCCCAGCACCAGCAGGTGGTTTCCAGCAGAGGCAGCCCTTCCAGGCTAGGCAGGGGCCACCACCACAGCAGCAGCCCTACCAGCCTAGGCAAGGGCAGCCATTCCAGCAACCCCAGCGCCAGTTTGCTCAGCCTCCGGCAGCCGCAGCACCAGATCCTCAGATATCTGATCTGAAGAATATTTTGCAGGCTTTCATGACCACCAGTCAGGCGAACTTCACGAGGATGGATCAGAACATCGCCTCACTGGAGGCAGGCCAGAGGAACCAAGGTGCCATTCTGCAGGATCTCCAGAATCAGATTGGGAGCCTAGCTCGCCAGAACACTACCAGGGCACCGGGGACTCTGCCTGCCACCACCATTCCCAATCCACGGGACCCGCATGAGACCGCACACGCCATCACCACCAGGAGTGGCAAGACTACATCTGCTGCTCCTGCCCCGCCCAAGCAAGACGACCCGCTACCTGCTTCAACACCTCCAGCTGATACTGCAGAGGTGGGGGAAGGCAGCACAACACCTGCTCCAACACCGCAACCTGTGGTTAAGGAGCATACACCCCAGCTGCCCTTCCCCACTCGACTTCATAAAGACAAGCTGGAGACAGAGTTTGCCAAGTTCATGGCAATGTTGAAGCAGGTCAACATCAGCATGCCGTTCGTGGAGGCACTGTCGAAGATGCCCAAGTATGCCAAGTTCATGAAAGACCTCCTCACCAACAAGAAGAAACTTGGGGATCTTTCGACAGTGATGCTAAGCGAGGAGTGTTCTGCTATCCTGCAGAACAAGCTGCCAGAGAAGCGCAAAGACCCAGGGAGTTTCACTATCCCTCTTTTTATTGGCAGCCTGCATGTAGGAAAGTCCTTGGCGGACCTAGGCGCTAGCATTAACGTCATGCCCTATAAATTGTTTAAGAAGCTAGACCTAGGTGAACCTAGAGCTACTAGGATGAGCATTCAGTTAGCTGATCGTTCTATCGTGCATCCTAGGGGTATCATTGAGGACTTGCTTGTTAATGTTGGTGCATTCACATATCCTGTTGATTTTGTTATTTTGGATATAAATGAGGATGTGGATGTGCCTTTGATTTTGGGTAGACCATTTCTTGCCACCGCCAAGGCACTTATTGATGTGCATAGTGGTAAATTGATTCTGCGTGCTGGTGATGAACATGCTACTTTTTCTGTGTCTGACAATGGGAAACATTCTCATTTGCATGATGACATAGACTACTGTGATGTGCTTACCGATTTTGAGACCGCACTCGCCATCACGAGTGCGGGTACTGATGATGCTCTTGAGCGTTGTATTTTGCTAGGTGAGCAGGCATTGCAGGAGCCGCAGCTGGCGGAGCAGTTAGCCGCCTTGGAGAGTGGCCCCTTCTTGGAGGGCGACAGGCTGTTTAAACCGATCTCATCCTCCACCCGCATCACCACTTCTCTGGAGGAACCACCAGAGCTGGAGCTTAAGCCCCTCCCTCCTCATTTGGAGTATGCATTTCTCCGGGAGGGGAATAAGCTGCCAGTTATCATCAGCTCGACCCTCACACCCGAGCAGAAGACCAGACTGGTGGCCTTGCTGAAGCAGTACGAGCGAGCTTTGGCATGGAAGATCACAGATATCCGGGGGATTAGCCCCTCTTTTTGCTCGCACCGGATACTGCTGGAGGATGAGATACGGCCAGTGAGGCAGCCGCAGAGGAGATTGACGCCGAACTTGGAGGCTGTGGTTCGGGCAGAGATCGTGAAGCTGATGGATGCGGGGATCATCTTCGCCATTTCTGACAGCGAGTGGGTCAGTCCCACCCAGGTGGTGCCCAAAAAGGGTGGGATGACCGTGGTGCCTAACGAGAAGAACGAGCTCATCCCGATGCGCACGGTGACTGGGTACCGTGTTTGCATCGACTATCGGCGTCTCAACGACGCTACTCGGAAGGACCATTTCCCGCTGCCGTTCATTGATCAGATGTTGGAGAGATTGGCGGGGCACGAGTTCTACTGCTTCCTGGATGGGATGTCCGGGTACTTTCAGATCCCTATTGCACCGGAGGACCAGGCGAAGACCACTTTCACCTGCCCCTTCGGCACATTTGCTTACCGGAGGATTCCATTCGGGCTATGCAACGCCCCAGCCACTTTTCAGCGATGCATGCTCGCCATCTTTGACCGTCTGGTCGGCGAGATCATGGAGGTGTTTATGGACGATTTCTCGGTTTATGGAGACTCCTTCTCTCACTGTCTCCATAACCTGGAACT